CTGTATGATGCACTGGCCCAGGGCCAGATCGCAGCTGCCGGCCTGGATGTTACCACGCCAGAGCCACTGCCCACTGACCACCCTCTGCTCTCCCTCAAGAACTGTGGTAAGTGTCCAGAAGGGTGGCCAGAGCTCGGCTCTGCCGGGCTGCCCACACTCCTCAGGGGCCCACTGGCAAGCGTGACAGGCATCCCTTGTCCCTGTTACCCCTCTGGTGTCAGGGAAGCGTGGAAGGACAGGCAAGTCAGGTATATTTAATTAGGCTGTAGGGAGCTCCTGTACAATGTGGGGGTCTGCTGTGGGGTAAGAACTCATCCATGTAATGTCAAACAAGTGTGGGAGCTGTTTTAATTCTCCAGAAAGCTGCCAATATCAACTCAGGTTTAGCACCTTCCCGGTAGGTCTCCATTCAGTGTGTGAAATTCACGGAGGCCCAATACCAGCACGTGCCTGAACAGGAACCCAAATCGCAGCTCAGGCTCTGCCCAGCTCAGGTGTTCTGTAAGCTCCCGGGCACATATTCTGCTAGGAAAGCTTCCCAGATGGCTAAAGTGGGTTGCCGAGTCTGCCCAGAGGAGTCTCGGGCTCTGGAGTGCTGCCGACTGGCCAACCTGCCAAGCTGGCCAACCTGCTGAGCCACCACGAGCCCAGGCAGCTGTTACCTGCGTAGTGCGGAACAGGTGCGAAGGGCAGGTGCAGGACTGACACCTGTCTTCTCTGGAGGAGGATGAGTCAGGTGAGGAAGGATAGCTAAGAAGGGACTTGCTTGGCTACTGTTGTGCAGGATGTCCTCTTTCCAGGAAGGACATTCCTGGAGTAGGGAATGTCTATTCCAAAAAGAAACCATGGGGACATCCATGAAAACTTGGAACTGCCCTTGACTGAGTGTCTGTTTATGACATATGAATCCGTAGCTGGTTTTTTTCGTTTATCTTTTTGCTAAAACTCATTTTTTATTTGTTTCCTTTGGTTGCCAAAGTAGACAGCGTGGGGAGGGATGAAAGCAGAGACTTTTCTGGAAAAATTTGCAGGACTTGGGAGATTTGAGAGCTCTGGAACACCACCAAGCAGGACAAAATTAATACATATGTATTAATTAAGTATGTAAATTATAATAGTAATACTAATTGTTTATTAATTTGTAAATAACACATACATGTGTATTGTACCTCCGACAACCCTGAAAGGGGCTGTCCCGGCCCGCGAAGGTGATGGGTGTCCCTCCTGTCCCCGCAGTGATCCTGCCGCACATCGGGAGTGCCACGTACGCCACGAGGAGCACCATGGCAGTGCTGGCAGCCAACAACCTGCTGGCCGGGCTGCGGGGGGAGCCCATGCCCCACGAGCTGAAGCTGTGACAGCCCCCGTGGTGCGGCGGGACAGGCCAGCCTGGCCCCTCCCCTCTGCGGCAACCAGGAGTCATTAAAGAGCAGCAGGGAATGTGTGGTGTTCGTGTCATTTGAGAACAGGGTGCCCCGAGCATGTGGGAGAGCACACTGTGGGTGGGGGCTGCGGGTCCCAGCAGGCCATGGATTGGGGTTTGGGTCTGATTTGGGGAACACTTGCCCTGCTGGAACTCCTCTCTATTCTGCTCACTGGTGTGGGCTGTACCACAAGGGAGCTGCTGTGGCAGCACCTGTCCTCAAAACCTGGTTGCTGGTCACAGTGAGAGGCCAACAGTAGGGGAAAGGGAGGGAGGGAAGAAGGGAGGGGGCTGCAATGGCGCAAGGGAAGTGCGCCGGCTTGGGGAGCAGCAGCTGGTGGGACCATAAACCTGGTGCAGGGAGGGAGCCAGAACACAGCACAAAGCCTGTGATGGTAATTAAAGCTCATCTAGTACACTCTGTGCTTCCTGTCCCATGACAAGGGTCCCTCATGCTGGACTCTGCTGGAATTTCTCTGGATGCTACATAAAGCGCTCTCCGATAGCAGTAATGGCTGCTGGAAGTGGCTCTGTGCCACACCTCGGAGGGATTCTGACACCTTTATCAGTAAGTTTTGATTCACAATCCCAGCTGATTGCCATGTGATGGTCCACTAGAGTGAGTTTTGGAGGTTTCTAACCTGGGCTGATCAGGGCAGGCTCGTGGCTGTGGTAAGGGAGGGAGTCGAGCATCCCAACTGGCTGGGGAGTTTCCAACTGACCCAAAAGAAATTGGGATTTACTTTGGTGTGAAAACCCAGGGCATGAGTCCAACGGGGGAGTTTGCTCATCTCCAAAATTTCTGGGTGTTGACACTGAAGATTCTGCTGGTGGTGATGTTACTGTGATGCTGAGAAATGCTGACCAAACACCCAAAAGGTTACTGTGACCCCTGATGATGCAAGCAGTGAATGGGAATGACCTGGTGTCTGAGCAGATGTGTCAGATTCCCCAGGTATGTTAAGAAATAGGCAAAAGCTGGTAAATCACCTGCCAGAGGGACTGGACCACATCTCAGGTGTCCATCCCAGAACTCCTTCAAGACAAGCACCTCCTCCACCTGCATCAATCCTCCCACAAGGAATTCAGAGAGTAGCAGTGACCATGGATCACGAACTTGATGGATGCTGTGTAGATATTAACACTATTTCAGTAACAAACATACTAAGAAGTTCTTATGAAGAACTCTACCAGGGACAAAATTATTATCAAGTACAGGCTTTTACAATCACTTTTACAACCACAAGTATTTCTGTATAGGCTGGTGTGAAGAGCAACAAACCAGTGAATCCAGTCAGACACAGGAGCACAAAAATGCAGGGTTTATTTCAGGATGTTTCAGAACACTGACATACTGAACCCTCCACACAAGACCCCACTGTGTAAAGTTCAGTTCTGAGTGGAATTCGGGGCATTAAGCTCTCCAGGTGAGACACCCTTCGTGTAGAGAGGGGACAGCTCAGGTCCTAGGTATTTATTCATGCCATTCCCAGGAATTTATTGCTTCATTTGGGAAGACTCAGGAAGCAGCTCAGCAGTCATAGGCTCCAGGCCTCTCCACGGGCACACGGTGTCAATGGACAATGAAATTTAAAGCTGCTTCCAAAAATGCTCCAAGTCAAACTTTTTCTCAGAGAAAGAAGTCCTCCTGCACTGTCATTCCACATTAAAATTTTTATAAAAACAGTTCATAAGTCAAGTGTTTATCTGCTTATAGTAGTTCCTAATTAGTCACCTTGGTCACACAGATGCCTTATTCCTATGCGGCATAAGAATTCAAGAAATTTGGATGTGACGCCAAAAAACCCACACCTTGTTTTTAAGAATGAAAACAGCAGAAATGCAAGCAACACAAGAAAATATTAAAGTACAAAATACTGCATTTTATTGATGCTTGGGTGAGTGTTTATGCAGCTTAATGCTGTTAGTCCCCGATACTCAGATTATTATCAAACAAAACACAGCGTATCCCAATGCTTTAAAAAACTGCATTTTTTTAATGCTTAAAAAAAAAATCAAGAGCCAGAAATACAACCATTAAGTAAACCCTATAGCAAAGTCTTAACATTTTAAAGGAATTAATCCAACCATCCCCTGTGTTTCCACGTTCCTGTTTACTTCAGATGCTCAAGTGCAAATGACACACTGACAGCTGCAGGGAATCCTCTGTCTCTGTCCTGATCCAGCTTCTGCACAGCTGAGCAGCATTTATCATCAGCAGAAGTGCTCCAAAAGTTTGTTTAAAAAGCTAAAGATGCTGAACACCAGGTTGTGTGCACCGGTGACAAGGAAAAAAGGAGCCTGCAGGCAGTATTAAGTTACAATGGCATCAAAGAATAGGAAATTAAAATGAGATTTACACATCTCACATGGAGAATGACAAATTTCCACTACCCAAAGGGTACAGTGCTATTTTTTAAAATTAAACTTACACTAGGTTGTTTTAGCTTATGTAGAAAAGTACTTTTATGACACTAGTTTAAGCAGAAGGCCTGGATTTGACAATGACATTTTATTGAGAGATATGAGTCAGCAGTGCCCTGGCAGCCAGGAGGGACAACTGTGTCCTGGGGGGCATCAGGCCCAGCATGGCCAGCCGGGCCAGGGAGGGGATTGTCCCGCTCTGCTCTGCCCTGGGGCAGCCTCACCTCAACATTGGGGCAGTCTGGGCACCACAATATAAAAACAACATGAAGCCACTACAGAGCATCCAAATGAGGCCATGAGGATGTAGAATAGTCCAGAGGGGAAGCCTTATGAGGAACGGATGAGGGCCCTTGGTTTGCTCAGCCTGGAGGAGACTGAGGTGAGACCTCACTGGGGTCTTCAACATCCCCCAGAGGGGCAGCACTGATCTGTTCACTCTCAGGACCAGTGACAGGACTCAGGAGCTGTGTCAGGGCAGGGTTAGGTTGGATCTCAGGAAAAGGTTCTTCCCCCAGAGGGTGGTTGGGCACTGACCAGGCTCCCCAGGGCAGTGGGCACAGCCCCACAAGGCTGTCTGAGTTCAAGAAATGTTTGGACAACGCTCTCAGGCACATGGTGGGATTCTTGGGGTGTCCTGTGCAGGGCCAGGAGCTGGACTCAATGATCCTGATGGGTCCCTTCCAGCTCAGGATATTCTGTGATTCTATGAGATATGGCAAACGAGGATTGTTCCTGACAGTTCAATCTGAGGAACAATCCACAGCTGTGAAGGGAAGTCAGTAACTGTGCAGAGGAGGAAATTAAAGCCCAGAGATAAGAGAGAAGGACAACATGCTCACACAGTAACGAGGACCAGATGGACTGCTGGCATCTGGAAACAGAGGGAGACTGTCTTACACGGCAAAAAAAGCCATCACAAATTACCTCCCTCCTTCAAAACAACAGACAAGCTCTGTTCAGACTCCTTCCTATATAGAATTGTAACATAGGAGATACGAACTGGTTAAAATACTGCTAGGAATAGCACAAACAAGAGACAGTACTTCACTTATCACTTAATACGTGTTTCTACGGGAAAAAAAAAAAAAAGTCAGCCAAACATCCAGATCTTCCTGTATTAAAGTTATATGTACACCCGGCAGTCCAAAAGTTACTTGTCTGGTATTTAATTTAAGCACCTTGATTACACAGTGTTCTTTACTACAAAACAGCCAAACATACATTCATAATCCTAGAACTATTGTTATAATTAGCGTATTTGAAAGCATTATGTCAGACAGGTGCAGCCAAAGCTGTTTTTCTCTTTTAAAGGTAAGTGGTCTGCGCTACTGTCCACACATAATGCAGCAATTCATGTTACAATAATTATTTAAATGCTTTCACTGTTACAAAATGCTTTAGAGAAAAAAAAAAAACCACCAAAAAAAATGAAATTTGCACTTCAGTTTCTTGTTCTCTAAACGTGCTATTTCATGAGATCCCCACACTGTCACCCCTCTGCCCTGCAAAGGGGGTGCTTCGCTGTGGGGGGTCACATCCCCATGCCCGCTGCGCAGCTCCCGGCGGGCGGCTGAGCCCGCGACACCCCGCGAGGTAGGTACCGGATATCCCCAATGGCAGAGCCGAGGCTCTGTGTGTGTGGCACCACCGCACGGCAGCGTCCGCCAGCCCCACCGCGGCAGCCCCGGGGCAGCGCCTTAGAGCAAACTGCTGGGCAGGTTGCTGCTCTGCCACCTGAGGCAGGTGGTCTTGGAGTGTTTGTAGAGGTGGCTGGACTGGCTGAAGCGCTTCCCGCACTTGAGGCAGGCATAGGGCTTCTCCCCCGTGTGCACGCGGATGTGCTTCTTGCAGTCCGTGAGCGTCAGGAAGGTCTTGCAGCAGATCTTGCAGGCGTACTTCCGTGCGCCCTCCACCACCAGCACGTTGTGCTCCGACAGCGCCTTCTTGCACTTGGACAGCACATCCGCAGACGCCCTGGTGAGCTGCGGGGGGCCGGGCTGCGACAGGTGCCCACTCTCGAAGGACGTGCTCCCGTTCATCAGCAGCTGGGACCCAGACGAGCTCTCCTGCAGCTGGGAGCCCCGCACAGAGGTCACCACCGGCATTTTGGGGGCGATGCGGCGGTAGCCAGGAAAGCCACCGGCTCCGCCTCTCACCGAGCCCATCATGGCCCGGGACAGCGAATGCAAGCCCAGGCCTGAGCGTGGGAAGTCCATGCCAAACTGCTCCGCTGCCCGGTACCCAGAGGTCTGCACGCAGGGCAGACCCATCACATCCTGCATGGGCCTCACAAAGTGGGAGTCCGCGGGCTCGCTAAATGGGTTCTCCACATGGGAGACAGTGGCGGACGAGTGGCCACCAGCGGGCCCCGACTCTGGGCTCATCAGGTAAGAGGTGTCGCTGTCCATCCTGCAGTCACTGGTGGTGTTGGGAATGTTGTCGTCACTGTTTTGGCTGGCTCCAAAGCCACTGCCTCTGCTTTTATTCAGAAAATTTGAAATGCTGAAAGACGACTTGTGTTCCAGGTTGTTGGACACCTCCATGATGTGGATGTCTCCCACCCTGTCAGTGCTGGACTGTGGGTCAGAGAAGCTGCGGTCACTGCTCTCAGGACTCAGCTCGATTTTCTCCGCACTCACCACTCCTCCTTCCACCTCCACGGACTCACTGCCCTCCGCCTGGGAGGTGACGTCGCTCACCTCATCCTGGGGCTCTGGGGAGCTCAAGGGCTCAGACTTCACCACCACCCTCATGTGCTCCTTCTCGTTCAGGCTGACCTCTGGATTCTCACATGGGAAGTTGCTCTTTTCAGCAGCAGCCTCCTGGTCAAAGCTGGTCTCCACCTGTGTGGCCTGGGACGCCATGGACATCTGGGAAATGTTTGCCCCGCCGTTGTCCGACTGGCTGGGCACTTGAGCATCCTCCTGAGCACCGAAAGACTGGTCAAACATGATCGTGTTGTCCTCCTGGTTATCAGCAACGGTGTCAGCCTTGGAGTTGTCCACGATCTTCAGCGAGTCCGGAGAGAAGAAATCCTCGCGCGAGTGGACGGGCTGCCCGCCCTCTGCGGCCACGTCAGCCCCAGGCTCGTCCACGGCAGGCCGGACACGCTGCCGGGCACGCTCCTCGGAGGGCGGCTTGCGCTTGTGCAGGCGGCGCATGGGGAAGGCGGCGCGCTGCTCCAGGCCGCTCCGCACGGAGCCGGGCGGCTCCTCGGCGCCCTGCGAGGAGCCCAGCGCGGAGCTGACGATGCTGAGCCCCAGCTGCTGCAGCATGAAGGAGCGCTGCAGGCGCGCGCTCTGCTCCTGCGCGCGCTCGCTCGGCGGCGACAGCGGCAGCGTCCGCGTGGTCAGGTAGTGCTTGCAGGCCTTCACCACGGAGTTGAGGTGCAGGTGGGACGCGGCCAGCAGCACGTCCATCACGTTGCTCTCCCCGAGCATGAGCGTGGACGTGTACATCATGTCGATGAGCGCGGCGAAGGCCTCGGCCGTCACCACCTCGCTGTCCAGCTGGATCATGTTCATGGTCTGGTCCCCCTCAGCCACCGTGAACAGTGCTCGGAAGTGGGTGCTGCATGCGGCCAGCACGGAGCGGTGGGCTTTGAAGTGCCTGTTCCCCACCACGATGACACAGTCACAGAGCTGGCCATGGAGCCTCTGGTAATTGAGCTGCTGGAAGACTTGCTCAAAGTGTCCTGGAAAATCCATGATCCTACAAAACAGAAGAAACCATTATATGGGCCACCAAGTTGATCAGTGGAATGGAGTAGCTCTCTTGCAAGGAAAGGCTGAGTGAATTGGAATTGTTCAGCCTGGAGAAGAAAAGCTTCAGGATGACCTAAATGGGCCTTCCAGTAGCTGAAGGGGCCTACAAGAGAGATGGACCAAGACTATTTACATGGGCCTGGAGTTATAGGACAAGGGGGAATGGGATCAAATTGAAAGAGAGTAGTCTTAGCTTAGATATTAGGAAGAAATTCTTCCCTGTGAGGGTGGTGAGGCCCTGGCATAGGCTGCCCACAGAAGCTGTGACTGCCCTATCCCTGAAGTGTTTGAGGCCAAGTTGGACAGGTTGCCCGGAGCAACCTGGGATAACGGGACAGAGACGGATTTTAAGGTCCCTTTCAACCAAAACCAGTCTGTGATTCCATGGTTGAAGGTCACAGTCAGGCTGCAGCGAACCTGGGTTTAAAGAGGAAAGATGACAGCTCAAAGACAGACAAACACTGACTGATCTGAATTTGCCACACCACACAGTTACAGGATCAAAGCTGGCAGTCTGGAGAAGGAGGAGCAAAAGGAGGAGAAGGAAGGAAATCCAGGTTCTGCCACAGAGCTGACCTCAGCACCAGCCATGTCACAGTGCTGCAAACCAAACAACACAGATCATCTCGTCCCTGTCAGCATCTGTCCAAACTAAAACAACTCACTAGTAAAACATTTAACCCTGGTTTGTAAAAAGATCTGATTGCAAATAACCTGCTGCACCCTTGCAAATAAACTGCTCACACAATTAAGTGACCTCCCACGGAAACTCCTGGACTTTAATCCTCACCTCACAGGGCTGAGAGGGAAGTGATAGGAAGTTTTTGGTAAAACAACACACTGCTCAATGAGACAACCAGACAGACTGAGGGGTGGCTTTTTCTTGATTGTCCATTAATAGAACAGAAGTCATATCTTACCAAACTTATCTTAAGACTGAAGAGGTGACTTTCGGCAATATCTCTACTCTTTCTCATGAAAAAAATTGAAGTGTAAGATTTGGGGAGCAGAAAGCTGCATGACCAAGGCAAACACACACATTCCTGTGCTCACATTTATTTTCCAACACCAACACCACAGCACCATTAGACAAATGGAGACCATAAAGCAGCTGAAATAAAAGGTCACATAGACAGAATTTTGCTTTTGAGGAGGGATCAAATGCAAGTCTGCCAATTCAGAAAGTCCATCCTCAAGCACACATGTGTTTGCTGCTTTTCCAAATAAGAAACAGGAACATAAATAATATGTGGATTCATTTATCTTTCACTGCCAATGTGTGTTCAGGAGTAAAAATAAGACAACATTTTCAAACAGAGCAAAAGGAATGAAGCTGGACCCCAGGAAGGAATGTGGGTTACAGGGATCGTCCAAGCACTTCTGCCCAGGCAGCAACACATATTTAGAACAGAGGAAATAGGGAAGAGTCATTGTTTTGACTGATCATTTGGGATTTCAGAATTCCAAGGGAGTCTTGCTTACAGGCACCAAAAGTGATCACATCCTTTGTGCACCTGAAACAAGACAAACTCCAGTTTTGTTTCCAGGAACATGGATTTGGCTTGGTGTTTAACTCTCACTACACAGAAAGGCTGGAGCTCTCGAGCCAGAACAAACACACACAGACTCCAGGGTGATGCAGAGATCTTGTTCCCACAGAAAAGGGAACTGCCCAGTTCTACAGCCAAACAAAGGCCTACAAGTGAACAGACAACACACCAAACTGTTGAGCTACAAGTAGTTTTACTATAAATACAAATGGTCAGAGCCAAGAAAAGTTTAAGGGCAAGCAATGAAAAAGCATCTACAAAATCCTGCCTGGAAAACCATCATCCTGCCTGTCCCTGGACTAGGGCCTGTGTCAAAGAACTACAGGCACTGAATTCCCACATTTCTTGTTGAAGTTAGTGTCTGGAACTATATTCTGAAAGAGCTCACAGAGTCATGGCTAATTCCTTTATTCTCCTACACGACCCAAAATCCCCTATCAGGCAAGGGACAGATGGTGACACAATCATGTAGGAGAAGAAGCGCACTGCAGATTTTTCCACAGGAATTCAGGTTTTATCAGCACAATTTCTACTATGTTTAATGGCCACAACTTCCTCACCGGGTTTCCATTCCCCAGAAATACATGACTGGCACAGATGATTACACTGCAGCCCTGACCCACTGCGGGGAGTCAAACACACACCCCCCCAAAACAACGCTCCTCCCAGCCCCGGGTGCCTCCTTTCAGGGGGCACAGACACTGTGGCACCCCCGTGTCACACATCTGTGCTGCCTCTCACTGTGACCCAACCCAGCCATGTTCTCTTCTCAATCCTGGATTTTAACCCCAGAGTGCAACGATCCACTCACCCTCCTCCTTCTCCTTCTCCTCCTCCGGGCGATGGGGGAGCAAGGAAGGGGAAAACCTTGTGGGATCACTGAATATCCTGAGCTGGAAAGGCCCCGCAAGGACCATGGAGTCCAGCTCCTGGCCCTGCACAGACACTCCAACAATCCCACCGTGTGTCCTCGGACAGAGTCAGGGCACGGAGATCATTCACCAGTTACCACCCGAAACACTCGGCTCGGAAATTAACTGATTTAAAGCCTCTGAAAGCTCCAGAACGTCCAATGACTGCTAATAAGATAACAAGATAACAAGAGCTGCTCCTGCTCTCCTGAAGGCAGCGTCCTTTTCTCCCCTTCACTCCCCCTTTTTTTCCTTTTGTGCCTCACCTGGAACATACAAGTTCTGTGTCCCTCTCAGGGCAGCACCTGCATCCCAGCGCTGCATCAGCACCGGTAAAAACACACCCGGAGACTCCGCTTTGTGCCGCTCACGGGACATAAAGAGGAGCCCGGAGAGCCCCGGTCCCACCCCGACCGGGGGGTCACCAGTTCCTACGTCACCGCCGCCCTCCCCTCCCTCGCCCTTCCCGATCACCTGCGGTGTCCGTGCGGGAAGGGCCGCGCGGGAAGGGCCGCGCGGGAAGGGCCGCGCGGGAAGGGCCGCGCGGGAAGGGCCGCGCGGGGATGGGTTCGGGATGGGGATCGGGATCGGCCTGGCCCCGCTCCCGCCGCTCCGTCCCCGCCCGCCGCGCCGCCCGATGGCGCCACTTCCGGCCGCCGACTGCACGCGCCCAGTCCATAGCCAACCGATGGCCTCGTTATTTATAAGTGGCAGCCGCGTCCCGCCCCGCCCAATCAGGGATGAGCTTATTGGCGCTGCCGGAGGCGGTGGCGACGCGGGGTTTGGGTGTTGTCTCAGCTCTCACGGCTCTCGTCATGGCCGCCGCCACCTGGCGCTACCGCGGGGACCTCGAGGCGGAGCGGCCGGCGGCGCTCGGTGAGCGGGGCCGGGCTGGGCTGGGGGCGCGAGGCGGGTCCTGGCCCTTCCCGGGACTCACGGGCTCCCTGTCCCACAGTGCGGTTCGCCAACGGGAGGCTGCGGAGCCCCGAGTCCCTGCGCTTCACCGTGTACCGGAGCCGGGACACGGCGCATCCCCGAAAGAGGCACCGCAGGATCCTGGTAAGGGCCCGCCCTAGGAAGGGCGGGGACGGCTCCGGGCAGGCAGATCGCCTTCATCCCGAGATGCTATGATTCCTTCATTCCTTCATGGCTAGGCTTCACGAACGAAGATTTGGGAAGGCACTACCCACGCTTGTTGCAAGAATGCTGTGATAGCAATGTACGATAAGGCGATAACGAGGTCACAGCCATAGTCGGGCAATGGCCACACGCGGGGCCGCTGCAGGTCACGGCACGAGCTGCATCTGGAATTCCCGTGCCGATCCCACCGCGGGCGAGTCCTGCACTGGAGGGTTCTGACTCTCTTTTGCCCTTAGGGCCGTGGTCGAGGCAGCTCCTGCAGGTGGGAACTAGAAATTGTTCCCTGTGAGGGTGGGGAGACCCTGGCACAGGTTGCCCAGAGAAGCTGTGGCTGCCCCATCCCTGGAAGTGTGCAAGGCCAGGTTGGACAGGGCTTGGAGCAACCTGGTATAGTGGAAGGTGTCCCTGCCCATGTGAGGGGATGGGACTGGATGGACTTTAAGGTCCTTTGCACCCCAAACCAAGTCATGATTCTGTGAAAGTCTGTGCTGAGCTTTGCAGCAGATTTCTTTAAAAACCCCTCAGAGTTCAGCCCAGCCTGTGCCACAGAGATGTTTTGCAGCTGCCAGGAGCTCCCTGGGGCTGGGAGGGGGTTTTGGCTCTGATGTGGCTGGTGGAGCTGCGGGGTTGGGAAGGCAGAGCAGGGACCAGGGACCTGCGAAAGGTCACGGAATCTGTTGTGTTCTGTTCACACAGGGAAATCTTCACCAAAGCTGTCTTTGTCTGGCTAAATTACATTATGAGAAGGTCTCTCTGTGGAGAGAGAAACAAGGGTACAGTCAGAAGGTGCTTTCTGCTGCTGCTGTTAAGCTTTACAGCTGCTTCCCTCGAGGAATAAATGACTTTTCAGCCCAAGTCCTTGGGGGAAATTCACTGCAGCGGAGCAGAGACACCAACACATTCTCATAATGCATTGGAAATAGATTTAGGTGGCTGAGCCACTCCTGTGCTGGCTCTGGATTTCACTTGGTAAATTACAGGGGCTCAGCAGCTCTGGAGCTTTAGTGGGTTATTGAAAACCACGTTTTAATGTGAATTATTAAGGCTTGATCACAGTGAGGTGTTGTACATGCTCGCCATGCTGGTACAGTCTGGGTTTAAGTTATGATTCCTGGGAGTGCAGAGCTTGGTGGCACCAAGGCAGAGGCAGGGAAGGTCCCCAACAGCCCTGTGTTCAAGGAGTTCTCCCTGGTTTCCCAGGTCTCGGAGACAGAGCGGCTTTGCTACGTGGGGCACAATTTCGGCAGCGGGGTCATGAGGTGCAACTCCCTGTGCAGGTATGGAAGAAGGAGCTGGGAGTAGAGAGGGGCTGCTCAGACACAGAGCTTCTAGTCCCTTCCCTTGGCCTGGCTCAGAGCTGTGATGGGACCTACATTTCACCTAGTTTAGTTGCCTTAAGACTTCTACATTTACTTAGAGCAGTGAGATGTTATGTTTTTGTATGTACACGTGCCTTGGAGGTAACTTGGTTTATCATGACATTCTGAATGTGCAAGGCAGGAAAAGTGGCAGGGGTGGGAAGACCACGTAGTTTAAGTCATTTCTGGTTCCCACCAATCACTTGCCCCTGTTCTCCCCAGGTACTTTGTAGGTGTGTTGGACAAGGACTCTGGGCAGATGGAGGTCTACAACGCCGAAATGTTCAACATGCAGCCTCTGCTCTCAGGTGGGAGGTGCTGGGTGTTGGCCCAGTCCGTGCCAGGCCTGTATGTGCCTCCAGCTCTCAGCTGCTCTATCTTCCTCATTCCTGCCTTGTTCCCTCAGCATGGAGGAAGGAGGATTCCTTCACTCCTCCATGCTGTGAGGAACAGTGGGAGAGGGAAGCACAGTGAGACCAGAGTGGAGGTTAAGCAGGGAGTGTGAAGGTGAGAGTCAGAGTGTCGCTGCCCAAGTGCAGCTTTATCTGGGTGTGTTCTGCTGAGGGAGGACTGGATCCCTGAAAAATAAAACAGGTTGTCTTCAGCAGAACTAGTTTTTGTCACGGGACCCGGGAGGGTAACCCAAAGGATCAGGTCTTTCAGAGCTGATTTTCACTCTATGAAGGAGGACCTGGGTTTGGCCACACCCAATTGGCCACAGTCCATTGCACCCATAGGCTTTATAGCAAAAGCTCTTTTTTTGTTCTAGGTTCTCATATTTGATGTGTTCTTTAAGTGGCCAAGCCCTGTGGAATTGATCCTGATGTGATGTGCCAAGTCTGTCAGTCACACTTAAGGCATTCCTGTCCTGGTTGCTGCCATCCAAGCAGACTAACTTCTGTTCTTTTATAGATAACTTGATACCTGATGACACAAAGGATTATCAGAAAAAGTCCTACAGGGAGAAGGTAAAGTTGAAACCCCATGTCACATTCTGCTGTGAGTATCCGGCCAACAGGGGCAGGTGATGCTTGTGTGAGGCTGGGGTGTTTGGTGTCCTCCAGGGTAAACCTTTGCAGATACAGCACTGTCACTGTGCCCTGGAGGCAGTACAGTTAGTGCCTGACTTGGCAGTATTTTCGTGGCTATTTTAGGCAGGATCGCCATCCCAGGAGCTTCCTGTCCCTCGCAGACCAGCACCTCCACACGCAGGTGTTGCCCTGTGAAGTGTTTGAAGTTTTATTAGAGGATGTGGCTGTGGAATGAATGATGGGGTTTGGGTGCACAGGGTGCTTTAATGTGTGTCTCTCCTGCACAGGTGGATTTGTGCATCGAGGCCTTTGGCACCAGCAAGCAGAAGCGAGCGCTGAGCTCTCGGCACATGAACGCTGTGGGCAACGACATCGTGAGCACAGCTGTGACAAAAGCAGCAGCAAACATTATAGATGCAAAGGGAGTGACAGGTAAGAGGATTCTGTCTCGGTGTTTAAGGATGGCAGCCTGAAGGGCCTTTTCCTGTCCTTGCCAAGTGGGGAGTGACTGAAGAAGCAGCTGGTCTAACAGCTGAGAAAGGCACACATGAGGGAACGGCTTCCTTTTGCTCCTGCTAGTCTTGGTGTGGGAGTTGCCTGAATGAGGGAAAGGCCCTGTGACCTCAGTGTTCATCCTGCCCATTATTGGGAGCTCTTGTGGGAGTGCCTGGATATGCATTCACTGGGATAAAGCCAGTGACCTTGGTCTGAACTCAGTGGCATGGCTGTGGAAAATGGCACAGACTTACCTCAAAGACTGTTGCGCCCTTGGGACAGGTCACAGCATGGTGCAGGGTTACCATCTTGGGGGGTTTCCAGGCTGTGGCAGGACAGAGCTGTGGCTGCCCTGACTTTGTGCTGTGGACCCCCCTATGCTGAGCAGGAGGGCGGACAGAAGCCCTCCAGAGCATTTCTGGGATCCTGAGTGTCATTGGCATGCACAAGAGAGGTGTCTGTTGAGTGTAGAACCCAGTAGCTTTTGTTCTGGGGTGGATATTGACAGTGGTCCCAGAGCTGCTTTGTGCCAAGTAGGTGTTCACTGGAACCCAGGGTGCCAAAACTGTGCTCTGCCCATCAAGCAGCAGCCAGACATCTTGGTGCCCTTCTTTCCTAAATGTTTCTCTAGTCTGGAATGGTTTTTCTAAATTTTAAGGAGCAGAAGGTTCTTGGTAGAAGTTTTAAATGTTTAAAGCTCCAGCTGTGACTAAACTGGTGTTGACCCAAGAGACACCATTGAGTAGACTTGCGTCTAAAGGGAAGATTTGGGTTATGTTCCTGTTCTCTGCATTTTGCTTTGCACAGTCCAAACACTCCCCTCCTGCTTCCCTCCCAAGCTCTGATGCAGGATGTGGCCCAGGATGACGTGCAGACCATCTCTGCCTTCCTCCCGCCGTGCCACGAGGATGCCGACAGGCCGGAGCACGTGTACAAGTTCGAGGACAGTATCTTTTCCTGGTCACAGGGGTTTCCGTGTCTGTAAACCTCGATGTGCCCATCTGGGAGTGAGCCCAGCCTTTACCTCTCACAACCCAAAAGCTGGGAGCAGGGTAATTCTGTGTTGAGCAGGATTCTGTCCCTGTTGGCAGAAGTTCCACTGGGAATAGTGGTGAGGCGGGCCATGCAGAAATGACTTGGGTTGTGCCACAGTCTGTTAGAGGCTGCTGTCCCTGGAAGGGAGAGCCCAGGCCTGTTCTTTTCCTTAAAGCCCTGCCAGTCCTGTCCCCCACCGAGTACGAGGCGCTGCGGGTGCCAGCAGCTGCCCTGGCCAGCGCCACCGCAGAGGACATCGCCAAGAAGGCAGAGGAGAGGAGGTAATGCTGCTGCTGAGGACCATGTCCTGACTGGGGGCACGAGAGCTGCCCTGGGGCAGAGGGGAACGTGTGATCCAGGCATGGCTGAGCAACACCTGCCTTGGGGAACGTGGGGGATAGTTGTGTGCACAGCAGCGAAGTGCTCTTTGTGGAGCTGAACTCCCCCTCCCTCTCCTGCAGCCACTGCTCCTTTGTTTTGGAGGAGCTGAAGTTCCTGCCTGCTGATGAGAAGAGCAGAGACCACAAAACCCGATGCCTCTGGTTCCTGGACACCCTCATTAAGTTCAGCCACCTGAAAGTGATCAAGAAGAAGCGTAAGAGAGTTTTCAGCTCATGAAGATGTGCTTTTGGGAATGTCTTTGGCATCCCTTGCTTGTCAGCTGAGTGTGAGGATCTCTTCTGTCCTCAGGGTTCTGCTTTTGAAACAACACGACACCAAACACTTTGGTTGAGATTTTCCAGGCTTGCCAATCTTCCATAGAACTTGTGTATTTGAATGTCCTTGTCAGTCCGTGGCAGGGCTGATGGAGGAGGAAGTGGCAAGCTTGGCTGTAGTGTCCCCCTGTGTTCCTGGGGACACAGGAGTCACCTGTAGGACTGCTAAGGAGGATGTGGGAATGACTAGTCTTGGTCGTAATAGAGACTTGTAAATGTGGTCTCAGCTTTATTAGTATTTTGTGGCAAAAGAAATACACACTTAAGTGTGTGTGTATTTTAGATTGTCTAGTGTAGAAGTGGGAGATCCCTTTTACGAAGAAAATAAAAGCTGTCAGGAGCCTCTCAGACCTGAAGAATTATGAAACCTAGAAGCCAAGGACCCAGGCTTCTTTTAGGGTCTCTGTGTTCCTGGGAAGAGGTGATAAATGGTGGGCTTCTTGGGGTTGGATTCAAGTATCCTTGTGGGTCCCTTCCCACATGGGATATTTTCTGTGATATTCCATTTATAAGTGTCAGGGTGATACATGTGCTGCTGGGATGGGTGGGTGTGTGTTCCTCATCCTTTTGCCAAGCCCATCTCTGGTCTAGATCCAATGGGTCCCGAGTGCCCACACATCATCAGCAGGAAACTCATGAAGAATTTCACCTCACTGACCTACAACAACGGCAGGTAAGGGACACTGTGTGAGGCTCCTGAGGCACAGATAGGGCAGAGCTCAGCTTGAGTGGCCACAGACACACCATCAGGAACTCCCATACACTCCCCATCTCACAAGTTCTCTCTTTTGCCATACAGTGTCCAGAATTTAGTCTCTGCATCCATGAAGGCTAAAATCACTGCCTATGTCATTCTCTTGGCTCTGCACATCAACAACTTCCAGACAGACCTCACCGTCCTGCAGAATGACATGAAGCTTCAGGAGAGCAGGTGAGCCATCCTGTGTGTTCACACCTGCTGGGATCCTCCTATAGGGAGACCCTGGGAGAGCCCTGAAACTACCCTGGCATCTGGGTCAGGATTTAGTTTTCCACAGGTGGTGTCTGTAGGTGCAGGACCTGCATTTCCCAGCAGGTGTCAGCTGCTGGCTGCTCCTCGGATTAGGGCAGGAGGCCACAGATCCATGCGGTGTCATGGCACAGGAGGCTCGGCAGCCCCACTGATGGTGTTTCTTCATTGTTTTCCAGGATCCTGGACATCGCCAAGGCCCTGCGGCTGAAGATATCCAAGGCCAAAGGGGGGCTGGGGCTGGAGAACGACCAGAACCACAAGCTGGGCACTCTGTCCCTGCCCTTGCCCATGCAGAAGGCGCCAGCAGGACAGCGGAAGCGCAAGAAAATTAACTGAAAAGCCCAAGAGGTCTGAGGAGCAACACAGCCCCTCCCTCAGAACATCATGGGGATGCCTTTGTCTGCTGGATTTGGGTCCAGCACTAGGGTGGAACAGATGTTTGCTTCATTACAATGCTGCTTTTTTTATATTTATGTAGAAAAAGCTGTAATAAAAAGAGTCTGTCTCCAGGAGGGGAGGATGTTGTGCAGGATCAAGAGGGCAGGGGACATGCTGCTAAGGAAAACAGTTCAGCGTGTCCCCAGCCGCAATCCGTGCTCTCCACTCATCCTTGCCCACGGCAGGCACCGGCCAGGACCGGGCACGGTGAGGCCACGACAGGGGTCGGCACCGCTGCCCCCGGCCCTGCACCGCCCGGCCGGCACTGCGGGGGCATCTTCCCATGCACGGCTTAGGCAAGAACATCCACCCCGCCCGAAACACCCCCAAACACCCCGGAATCACGCCTAAACATCCAAAACCCCCTCCAAAATCCCCTAAAGCATCCCAAAATACTCCAGCGGCAGTGCCGGAGCCCGCTCGGTAGGGGGCGTTGACGGAACAGAGGGGAGGGGTCTGATGAAGGGGCGGGGCTTGGTGAAGGGGGTCTGGGTGGAGGCCGGGAAGGGGCGGGGCCTGGCGAACGGGGCGGGGGTAATTTACCGTTTAAAGACGCTCCCTTACACCTTGTGCAGCGACACAAACACTGAAACACTAACGAGCCGTTGTTATTTACGACCGAACTAATAAAAGCAATCGAACCCCGCCACCGGAGAGAGACTCTGTGACGCCGAGCCGCGGGCACTGAGCGCTCCGGGGCTGGACAGAGGGTCCCGCCAGGGAGCACTTGCGGCCCGGCGCGGGCGAACCCGGCCGTGGTTCCCATTCCCGTGCCCGTTCCCGGCCCCACTCCCGCCCCGCCCCGCGGTGGGCGTGGCCCGGGGCGGCCTCACGCGACTGGCTGGGGCAGGTTGGAGGCGTGGCCTGGGCGTCCCCTCGCGGTCGGCCCACCCCACGGCGGCGCGGTGACGTCACACGGCGGCGCGGTGACGTCAGAGAGCGGCGCGGTGCCGCGCCGGGCCGGGCGCTCCGGGCGCACGATCCCGATCCCGACCCCGATCCTGCCGCTCCCATGGCACCACCGCCCGCAGGTGCGTCCCGCTAGCCCGCCCCGGACACGGCCGCAGCGCCCCGGGGGCGGAAGGGTGCGGTTCCGCGGGCCCGGCCGGGCCGCGGCCGCGGCCGCCGGACTGACCTTGGGCCCCGGTGCAGGGTCCGTAATGCCACCGGGAAGCGCGGGATGTGCCGTGTGGGCTCCGCGGGCAGGGCGCGGTGCCGAGGGCGGTCGGACTGCCCGGGGAGCGGCCGCGGCCGGCCCGGGCCGTGCGCGGGCACTGCGGGGCTGCGGCTCCCCCGGGACCTGTCCCCGCCGTGCGACACCGGGACGAGCTGCTGCCGCGGGAGCCGCGGCCGAGAGCGGGGACGGGCCTGCCGGGAGCCTGTCGAGAGCTCCTCCCGGGTCAGGCCTTCCCCAAGGGACAAAGACGGCCGGCACACCACAGGGAGCGGGCGCGGCTGAAAACGGGTTTCCCTTTCTTCCCCTCCCTCCTTTCTCTTTTGCCTTCTTTCTTTCCCCCCCCGCTCTCCCTCCCCCTCGCTCCTTTCCTTTCCTCCCTCCCTCCTTTCTTTCCCCTCCCCTTCCCTCCCTCCATTCAGCACCTCCTCGCTTCAGGCGGGGCTGTTGTCCCCACACCCCCTTCAGATCCTGGGAATCTCGTGCTGCTGGCGCTGGGGAGGATCTGAGGCTCTCAAACCACTCCCAGATGTCAGTGACCTCCCTCAGACTGAACTGTGATGGAGGGTGGGATTCAGGCAGATATAGTTTTTCACAACTGTTACGTAAAAACTCCCCTTCTGCTGACAAACAGGGCTCCACAAGTACTGATCCCTGCCGTCCTCCCCCGAGTTGTCTGGGGGAGCTGCCCCTTCCACGTGTCCTTTAGGACTCGGGTCCGGCCCCACTCGAGCTCTGAGACTCCTCAGCAGAGCGTGGGTGTGGATGCAGAGGAGGCTGCAGGGCAGGGAATTGGGACTGCCAGGGAATTTCACCTCTGTGTCAGTGAAATCCCACCTGTGTGGCACCTGTGCACCGGCTGTGGCTGAGACACAGGGAGTGGCTGAAAGTGCTCAGCTCCTGACTGGGATAAACTGCAACAGGTTGTGATTTATCTGTTGTGTTCTGCTGCAGGGAGAGGCAGATTGGAAGGATCAGGTCTTGTGATGCTGCTGCACATGCTGGATTTAATTTTGGTGTTTTGTTAGTGTGAGGGTCAACTTTTCACTGTTACAATTCCTAATTCTAGGGGAATTCCAAGGGAAATCTGGTTTGTAAGCTTATTGGCTGTAGTGTAGCACTCTAGGAGTTCATATCTCAATTTCCTTCCTGATTTATTTGTGTTTTAACTGGAAAGTGCCAAGAAAGGCAGAACTACTTTTTACTGTCTCTGAGACTTGAACAGAAAACGATGCAACATCCAGCAGATGTGGCATTTGTTGCTTTTCCCCTTCAAACTCGGCGGGACTTTGTTGAGGGGTTGTTTGAGTGATGCAGGGACGTGGCAGAGGCTGCAGGGTGCCCCTCAGCCCCGCTCACCTGGTTGTCTTTGGTGCAGGGAGGAGGCTCTGAGGACGCTGCACAGGAACACCGGGACGATGGGTCTGGGAGGTGCTGAGCCCGAGGACCCCACGAGCGGCGAGGCAGCGGCCCCAGGCAAGCACTACGTGTGCGGGTACTGCGCAGCCTTCACCAACATCGCGGTGACCTTCCCCATCCAGAAGGTGCTGTTCCGGCAGCAGCTGTACGGGCTGCGCACGCAGGACGCCGTGCGCCAGCTGCGCCGCGATGGGCTGCGCACACTGTACCGCGGCATCCTGCCCCCGCTGCTGCAGAAAACCACCACTCTGGCGCTCATGTTCGGCCTCTACGAGGACTTCTCGGCGCTGCTGCTCAGCCACGCGCGTGCCCCAGAGCTGGTGACGCGCAGCGCGGCCGCTGCACTCGCCGGCACCACCGAGGCCGTGCTCACGCCCTTCGAGCGCGTCCAGACGCTGCTCCAGGACTACAAACACCACGATAAGTTCACAAACACTTACCAGGCCTTCAAGGTGCTGAAAGCCTATGGAATGAGGGAGTATTACCGGGGGCTGGTGCCTATTCTGCTGCGAAACGGGCCCAGTAATGTGCTGTTCTTCGGCCTGCGTGGGCCCATCAAGCAGTGTCTGCCCGAGGCGACCTCGCACAGCACCCACCTGGTCAATGACTTCATCTGCGGGGGGCTGCTGGGTGCCATGCTGGGCTTCCTGTTCTTCCCAGTGAATGTGGTAAAGACTCGCATGCAGGCTCAGATAGGCGGGGAGTTTCAGTCCTTCTCCAAAGTGCTTGTGAAGATCTGGCTGGAGCGCGACAGGAAACTGATGCGCCTCTTTAGAGGAGCCCACCTGAACTACCACCGCTCTGTGCTGTCCTGGGGGATCATCAACGCCACCTACGAGTTCCTGCTGAAGCTGCTGTGACCCCCATCCTGCTTGTGGGGCATTGGCACTCACGGTGTGTCTGGGCACAGGGAGCAGGGCCTGTGCACGTGACAGGTAATTCCTCCTGGCCTTCCATATTTATGGGGTGAATGGTGATAAATTTAAACCTTGGTGCAATTGTGATGAACTTTTTAAAGTATTCCTTTGCTGGCAGGTGAGTTTACCCATAACGGAGCTCCTAGGCAAATACAAGGTTTAAAAACAAATATCAAAAATACTTGTACCAGTCTGTTATTCAGTATCACTCCCAAAATTCCTTAACTCTCTGTGATGGGTTGTGCTCCACTGCCCGCATTTAGAACGTGAGAATCAAGGAGAGGCTGAAGAAAACTGATTCCATTGCCTGATCAACTTCCAAGTCTTGATTCTGGAACTGCTTTTTCAGACCCTTTGGGTCTTCATTGTGTCAAGCTCAAAGGACACAGATGGGGATGACTGAGGTGTAGAGCTCCCAGCTGCACCTCAGGCTGCTTGCAGCAGTGACCGTGTCCTCCAGCCGTGGCACTGACCATGTGACCTCAGCCCAAGCTGGATCTGTGTGTGTGTGTGTGTGTGTGTGTGTGTGTGTGTGTGTGTGTGCGCGTGCGTGTGCGTGTGTGTGCGTTCCTGGGAAAAGGGAAAAGTAGAAGGAATGAAACAGCAAACTCACTGAAGCTTTAAAGTGTCCTTCCTTGTAAAAAAACACGGAGTTTGTTCTGCTTAATCTTTTTGTTTGGGGGGTTTCGTTGGGTGGGTTTTTTTGCATTGCTACATTTTTGTTGCCTACAGCTATGGGGCCAGGGAGAAGCTGTTCCTCTTTCCAACACTCACAGAACACTCAGGCTCCTGCAGCTGTTGAAGCACTTCACACACGGCTCTTTGCACTGTGGTGTCTTGTCTTTTCTCAGTTCCTTCTGTGGAATTATGGATCTTGTGATTTTTTACCCAAAACTCAGGGTTCTGCCTGCTTGATGTGTGCTGCTGAAAGTTCTGTCAGACACAGTGGCATAGACAAGGTGAGGTTCCTGGATTACCTGCTTCAGTTGGAGGTCTGTAGGTGTAGCGGAGATGGAAGCCAAAGACGACCTTGGAAGCAGGGAGGTGGGAAAGTAGAGTGTTTGGAGATGTGTTTCAGGACTTCTGTGGGCAAGTACTGAAAAAGACTGACAGAAATGTGAAAATTGCGTGTCTAACAGACGTGAGAGTTGAGAGATAAAAGACTTCAGACCTTAGAAACAAGGACAGAAAAGCAAGCACGACCCTGAGCCAGGTGAGGGTCTCAACAAAAAGCATTTGATTCTCCTGGGGGACTTCCTGTTATTGAACTGTATGTTTATATATATATATATATAAACCAAAAGACTGTGGATGATTGCGGAGCAGCAAAGCTTTCAGAAACTGGTCTCATTTTGGTCTTTTTGTAACTTTTGGAGGGGCTATTGCTTTTCTAAATTACAGTTTTCCATTTGCTAAACTGTCTTCCGATATTGATCCTAATCAGTGTGTTGCAATCATAAACACAGCCCTGAGCTTCACAGCCAGCACAAACACAAGTTCCTGTATCCCAGTGGTGATTATCTGCATCTAAATAAAATGTTTACTGGATATTTGTTACTGGCGGAATCTGATTTTTACCAGTGTGCTGGGTTTTTTTGTAATCACTCCTTGATGGAATAAAAACAAAATCTGCATCCTGTTTCTCTGTGGAAGATGTTCTGTGCTTCTGTAATGTCAGGGAAGCTGAAGTGTCAAGGGTGAGAGTTTGGCACAAGCCCAAAGCCAGTCAGTGGCTTTCAGACCCAGCAAAATAGTGCAGACCTGGTCTGAGGCTGAGAGTCCAGTTTTGACTTTTCATACGTCATTTTCAGAAAAACATGACGGAAGAGCACTGAGCTGCGTCTGTGACACAGAGGAACTGCAGCACCTAAGCACTAAGAGGTTTTTTTCCTTTCAGTTTTAGGGGGTAGGCAAGAACCAGTGAGCATTACAGAACACAGCTCATAAAATAGATTTTAATTCAGTGAATTATTAAATATTTATTATGCAAGCAAGAGAAACTGTCCACAAATAGTAAGTTACTGTACGGCTGTAAGTACAATACTTTCAGAGCAGTTCTGATACTTCATATATGGTATTAAAAGGCTACAGTTTTTACTATGAAATCTCAGGTATTTCAAAATATTCTACATGCACAATTTGTTTTTGTAGTAAAAACCTTATACTTAATTGAGGATACTTAGTGCTTTAGAAAATGTACCTTTGACTAAGATCGGGAAATGAGAAGTTTCTGTTTCCTGCAGGACAAAAACAGGATGGGCCGTTGACTTCTTCCTTTCACTCCAATTTTTTATAATCCTGTAAAGTAGATTTTTTAAAAGCTTCCATTTGGCAAGTGTATTTCTGTTTTCTAGGAGTTTCTACGTCCTAAAGCAACAGACCCATGTTCTACCGTGTCATAACCTTCTCCACATCAGCACTACCCAAATCAAAACCACAACACAAACAAACAAACAAAAAACCCCAACAAAATCAACCAAGCCCCACCCCCTCCCCCCAAACCCCCAGAAAAACCTGATGTTTACATTCTAAATCTGGTAGTAGGCATCGAACTGTCCTTACCCCAAGACTCCAGGAGTGCAAACGAACGTGTGTGTGTGTGTCTGTATTGCTGTGCTTTCCTTCCTATCCCCATGCTCTGTCTGCCGGTGCTGTGTCTCCCTGGGCTGCCCTGGTTGGCCCTGCACTGGAGCCCGTGGCTGTGCACGCTCTGACACCCCCATGCACACACCTGTGTGTGGCCACAGGGCCCCAGTGATGGCCTCCCCCTCTCCCCCCCACACTGGGAGACACTCTGGCCATGCACGTGCTGCCACAGCCACAGAATGTGACAGAACCAGCTCCAGCACAGCTCTGGTTCCTCAGACACTGCCAGGTGTGGCCTCCCCACAGATCTGCAGCTGCTGACCAGCTCTGGAGAGGCAGGAATTCTTCCACTAAAGACGTCCTTGAGTACAAAGACAGGCATTTAACAACACACTGCACAGCTAGACAGAGCTCTGTCCCCAGGAGAAACGCTGTGAAATTTAAGTGCTGCAGCACCAGTTTACAGACACCCCTGGTGTGAGCCACCCCCCAGAGGCTGCCAGCGCAGTCCCTCATCTTCCTTGAAAACTCTTCTTCACAGTTTTATACACTTCTCAAGGTTAAGCATTCAACCTTGGAAACACAACTATGATAAACCTTTTTTTTTTTTTGACTATTTGGAAATAACTCAAAGCTCATGGACACAAAACTTCATTGCTTCAGTAAAGTTACTGTAAGAGAACTGAAAATCCTCCCACTACAACATGACTGCAAGGTGTGCCAGCTGTGAACCACTCAGGAGTGAACTTCACAGGCAAAACGTGGTAAAACTTTCATGGAAAACTTCCGAGTGTTGTTGAAATGGAGTAATCAATCAAATGACCAAAGTCTAAGACTACCTAGTTACTCTAATTCAAACTTATTACAAATGTCATCAGAAGGACAAAGTAACATTTCTACAGCATACATGTACAGATTCAGTTGTTTTATGCATCTGCTGGACACGCTACAAAAGCATCAAGGTGACCAAACCCCCTCACCAGGTGAGCTGTCGGTCCCAGAGCCGGGTAGGGCCACTCAGCCCACCACAGGTCGTATCAAGGTGTGGTGACATGTGTCACTTTGGGGTAACAGTTCTTCATACAGAAAGGTGAGTGTCCAATGCTCAGCACAATACTGGTGTAAAACACAGCGTATCATGAGGTAGAATTAAAAAACACTCAGTGCATATTCACAGGCATAGCGTTACAGTCACTAGGGATCCACCAGTCCGAGGAAGTTCCAAGAGGAAAGAACAAAAACAGCCTTGAAAGCAGACAGACAGACCCACCCAAGAAATGCTTCGATTCCACGGGTGGTCCTTCACCTCCAAAACAAACACTGTGCAAGTCCATGAGAACTGTGAAACTCCCTCGAATGTCCCTGTAGTCCCTTCCATGACGTGTAAGAAAACACCAAATAAGGTGAGAAAGCAGCCTGGCAGTGGGAGAGAACTGCCCAGGGAAAAGCCACAGTGGTCTGGGACAGGACCTGTTTTTTCCCCAGACAGCTTGGCCCATTACAAACTCCTTGTAGCTCCTTCTTTGCATAAAAGTCTTGTATCCCACAGCTGCCCCTGGGTTTCCTGCACACTTCCCTCCCAGGGCATTAACCCACAGCCCAGGGAGCTGACCTTGAGCTGCTCCAACAACCCCAGACCCACGTGCCCAGGTGCAGGCTCAGGCTCACAGGGGCTGGGTGCCAGCAGAAGGGACGTTTGCCCTCAGATTACCAAACACCAAATACTGAAGGCTTCTTATTACCAAAGAAATTCTCCACAGCAGGAAATTTAAGACTTTTTTCTCTCATAATGCAGAGGAGCCTTAAGTTCAATAATTTCTCCAGCACCACCAGGGTATGCTATGCTGCCTGCACAAATCCAAAGCTACAGGAGGTTCCTCAGGCTTATGCTTCCAGCTCTCTTACCTCCAGAAATGTTGTTTTTATCCCCAAACGTGTTTTGCAAAAGGCTTTGTAAAAGTCAGCTTTGAACAAGTGTGCTCTGTCGAGCCACAGACAGTGAACCTGAACACCAAAAGCTGACAGTCCTTTCAGGTAAAGTTCTGAAGTTCCCCTCTGAACTGAGTGTGTGACTGATCAGTGAAACTTTAGTGAAATACTAAAAAAAAACCTGATCTTGGAACACGTAAGCGAAGAGATTATAACCGATGTGGACTGAAATACCTATGCATTTACAAGGTTGTCTCTATTAACTCGGGGGCTGAAACCTGGCATTTGTACTTTGGGTATGGTCACAGAATCCACTGAGTTGGAAGGGACTCAAAAGGATCACCCAGTCCAACTCCTGGCCCTGCCCAGGACACCCCAACAATCCCACCCTGTCCCTGAGAGTGTTGTCCAAACACTCCTTGAGCTCTGGCAGTCTTGGGGCCATGACCACTTGTCCAATGCCTGACCACCCTCTTGGGGAAGAACCTTTTCCTAATATCCAACCTAAATCTCCCTGACACAGCTCCAGCCGTTCCCTTGGGTCCTGTCATTGCTCACAGAGAGCAGAGATCAGTACCTGCCCCTCCACTGCCCCTTGGGAGGATGCTGATGGTCCCAATGAGGCCCCTCCTCAATCTCCTCCAGGCTGAATAAATCAAGTGCCCTCTGCCCTTCCTCATAAGGTTTCCCCTGCAGACCCTTCACCAGGATGAATGTTACAGTGTTCCACACCTGCTGATAAAGACTGGTTAGATCCAGACAGATCTCACTGTTGACCGGTTTGCTTCTAAACTCCTCCCAGACTGAGAGCACACGTGAAGGAAGGCTCACCAGGTGGTACTATGGACACATCCGAATGAATTCCTCCCACAGCCAGAGTGCAGGCAAGGTGTGGAAAAACAGCCAGCTGGGAAACACCCCAACATCAGCAGAAAGCCATAGTGTTTCAGATGTGGGATGATGTGGGAAAACTTCCTACAACAGAAACCCAGCAGTGGAGGAGCCAGAGCTGCCCCACTGCACGAACCATCAGAGTTCCTCTGGGTCAGGGTCTTCCGCAGCGCTGAGTGAGGGGCTCGAGGGGGGCCTGCCTGCAAGGGGGGGGGCCTGGGTGAGCTTCAGTGGTCCCTCCCACCCCGTGCCACTCTGTGACTCATTTTTCTAGCCAATCACAACCAAATTCATATAGAAATAAAAGTAAAATTTCCTTTTCCTTTTTTTTTTTTGTCAGTAACTGTGTTGCTTATGTAGTCAAGCAGCTGATTATCTACAAATCACCACCAAGTTGCTTCAGCGACAGAGGAGGAAGGAGAGGTCAGGCAGAGTCCAGCTCCTATGGGACAGGAGGCACCCGGGCCCCCTCTGCACTGTCTCAAACAGCCCATTCCAGTTGCACTAAAGGAAATGATCAAGTATCAGGGTACAAACACAGCAGGACAGCAACTCGATGGCACGGGACCAGCAGCAGCAGAACTCCACTGGCTCTGGGACACGGCCGCAGGCTCGTGGGTGCAGGAGGAAGATCTGCACGGTGCTGCATTGGAAAATCCTTCCAGGGCCGTGTTCCAAGACCACAGTAACCGAGATCCCATCCAGAGCGAGAGATTTTGGAGAGTGCTGAAGTACAACCCACGACCATCCAGGCGCAGGCCCCGCTGCCGTGCCTAGAACTTGGGCTGGTAGAGAGAGACGCGTCCACTAAGGCACCCCGAGGCGATCTGACAGTGCGTGGGGGAGAACTTGGTGGTGAGCACCACATCGTTGTGGGAGTACAGGGAGCGGATCTCGCGCAGGGGACTGGCCTCCCGCGGCAGGCAGTCCACCAGCTCCCGGCACTGCGCGTCGAAGCCCAGCAGGCGGATGCCGAAGCCGTGCGGGGACGAGATCATGCGGCCGTCGGGGCTGAAGCAGAGCTCCTTGATGTACCCCCGGCCCACGTTGGCCTCCTCGATGCAGTGCGTCAGCCGCAGGGAGCAGCGCGGGGACACGGGGCGCACCGGGGCTCCTTCCTGGAATTCATAGACACAAGTCCACTAAAGGGAGAGGCAGAGAAAGGGACACTGAAAGAGAAGTAAAGCACTGCAAACACACATTCCCTCCCACCAGCCTGGACAGGTAACGAGCAGTTCATGGGACTGATGCTATTGCTGACCCGCCCTTCAGTGAGCACCAAGAACAGACCAGTGCCTCGGCATCTCCCTCGCTCTGAAAGCTGTCCAGCATCAAAGCTGCTTTTTTAATTAAATGGGTGCTAGATATCATCTTTTCAATCTAGTTTTATTTATTATTTTATTTATTTATTTATTTATTTATTTATCTAGTTTTATTTATTATTTAATCTCAAAAACAGGTCAGTGACTAAGTTTGTATTGTGTTGATTCCATTTCAGCCAAAAGACCAAGTGTTCCTAGCTCTGTCCAATGCATTCTTCTGAACCACCCACAAAAGGAACAATACCAGAGAGAGTAAGGCAGACTCCAGGACTGTGGGAAATTATAACTCAGGCAATCAGCAGTACCAACAGACCCAATATAACATTTGCATTTTGGAAAAATCCTGTGCTGTGTAGTGGTTTGGTTGCTACAGAACCAGCTTTAATGATTATAACCACTTTGCTAAGCTTCCACTCAGTCCTCTAAACTTCTGTAAGGGGTTACCATTAAAAAGAGTGGCTTTCTTAAAACAAAAAATCTCAAACAAATACACAGACACCAAAAAAAACCCAGCCCAAAGAAAACCGAACCAACTTCGATTTACATCAGCAATCCAACTAACTAAACTGTTTATTATTGGTCAAGTATTACTGTCTATTGTTGGTCAATTTGGGGGACCAAAGGCTCCAGCTTGCAGCTGAGCTGCAAGCTGGTCTTGTGACTTCATACTTCAAGTAAAAGTTGGAATTGGATTCTGCCAGGAAGATCATTAAAAAAAAAAAATAATTCTTTTTCATAATTTTGGTACAAAATGACAGTATTTGTAAGCATGACTAACTAATCTATTCACATGAACATTTACCCCCAAACAATGAAATTCCAGTACACTTGTCTGATACATGTAACCCCACATGTTTTCAGGAGGAACACGAGGCTCTGACCGTACCTCCTGGTCATCGGTGTTGCTGGAGCACCGGAGCAGCGTGGCCCAGCCCTTGGGGTGCAGCTGCAGCGACGTGATGCAGTTCCCACGATCTCTTTCTCCAGGAACCTCTGGTGTCAACACCTCCAAGCTATTCCTGGGTGATCCACCTGGAAGGGGGATCAGCTGTGAGTCTCAGTCCTGCTGCTGAAGTGGGGTCACACCTGTGACAGCTGCACCCGAGTGCCAGGACAGACCCCGCCACTGTGACAGGGTAATTCAGAGGAGTTTCACAACACCTACAGCCAACACAGTCCTCATTTCAAACTGCTCCTTTTTTTGAAATTTGCATGCCAAAACCTGCATAGAACCACCTCACACCACGAACCACGTCAGAGTCAACCTTTCACACTTCCACTCTTCATTACACTACAGCAGAAGCTGCAGAGTTGGGTTTTTATAGGAACTACTGATTCTCAAGCTTGTATGATGTCTTCTCAAAATTCCTTCCAACATTTGCCCAGCTGCATGCAAGCTTGTCTCCCTTGTTCCCCTAACCCACAGGTAGATCACTCCCTATCATTCAGGTAAGCCTCCTCCTTTCATCACTGTTTCAGCATCTCACCATGATGCACATAAAACTTAACATTATACTTTTTTATATTGCAAGGAATTTGCCAAGTATTCATCCATTTGTCAAGTTCACACTGACTCTCTGGAAGTGTATCCCAGTTTTTACCCCTAAAGATCATTCACATGAATTTTGTTCAAGAAAAAACCACAAGGAAGAGGGAGCACCTCTATGTAACAATAATGTACTGACATAATATAAAGCTCTTGTTGCTGTTATCAGATTTCTCAGAAAAAAACCTGATTAGAACCCCAGGCTTTGGTGTGCAATGATATTTAATTGGTTTAACAGAAGTCATAGCAACACCATTTTTTTAAAACCATAGAGACAAAAACGCAGTTTTTCACTATCACACTCTGGCCTTTTCTGATACAAGTCAAAGTCCATGATTTGTTTTAATTTATCTTTTTTTGGTGACCTTGTCCTACCTTCTCGCTGGGAGGACCGTGACAAGTGTTTCTCAGAAAGTGGACCCGAGTCATGCTGGTGACAGGGTGAACCCACAGCTCGAGGGCCGGAGGAGCCAGATGACGTTATGTCTGCAAACAGCATCACCAGGTGAGCACCACAGGCACGCCCAGCCCACCTGGGACGCTGCCAAGAGCACCCCACAAAACACCTCTAACACAGGGCTGCCCCAGAGCGCTCCACAACATTCACCTGAGCTCGACGTGGTCCTCCTGGCTCTTAAAATCGGGTAGCTGCCAACCTCTAAGGACTTGTTTAGGTCAAGGTCATGCAAAATCAGGAGGTAACCCGAGGAGGTGGAGATGAGCATTTTGGAACAGTCTGGCGTCAGCCTCATTCGCATGAGAAAGCGGGTGTGAAAGAACTTCTTGTGGGGACATCCATCCTCTGTGCACCTGGACAGCAACACAAGCACAGGGCACGGCCAAGGTCAGCCCTGACTCCAGGCCCTGATGTCCTGCACCTGAGGGTCCAAGGTGTGCCCAGCATCCTTGTTCACCCCAAAATCTCTTTCTGGAGCACTGTCTTTATCCTACTTTTTAATGAAATGGCAGAACTCATGAGTTCATATGACCACAACGAGGGCAGAACTTTCTCCAAAAGGAAGAACTACATTTTGGCATGTCAGGAAAAATTTGGTCCTTTCAGTCACTGGACCTAATAGATGGGACATCGCTACAGAGAGGTGATGCAAGCTCTTGGTAAGGGGTATACACTACTCCCAGTGTTTCAGAACATATTCCAGCCCCCCTTGAGTTTGCACCTTGTACAGAAGAGCCCTGTCCTGGTGTGCTGCAGAAACGCCACGGTGCAAACACAGCGTACACATCTGGGTACCTGTTGGTGTCCCAGATGATCACATTTCCATCGAAGCCCGACGTCACCAACAGCCTCGTGTTGGTGTCGTACTCAATGTTCTTGACCCAGCTGGTGTGGCCATGCAGAGTGCAAACTTTGGTGTTCAGCTTCCTCAAGTCCCAGAGTGCAATCGTTGTGTCGTCGGAGCACGTCGCAAACAGTCGGTTATCCAAAAACCTGGGAACGGCAGGGAAACACTGCAACTGTTCAGGGCCTTCTCCAAGGCAAATGCTCTTGGGCAGGAATGTAAGCTAGCACAGAGATAAACAGAATAGCCACGGACAAAAAAAAACCCAAAACACACAGCAGAATATGTACCAATAAAATTTCCAATAAAAGAAGAACTGTCGGGATATGAACCAGTAGTACCTCTGTAGAAGCAAATGAATAAACACACAGAGGCACAGCAAAAGTTTGGTTTAGTTTGGGGGTTTTCAGGTGTTTTGTATGTTAGTGAATCATGTACAAATCACACAAGAGCCAAACCACTGGTGGACAATACGCTCAGACAGAATCCCAGCAGTAACTCCACCCGTTCCCTCTCTGGACAACACTGAGCTCAGTGCGGATGGAGGGGCTGGACTTAGCACAGCTAGGAAGTAAGCCGAATAAACCTAGTCTAGAGGTTACTGAAGCAAATGCAAGGCTTTCCAAAAACACCGAGTGAAGACAAGACCTTGTTTGAGAACACACAAAAGTCGTTTGGTTCACTAAGAAAATCAACAGGCAAAACCACCGAGTTGGCACTACACAATTAAAGCTGAGCACCGTCTGCTCCCACTGGAACTCGGGCCTGCATTTACTTTTAGAAGGACAAAGCATGCTGGTTTATGTTTGGAATTCATGCCCAATAAAAGTATTCAATGAAAAAAAGCCGGACCTGAGGTAAATGGGATAAGGCACCCACTCAAAAAACACCCACTAAACATCCTTTATCTCAGAGCTACACCACACAAAAGCAGCAACAACCCTGAAAAATGAACAATAACTAATCACCATGGGAGAAATCCCAAACTCTGGTGTAATAAGCACTTTTGGTGTTTATTACAAGGAATTTCTGCAGTGCTACAGTGGCTGGAGTCCTGCTCATTAACCAGGACAAGGTTTCAGGTAACACTGCAGTAACTGTGTGCAGAACAGAGTTCAGTTCCTCTGTGCCAGACAGACGCACATTTTACTTCAGCTTTCCTGACAGACAACCAGCTGACGTAAAACTTCAGTCTTTTTCGTAAAAAGGACAGCCAACTTGTGAAAAACATTGACTTATCTGATGAACATGGCACCCCATATCATATCTGTCTCTTTTGAGGGGAAACGCTCAGACTGTTCTGCAGTTTTCTTGAATTTTTTGGTTTGGGTTTAGTTTTTGTTGTTCTGCCGTTGGTTGTTGTTTTGGGTTTTTGGTTTTTTTGGGGGGTTTTTCTTTTTCGCTTTAAAAATTTAAGAGTAGCTGCAATATTATTAGAAGGTACCTTAAATTCACCCCTCAAAATCAATTCACAGACGCAGAACAGTTAAAGAAACTCTGATTTTAAAGGAAAAAATCTGCATGATAAAAATACTGGATTTAGGCTCCCACTATTTTCTGCCCTGTCCTGAGAGACTGGCAGAGGATTGAAAGCATAATGGCTGAGCTGTGGCAAAACACCCCTCCTGACCTACCTGATGTTGTTTACACAGTCTTCGTGGGCCTCAGAGAGAGTCTTGATGTGCTTTGAGGATATTGGGTCAAAGAGCAGGACTTCGGTCTGTTCGCAGGCGACAGTCAGCACCGACCTGAAGGAGTAGAACCTCTGCGTTGGGGGGGTTTGCCCTCTGGCAGGTACCTCTCGTGCTGTGGGTTCCCCTGCCCATACCCTCTGGGTGCTCTGACACTGCAGTAACACCAACTCAAACGCTAATTTGGAATATCTATTTGCCCTTCTGCAAACCCAGCGGGGGCTTTTCACTAAAGCCTTGTAAAACAGATTTGGCAGCACCAGGGGAGCCCTGGCAGCAGCCTGAGCTGGGCACTCGTCAGCGGGGATCGAGGCTGACTGTCCCGGAGAGGGAGGGTCTCTGCTCTGCCCAGGGTCATCAGAGCGGCCTCTGGGCCTGGGGAGCCCCAGGCACACCTGGATGTCGATCCAGGGCACACCCGAATGGGCAGAGGCCCGGGCACACCTGGCCGGGGTTCTCACGCGCACCTACCCGTCGGGCGAGTACTCGAGGTTGAAGACCGCGCCGTGGGTGCGGGTGCTGAGGGACACGGAGTCGGCGGGCTGGATGGCGCCGTACAGCCCGGTCATGGCGCCGAACGTGTCCCGCGCCGGGTCCACGGCGGCGCCGCGGCCCAGGCAGCGCCCGCGCAGCCACGCGAACAGCCCCCCGGGCGCGCCGGGCCCCGGGCCCGCAGGATCGTGGTGCCCGGGGGGCTCGGGGTCCAGCGCGGGCCCCGGCGCCGGGTCCGGGTCCAGCCCTACTCCCGGCCCCGGGCCCGGCTCCGGCTCCGCGCTCATGGCGGCGGCAGCGCGGCTCCGCCCCCTGCCGGCGGGGCGGGACACTGCGCCTGCGCAGCTCCGCCCCCTGCCGCAGGCCCTGCGCATGCGCAGCTCTGGCTCACTCCTACCCCTATGAGGCCCCGCGCTACACGGTCACGTGACCGCAGCTGCACGTGATCGGGGCGGCGCCGGCAGGTTTGGAGCCCCCTGAGCGGGACCCCCGACCCGGATCGCTCTGACCCGGGACCCCCCTGAGCGGGAGCCCGTGACTCGGATCTCTCTGACCCGGGACCTCGGGACCCCCCTGATCGGGACCCCCTGACCCGGAGCCCCCCTGGGCTGAGGGTTCCCGGTTCGGGGGCTCCCTCTGGCCCTGAGCTCCTCAGAATTTGAGTCCAACTTTGCAGTTGGGCAGTTATGATCCAGCCGTTGCGTTGTCAGCGTTGTACAAGGCTGAACCCTCTGTTTTGAGGCAGACTGATCACACACGGGTGTTGAGCTGTCGCTGGGCAGTGCTGCCCCTGTCCAGGGCTTCTCAGCCTCCCCTGCCCTGACAGCGAGGCGGGCACGGCCGGGACAGCTGATCCCGGCTGCGTCAGCTTTTATTTATGTCTCCCCTTTGCCTTACCCCAGTTCACACGCTGACAGTGATGCCATGGGGTGTGGGGGACAGTTTTCCAGGGGGTTACAGCCGTCTGGGGGTGTTGCTGCTCGGGACCAGGCATCGGGCGGTTGGTGCTGAGCAACTGCCTCTGCAGTGGTTTATGCCCGTGCCCGTTCTCATGGCGGCGAGAAAACACCAAAACAGCGCACGCTGGGAACCCCCTGAGCCGGGAGGGGACCGTGCACGAACTCCAGTGCCGCTGCGAGCGGGGCCCCCAGCACGGACTGGCACCGGGCCCGGCGGGAGAGCGGGCACCGGGGGAACCCTCGGCTCTGCCGGGTCCCTTCTGCTCCGGGGCCGCCGCTGCTCCCGCGGGGGGACGGACGGACCCGCCCGGGACCCACCCCCGGCCCCGGAGCGGACCCGCCCTCTCCGCGATGGCGGCCGGCGGCGGGGCCGTCGGGGCGGCTGGGGCTGAGACCGACCCGGCGGACACCGACCCGGCGGGGGAGATGGATCCGCCGAAGATGGACCCGGCGGGGGAGATGGACCCGGCGGGGGAGATGGACCCGGCGGTGGCGGCCGAGGCGCTGCGGCTGCTGCAGATCGAGCCCTCGGCCGCGGGGCCGCGCTCGGGGGGCGCGGAGGGGCCGCTCTCGGTGAGTTCGGCGGGGCCGTGCTCGGTGCCGGGACCCGAGCCCCTCTCCGGTGCCCGGCGATCCCCGCTCCGGTCCCTGGCCTGCCCGCGGTCCCCGCTCCGGTGCCCGGCAGTCCCCGCTCCAGTCCCTGGCGATCCCCGCTCCGGTGCCCCGCGGTCCCCGCTCCGGTGCCCGGCGGCCCCGCTGACCCCTGTCCCCCGCAGAGGAACGCGCTGCGGAAGCGCCGGCGCTGGGAGCGGGTCGTCGCCGCCCGGCGCGGGAAGCGGCGGCAGGAGCGGCAGCGCCGGCGGGCCCGGCGGGCCCCGGGGCGCGGGGACGGCGCGGGGGCGGCGCTCGGCAGCGGCCCCGCCGGGCCCGCGCAGCCCCCGCTCCCCCGCGGGAGGGTCCCGGCCGCCCTGGCCCGGGAGCGGCTGCTGCAAGCGCGGGCGGCGGGGCCGCGGCTCTGCGTGGACCTCGGTGTGGCCGGCGGCATGACCGAGAAGGTACGAGGGGGCTGCCCGGGGGTTGCTCGGGGGTCCCGGGGATGCTGCACCCCGCGTGTGCCCGTCCCTGCCCCAGGCAGGGCACCGAGAGCCTGGCGGGACCGGCCCCCGGCAGAGCACTGGTGTGTCCCCGATCCCGCTCGGTGCCATCCCGCCCCGTCCCCAGGAGAGCGGCCGCCTGGCCTCGCAGATCCGCCGGCTGTACGGGGCGAACCGCCGCGCCGCCCGCCCCTTCTGGCTGTGCCTGACCGAGTTCGCGGCAGGGACGCCGATCTACGAGCAGTGCCTCCGCATGAACGACGGCTTCACACGGTACCTGGTGAGAGCTGAGCCCTGCGCTCTGCAGCACACCCGGCAGCCAGTGCAGCAAAAACACCCGCGGTGGGGACTCCTGAGTCCCTCGAGAACTTGAATCTCATTTAAAATTAGATAATTATTGCTGTTCTCCTTTCCTCAAACCACACCAAAGACTTTTGATGAGGAGAGAATTTAATGGAATTTGAGATATGTAGTGTTCAGTGCCCACACAGAACCATTTTCCAATTGAAAAAGGAAAACCCAAAGCCAGTGTTTCTGTAGGCATTTATACGTCCAAACAGCATTGTCAGTCCCAGGATATCTGTGTCTGGGGGGTTATTTGTTCTGGCAGATAGACCTTGAGCTGATGGGCTGCTCCTCTCCCTGCCTTGTGTTTTTCAGATGGATACAACTCCAGAGAGTTACCTGGACCTATTTCCTTTGGATGCCATTGTTTATCTCACTCCTGACTCTGAAAATGGTACATATTTCACATGCTTTAGGCAACGGAGAGCAGCATCTTGCAGGATTCACTGCTGTGTGGGGCTGAGCCAATGTCCTTTTCCTAGTCCTTGAAGACATCGATCCAGATAAGGTGTACGTGCTGGGAGGGCTGGTGGACGAGAGCATTCACAAGGTGGGTGTTGCCTGCTCCATTCCCTCACGAGAGCAGAGATATCCCAGTCAGGTTGCTGCCACCAGCATCCCTCCTCCCTCAAATCCTGCCCAGACCCAGCAGTGGGCTGGGCCAGGCCGCAGCAGTGCAGGTGCCACGAGGCCCAGGGCAGGTTTTGGCTCTGTAGCTGCTTGTGCCACGCGTGTGTGAGGCCGTGTGGCAGCGTGTCTGTGTGTCCCTGCAGCAGCTGACCCTGCAGAGGGCACGGGAGCAGTGCCTGCAGACAGCCCGACTCCCCATCCGTGAGTACATGGTGAAAGCCCCCAACTCCAGGAACTACCACTCAGAGACACTGGCCATCAACCAGGGTGAGGGGCTGCTCTGGGGCTGTGCCGGGGCTGGGGGGACACGCTGGAGTGTGGTGTGATCCCTGCTGATCCCTGTTCTGAGGTCTGTGTGCTCCCTGGGGGAGCTGTGCATGAGGCAGGGCACAATCTGGTGGGGGGGTGCTGGGGGGCTGTTGTTGGGAGGGTGGGAGTTCAGGGGCCTGTGCCAGGCTCGGTCCAGGGAGGGTGTTGGTGTCCTGTACTACCTTGGGCTGGCACACTTGGTCACAGCAGAGGATTGCAAGGTGGAATTGCAAGGTGACTGCAGATGGGCTCATGTCCTGGGCCAGCTCTAGGAAGTTCTTGCCCCTGAGGTGGCTGGGGGCTCTGTGTGCCCAGGGGAGCCCTGAGGTGGGGTCTCAGCACCCAGGAGTGATGGTGGGAGCACAGCAGGTGTGGCCCAATACAGGGGGTACCATCATCCACACAGACGGGTGGCACAGGTCAGGCAAAACAGTGACCAAAGGCACCTTGGCTATAGTTGACACAGACTCCACTTTGCCCAGAGCTCCCTGAAGTCCTCTCCAAAATACCTGTCTGCCCCTAGATGGGCTCCCTGTGGCACAGACTCTTCAGGTGTTACAGGGGGGGACCCTCTCTGGGTCAGCTGTCACCCCTCCCTGGTGTTTGGTGGGTGTGTAGAGCTGCTGGCACAGGTGTCACAGCACGCGTGTGACTCAACACCTCTCTGCTCCTGACAGTCTTTGACATCCTGTGCACCTACTACGAGATGCGGAGCTGGCCAGTGGCCCTGAAGGCTGGAGTCTCTTCTGGAAAAGGCTTCGTGCTACGGGAGGGAGTGGAACAGGTGGAAACAGCCCAGCACAGCACCGCCCAAGGAAAAAAGGAAATTTTATTTTGTGGTGAAGAGCTGCACAGGCAGGAGGCACCAGCGTGACTGGGCACAGGGAGCACAGTCGCTTGTCAGAGCAAGGGACCTTTTCAGAGCAACACCTTCTACCTCAGCAGTGCCAGACAACCCCCATCCCCCTGGGCAAGGAACAAGAGCTGGTGGAGCCTGGGATCAGTGAAAACTGACGTGAATTCAGTTTTGCTTCCTTGCAGCTGTTTGTTTTTGACTCCTGCACCTACACTTGTTCTGGGACAGGGAGGAGAGCTTTGATGTGTTTCCTTCATTTTAGTTAAACAGTGAGTAAGGTGAAGTTAGGATTGCAAAGCTTATGAGAGAGGAAAATCCCTTCCCATGGGACAGGACAGTGCTGCTCCCACAGGAGAATGCAGGATGGGAGGCAAGGGCACCATGTCCCAACAACTTAAACCCACTTGAAGACTTGGTGAGTTGTTGAAGCCTGTAGCTAGTTCTATGCATCTAATCTAAAATAAAACGTTTAGATCCCCATTGTGTCCTTACAGTTACTATGTGTGGTACCTTGTCATGTGTGACATGCACAGGTGTGTCCTGCTGGGAGGTACCTGGGCTGGGCTGTGCCCTGCACAGAGCAGGGACACGTCCCACAGCCCCAGCAGGAAGCATGTTCATGCAGCTGTGTCGATGTGTTACCTCAGCCATTGCTGCCAAAAGAGACCCAAAGCCTCACGGCCACTGGCAGTGAGACCTGAGGGCCGTCTGAGGTAACTATGGTTATGTGTTTTCATTTCTTTTCACAGCAAGAGTGTCTCACACCTGGGGTTCTGCCCAGGTGAGGCTGTCAGAGGGGCCCCAGCAACAGCAGTTGGGAGGCTGTTGTGGTTTAACCCCAGCCAGGGGTTAACCTCTGCTTATCCCCAGGTTAACCCACAACAGGGGCCCAGGGTGTTGTGGTGTCAGTGGTGGCTGTGACCTGGGGGCTCTTGGCAAGCTGGAGGTGGAGGTGACCCCCTTGGGCAAGCACTGCAGTGCTGCCTCTCAGGAGATGCAAAGTGAGACCACCTTCACAGCTCATACCTGGCCAGGGTGAGCTGCACCTGGTGGGAGTGGGGACAGAGGCTGGTCCTTGCCCATGGAGGCTATGGAAGGGTCACTGCACAGCTCTGACAGTGGCATTTCGGTGTTGGGGCTTGCTGGTTCCTTCTGGCAGACCCAGAGCTGTGAGTAGCACGGGGCTGGGGAGTCAGTCAGGGACTGCCTCATGCATCACCAAACAGAAAGAGAGTTGCTGCTGACACAGGAATTGCAGTGGAAGAGAGGGAGATGGTGCTACCTCCCCAGCCTGGGACAACCCTTCCTGCCCTCACATGGAAAAGTGTTTGAATATGGGATCACTGCGTTCCCTTGGCCACAAAAGGTGGGCAAAGCCACCTGAGGTTCTTCACATTAGGCCAGGGTGGGGTTTGATGTCCCAGAGCCTGCCTGGGAATCCAGGAGCGGGTGAAAGGTAGGCCAAAAGGGTCCTGTCCTTCCCCACAGGTGACAGAATGTGGCTGAGACAACCCCCTGAGAGAGGACACCTGCATGGCCGCTGGGAGGTGAGGGATGAGCCTTGGGCAGGACACACACGCCACTGCAGTGCTCTGAGAGCACCCTTGGGCACAGCATCTCTTGGGGAGCCCAGCTCCCCGTGGCACCTCTTGTGAAAGACGTGTCCTCCCATGGCCATCCTGGGGCTGTGGGGCTGCACATGGCCATGGGGGAGAGCCTGAGGTGGACAGAGGGCACACGGCTGGGCTCTGTCCCCCCCGTGCTGTCGTGTGCCCCCCACCCAGCCTGTCACAGCCAGGGGGGTGCCCTGAACTGCTGCAGGAGACAGAAGATGGCAGCTGAGAGGGCCATGTGCTGGCGGGCGAGGAGCTTGGCCCCCAGCTCCGGGCAGCCCTGCCCGTGGAGCTGCTGGTGGACAGCCTGCACCAGCCCCTGGTAGGTGCCCACCACGTCCCCCAGCGCGGCCCCCAGCTCCCGCTGCCTCTGCCTGCAGCGCCAGCAGTGAGTCACCTGGAAGCAGGTCACTGCCAGGTGAACCAGGCGGTCAAACGTCGCCCTCAGCGCCCGCTGCACCTCCGTGAGAGGCTGTTCCGTGCTCAGGAGCGCTTGGCAGCTGGACAGCAGGTCCCGGGAGGCCCAGCCCAGGGCACCCTTGCTGTCTGCACCCTGCTCTGTGCACTGATCTTGCAGGTGGGTGGCCTGGTTCCCGGAGAGCTTCCCCACAACCTCCTGGAGCTCCGCAGTGTAGGCCAGGAAGCGGGAGAAATCCGCGGGGCTCAGCCACGCCTGGTCCTTCAGCTGCCCGAGCGCCTGGACATGGGGGTCCCGCCCGGCCACGTCCCCCGCAATGGACATTGGGAACCCGCTCACAGGGGTCCCGGGGAGGCTGGAGCTGCTGGCTGGAGGGGTGGTGAGGGGCCCCAGAAATGGAGGGGGGCTGGTTTCGTGCTCCCCCTTGTCAGGCTGGTGGAAGCAGCCGATGTAGGGCAGGCGGCAGCCACAGCTGTTGGTGCCGTGTGGGGACAGAGAGCTCTGTGCTGGGGAACAGCTCCGGGGCCTCGCCAGGATGGGGCAGGAAGGGGTCTGCTCACCCTCCTCCTCGTTAAAGCAGAGGAAGGAGTGTTTCACAGCCCTGTGGTCTCCTGCCTCTTTCCCCAACAAGCCCAAGGAAACTGGGCCTGAGGAGTTAAACAGCCCAGGAGATGGAGCCAGGCAGGAGTCCTTCCCCACCTCAGGAGCCTGTTCCCTGGGAAAAGAAGCCTGTGCAGGCTGTGGCTGCTGTTGAGCCACATTCCCTGTGTGTCCTCTGGGCTCCCCATCACTATCACCCAGCCCCGAGCTGCTCAGCAGCTCCCGCCCAAAGCCTGCTCCAGCTGGGGATGTTGGCATCTCCCTTCCCACAACATCAGCCCCTGTGCACCCACTGGTTCTCTGAGAGGCCAAAGGCTCGAGTGGGACATTCACCCTGTCCTGTGCCAGACTGACTGATGCGAGGTCTGTCCTCACCCCAAACGAGAGCCAGGAGAGGCGGGTGAGAACCCCAGAGGCACCACAGTCTGCCAGGAGCTGGGCTGCGTCTGGAAACCCCACGTGGCCCTCGTGCACTTTCCGCAGGGCCACCCCATTCACCACCTGTGGGCTCCTCGCCCAGGACTCGGGCACGTCACTGCTGCCATCGGCACAGCAGCTGCCACCGGCTCTGCTCTTCTGACAGGGAGCCGGGAGCAGCCCCTGGTCCTCGGCCACCTCCTGGGCAGGGGCCACACTGGGGCCAGGAGCCAGTGGTGGCAGCAAGAGTTCGTCAGCAGGGCAGGTCCCCTCCTGGTCACAGGATGGGGTCACAGTGCCAGCCTTGTGCTGGGTGACCATCACCTCGTCCCCCTCCTCCAGCGCCCCTTGGGCCAGCCAGCCCTCAGTGGGCACACGGCTTCCCTGGCTCAGTGCCCTGGGTTCTGTCTCCAGTGGGGAACTTTCCTGGGCAGCTTCGCTCTGTCCTTTGGGCAGGAACTCCTCTTCCTCTGCGGACAGCAAGGGGGGGTGTTCTGGTGGGAGGCCACTGTCTTCCCCCCCACGCTGGTCACCAGGACAGCGAACCGCCAAAATGGATGAAACCACTCCTTCCATCACCGACTTTGTCTCCATGGTGTCAGGCTCCATCTCCATCGGGTCACAGCAGGAATTTGTGCCAGCAACGTCCCTCTGGGCCTGGGTGGCCACAGGAAGCCCCGTGTCCATGTCCTTCCCCGTGTCCTCACGGAGGAGGAGGCTGGTCCCCATGGAGGGGAAACTGACCTGGGAGGTGTAAGTGGTTTTCAGGAAAGACCTTCTCTTCCTCAGGCTCTTGGCATACATCAGCTCCTTCTCCCCCCTGTGCTTCTCCCTCACTGTCTGCCCTGTTGATGGGTCCTCCCCCAAGCTGTAGCACCTCAGTCTCTTGGGGATGCAGGAGGAGTTCTCTGTACTCTCCTGGGATGTCATATCATAGCCTGATGACAAGGAAAAAAACACAGAAATCAGGAAATAGCTCCAGGCAGCAGAATATCCATATACCTATGCAGTGGGCTAAAAAACCTCTCAGCACAGCACTTGGAATCACAAACACAAATGAACAGCAGCAACACCTGGCTCCCAGGGCCAGGGGAAACTATCTCTCATGATCAAGCACCTCCCTGGTGTCAGAGATGTCAAGGAAAAGGCAGAGCCTGTGTCTGTGGGTACAAGCACCAAAGCTCAGGCTTAGTTATGAGGGCTCTGGACAGTCCCCTCCCAGGCGTGCTGGAGTTGTTTCACCTGATGGCAGATGTGGCTGTAACTCCCCAGTTAAATTGGGTGACAGCAGCAGCAGCTACAGGAGCACTGCCCGTGGCTGTAGGGTTATCATCAACTAGAAACAGTCAGAAATTCCCAGCTGGCTATTTAGATGATAAAAACTTCCAGAGATGACAATTTTTTGTCTGAACACCGTAGAGCGATAATGCACTAGTGCAAAAGTCAAAACTGTTTAATGGCATAAACTAAATTTTTAAGAGGTTCAGTTAATACTGACAGAGCAGAAAAAAGAATCCTCTCCCTTGTGAGGAAATAAAATGACTGGGGAGCTGCTCAGCCTCAGGAATCCTTGACCCAGCCACATAACATGTCCCTGACCTGAATATGACTTTTGATCTTGGGAAACAATGTTTTACAGGTTTTGGCTCTCCTCAGCTCAGAGGAAGAGAGCAGAGATTCCAGAATGCCAGACTCATGTGAAAACTGACTTTTCCTACGACCCAGTGCGTGGATGTGATAACAAATCCCCCTGCAATGTCATGTTGAGGAGTGGCTTGTGGAGCACGGGTGTTTGAAGGTCCTTCAAAAACCTTGGGGAAAGTTTTTTAGAAGGTGATTTCCCCCAGGCAGACTGATGGGAGAACAGGCAGCACCCAAGCCCAGGTGGGAGGAAGGTGACCTGCACCGCGCGGGTGTGGGGTTACCTGCCAGCGCGCCTGGAGGGCTGAGCCTGTCGGCGGCATCGTAGAACTCCTCCTCGGAGCTGGAGTCGCCGAAGCCCGGGGGTGGCTCCAGGACGAGGTGTCCGTGCCCCGCGGGGCGGGCGCTGCCGGCGGAGGATGTGCCGTAGCACAGGCTGTAGTAGCCCGCGGTATCCATCTCGGACAGCCGCGTCTCCAGCGCGCTCGCCCCCGCGCCCTGCTCGGAAGGGCTGCCCCCGGGCCCCTCTGCCGCCGGCACCTGCAGGAAGCAAAAGTAGTCCCGGGCCCCCGCCCCGTCGGGGCTCCCCGCTGCACACACAGGGACGAAGCTCCTGTCCGAGCTGTTCATCTCCTGCACGGTCGGCGTGTAGAAGTGGAACAGCTCTGGCCCGGAGGAGGAACACGCTTCCAACTCATCTTGCTCCAGCGCTTCCATGGAGTCGCTGGAGCCGCTTGTCTTGAACCCCCGGCTCTCGGAGTTGGCCGAGTCGGACGCCTCGGACGTGCTGTCCGTGGCATTGTCACCCCCGTCCCGCGGGTCGGTGCCGTTCCCCCCGGGACTGCGAGGCTCCCCCGGCCTCTCTTCGCTGCCCTGTTCCGCGGGGTGGTCCCCGCGACGGTCCGAGGAGGATTCCAGCTCCCAGGAGTCTTCAGAGTCACTGCAGGCTCGAGATTCGTACCCTGGGATTCAAACACACGCGTCAGCCCGCCCCGTGCGGCGGGGAGGGGGATCAGCCTACAAGGGGAGGTGCAGCCGGACCTCGGGGATATTTTTACCCCAGAGCAGGATGTCAGGGCATATTCCAGCTGACCCCTTGCTCCAGGACTCGGTTTCGACCCCCACGGGCCTGCCCCTATCACAGAATCACGGAATCATGAAGGTTGGAAAAGCCCTCTAAGATAATCAAGGCCAGCCTTAATCCTATGTGGGCGCCACCGGGCAGCTCGGGGCTACTGCCCCTCACGATGCTGTTCCCCGGAGGGAATAACGCCTCCAGCGCTGGGGGATCCACCCACTTCCTCCCCATCCTTTGGCAAAAAAAGGCTGCTTTTTTTAAACCTTCTTCAGCTGAGACACGGTGCAGCTGCTGGTTTTTGTCTGCCCACGTAAATATGGAGGTGTTTGCATCCACAAAGAGTCTGTAGTAGCCGATGATGAGGCAGACGAGATCCTTTGCACTGTTTGATTCCAGCAGCAGAGTCAGCACCTGTTTCATTTGTTTTGGGGTGGGGAGAAAAGAGAAAATGTTAGAATAGATACATATTTGTACCACAGTCTGCAGGAACATGCTGCCCAATGGCAAGGCACCCACTCTCACCCATACACCCCTCAGTCTGTTTTTGCAGGAGTCACAAAGAAGAGAAATCTATTCATTTTTCTTGGCTTTTGTGCCATTGATGGAGGAGAGCAGGAAGAATCACTTTTCTCCAGTAATTTTTTTTGTTCTTCCTATGAGCTTTCTCTCCCAAGTCTGTCCTAAGCCCTTTGCGCAGGTCACACCCCCAGTGTAAGATTTTGAGAAGGTGGTGTGAGTGACTCCTCCCACACTCTCTGGCCCATCGTGGCAGAGTCACTCACCTTCAGGTCCTGCAGGTAGATCTTGACCGTGCTGACTCTCTCGGACTCCTCGCTGAGCTCCACCCTGCTGATGCTGGGGAACTCGGCCAGGCTTGTGACAATGTTGAGCTTGCTGTTGATGATCTGGCTCACCCCATGCTTGGCACCCACCAGCAGTGCCACGTATGACTCCCTGTCCTGCAGCTGTAGGGGCAGAGGTTAAAGAAACCTCTTGTGAAGAGAGAAGAGTTCTTTTTTACTATGAGGTTTAAGTCTTTCCAGTGTATTTTAAAGAGTTTGTGAAGCCTTTCGAGATTTCTTGAGTACTTTATACAACACAAAAAATACAGACAGGACTCATCTGAAGAGCAAGAGTCATAGCTTTCAATTAGAAATTTTATGCATAACTATCATGTAGGCTGGTCTGTTATCCACTTCAATGGGACTATGCTGAGTTTCCCCAGCAGAGCCCCTTACCAACATTTGCCATGGTATCTCAGGACAGGGAGTAGCAGTGTGACCAGCAGGGCAGCACACCAAAGCCAATTACATAAATGAACAGCTCGTACCATCATGGTGGCATTGAAGATCTTCCCACTATACATCTTCAGCTCTCCCAGGATCTGCAGGTAGCTCAGGCGCACCTGGGTTGCTGTGAGCTGGTGCTTCATTTGGCAAGAGAGGAAACACCATTTAGAAACAGGTACTGCAGGCTGGAAGACTTTCATGCAGGACTGTGTATCTGACCAACACGTTCAGCTCAGTCTGGACAGGCAACAGGGTGTCCAGGACCATCCCACATGGCCCACTGGGCATCCCAGAGCAAACTGCAGCAGGACACACCACACAGGGAAGTCGGAGAGTGTGGGAACAGACGAGGGAAAGGCAGGAGAAAAGCCCCAAGTGTTGCACAGGGAGGAGACCCGCAGAGGAGGGACACTCCCTCTTTGGCCCCAAGAGACACTGCTGCCATGCTGGGAGGTCCCAGGGCTCAGTGGTTATACACTACCTTCTGCCGAGGGTCCAGCAGCAGCTGGTTCCGCTTCAGGTGGTACCCGATGGCTTTCTTGATGTCCTTCCCCCTCATGTTTCGAAGCAGGGTGGGAGAGATGAAGTTTTCGATTCCCCAGTCCCTCCTGCCAGAGAGAGAGGAAGGGAGCACAGGGGGTCCTGGCCATGCTGACCCCCAGCACCACAGGACAGGGCAAAGGCACGACACGGCCTCACGGGGCTGTAACACACTCTGCTACCTGCACCTGCCCCAGGTCAGGAGAGGGGCTGGAGAACTCTCACGCAGAATGCCTGTTTGCACCTGCTTTCACAGGAGCTAATTCACAAGCTTTGTCAGCAGAACAGTCCCAATCTCCCCTCATCGCCCAGAGGATGGAGATTCTGTCCTTGCACTCACCTTACTTTGGTGACAAGACTATGACTTTTCAGATCCCTGGACCCAAAAACATGAGCCTTGTGTGCTGCTGGGGGGTTTATTCAGCCCAAGTACTACCTACCCAGGAGGTAGGAGCACTGCAACTGCCACTTGTCCTCTGCTCCCTGCACACAGCTGGGCACATCTGGCAGCACAGTGAGTCACCACATCTATGTCTGTTGATTAACAACTGGCTCATCACTAGTTTCTAAAGCAGGGGGTTCTCTAGGGCAGGTACAGCCTAACTGCACTGACCTGCAGCACAGCACACCTGCTCCTTGGTCATTTCCCCCCAGATTCCATTAATTCACAGGATCTATCACTTTTGCCCACAGTAGGTAGTTCTGTAGTTCTGGCATGGTTCTGGTGAATGAAGAGATGTGCTGGCTATGCAAAGCTGGTGATTATCTCCTCTCTCTCCAGCTACTGCAATCAATACTGGCAGGAGCAGCTTGGGTAATCATCACTGTGTGAGAGGTCTGCAATTTCAAGTCCCAGCTCCAGTGACAGATCAGAACCTCCCTCTGTCTTGGGATATGCCCAGGTGTTCACTGTCTGTACTGTTCAAGTAGTTCAGCAGATTAAGGAAAGGGAGACCCATGAGGCAACCCTAAAACAACCAGCACAACCAAGAGGCTGCAGTCCCTCTGAGTCACAAACAGTCTCCTATCCAGAGCCAAACACCAGGCAAACATTGAGCTGATGTCACTTTTAGGTGGCTCCTTCTTTTTCCAGGCTTAGTCACAAAAAAACCACAGAAACACGCAAACTTACTCAATGTATTTCAAGGACACTTTCTGTGCCTGAGCACACGCATAGATCCTCTCCTGTATGTGCAGAGCAGCCAGACGTAACGCCAGGCTGCACTTCATTTCCACAGCAAACCTTTCCTGGAGCACATCACTGCAGCTCTGGAGCAAAGAGAGCAGAGTTAGCTCAGAAAGAAGTCAGGATGAGACCACTGACACAACACCATGCACCCAAATAAGGGTGTCACCAGCCAACCATACCAGTTGATTCAAGAATTTAGGGCAAATTAAATTGAAATGCTCTGATTTTAAGTGCTCTGCATTCCACATCCATGCAGCTGAGCGAGTCAGGTGCACTGTGGTTTACAGCAAAAATGAGAATGGGGTGGGAAGGGGTTCCAAAGCACAGAACACCCCAGTGTCACCTGTAGGTACAGATATTCAAAGGCCACTGGGTCTTCCTGCAGGAGGTCCAAGGGGTCCTTGGGGACAAAGCACACCCTGAAGAGGCACCGGTAGTCATGAGATTCTCTTCTCTGTACAACCTGCAACAAACACAGGGCATCACACCACAGCTCCTCCCTCCCCGACCGCACGGCAAGCGAACGCACAGGAGTCACTTAAAGCTGCTGGCAAGGGGATGGTGCAGATTGTCCTTAGCAAACACAAAGAGACTTTGCTAGTGCTTGTAATTTTTATCTCTGATTCTTCACTGGTTTTTGCTTCTCCCTGCAGCAGCTTGGAAGCCCTTTGACAGCAACACTTCATCAAACACCCACTGATCTCATACGCTTGCAGTGTGACCAGGACAGAGGCTTTGGGTCCATGTGATAACAGCAGAAGAAGAGGCAAACTGCTCTGCTTTGGAGCTCAGTCACAAGGTACAGCAGTCCTAAACAGACCCCTGAATCTTCACTGTACGTCAAGACTCTGAGTTATACATCAGCACATTTTATTCTGGGCAAATCCTGCACAGCAGAAATCCTCAGGCACGTGTGCTCAGTGGTCTGGCAGTGTCAGCACCAAGGGACTTGAACTCAGTGTTCCTTGTGGGTCCCTTCCAGCTCAGGATATTCTACGTATGATTCCATGAATGCCTCTGCAGCGCAGCAGATCATCAACCAACACACCCATCAGCACAGCTGTGACACCCGAGCAGGCACTTCTAAAAGACTGGATGAGCCCAGCACTCCTTGCAGAGCAGCAGAATTACACGAGCTCACGTCACATTGACAAGACACCAACTACTGAGTCAGAATTTAATCAAAGTGGCCCCTGGCTGGGTGAATGCTCTGGCTACTCGGAGAACTGTAAATAGTGAGGTGGTGCACAGCTGTCTAAAGGCTGTTTTAAGGCTCAAACACTCCTTTGTGGATGGGCCTATGAGACAGGTGGCACAAAGGAGGTGAGCAATGACTGCTCTACACAGTCCAAGCAATGCCAGGCCATGGGTACTGCTCTGCTCTCCAACCTGGGCGAGACACTCCCAGAAGTGCCATTTTGCCAGGGATATGGATGAAGGCCATGGCAGAAGGGGATGGCAAGGCTGGGGACAGCAAGGCTGGGGACGGGGCTGGGCTCACCCCTCTGGTGACACCCACAGCACTGGGCTCTCCCTGCCCCTCTCTGGCCTCTGTTCCTGGGTGTCAGCCCCACTGCAGGGCCATGGGACACACTTACCTGTGCAATGAGCTCCTCCTCGTGCAGCAGGTGGATCTTGGCCAGGTTGTACTGCTCCTCCAGCACGAGGGCGAAGTGGGCGATGCTGCGGATGGACAGCTTCTCCTGCAGCGTCAGCACGATGTCCTGGCAGGGGCACAGGGGTCACACAGAGCTCAGACGTGGGGCTGAGCACCACTCAGACAGCATGAGGATGTCACCGTGTGACTCCAGCCTGCGGAGCTGCAGAGGAGTACGGGAGGCACGTACAAACAAAGCACAGCACATCCCAGCAGGTTGGGAGGACAACGCAGGGAAGCCGCACCTTGCCACGGTAAGAGTCCAGCAACATGCAAACTCCAAGGTGTCATAGGCATCAAATCCATTTCCTGCAGCTGCCTGTCCTGAGCTGCCTTGCACTCAAAGTTTTACAGTTTTCGGTTGGGTGTTGTTGAGCACTTTTGTCACCCTTGGTCCAAGTGTTTCCTGCTCATTATTCCAGCTATCTAAAGCTCTACAACACTTTGGACTTGGATGCCACAACCCTGGAGGTGCACAAGGCCAGGCTGGATGGGGGCTTGGTGCAACACAGTTTAGTGGATGGTGTCCCTGCCCGTGGCAGGGGGTTGGAACTGGATGCTCATTAAGGTTCCTTCCAAGCCAAACCATTCTGGGATTCTATGATGCATGGAAAAACTACAAGGAACTGGTGAAAAACACTACTTCCCTCCAATGAACAAGAATTTGAGAGCATGATTGTAAAAATCTTACCAAATCTGACTGAAACTGGTGTTTCAGTTTTAATGGAGAATTCTGTCAGAATACTAAGCGTTATGAAAATAACAAGGTTTATTTTTGGCAAACAGAAAACATCACATAAGGCTTGACTGAGCACAAACTGAAACAGAAGTCCTTGGATTCAACCAAGCCTCTTGAGGCAACAAAAATGTTTGACTCACCTCAGCTTTAAGCCAGAATCTCTCAAGCAGCAGAGAAATTTTTAGAAACACCTAACTTGGGGAGATTTTACCCATTAGGGTGTTTCTGGAGGGCTGCACTGAAAAACTGGAAAAACTTGTTCCAGGTCAGAGCTGAGAAACTCAGGTCAAAGATGAAGAGCTAATCCATCCTTTAGAAATTAAATCCTTGTGGGTGGGCATTCAAACCTCTCTTTACAACTCAACTCCCCATTCCTTACCACCTTGCTTTATTTCACCATTTTCTTTTTCTCTGCCTTGTAAGTAGACCTTTACTCTACCTGAGAGACCATGATGGTTTCGTGAAGCTTGGATGAACTTTCCTTTTTGAGGAAAGTTTTTGCTGCATGACAAATAAAAGCTCTTTGCCTTTCCCCTTAGAATTCTTTCAGCCTGGTAGCCCCAGAACATGTGTCCATCGTGTGTCTCTCCCACAGTGAGAGAGGTGTTTCAGGACACCACGTATCCTCCAGCCACTGGGCATGGGCAAATTGTGTTAATTCCAACACAAACACTGGGCAGCTCTAAAGATCAGGCTAGAGAAAGTGGAAGCGTGTAATCCTGTGTCTAAGCACAGCAGTTACAGAAAGGGCTGGATCGATGGCTCTGGGGAGAAAGCACCATTTTTGAGGGCAATGATGACAACTTGTCTGTGATGCCCTCGAGCAGGAGGTCATCCGAGGGAAGATCACTCTTCATTCAGGAGGATCATTCCCTCAGATGCTGCTCTGTAACCTGAAGGGTTTAATCAGCTTTCATGTCTCCACAGGGGAACACTCTCACCAGAGCAGAAATGAGGCTGGAACATGGAAAACCCAGTGTGCCCAGCACCAGCCAGGAGTCCCCTTCCAGCCTCTCAGTGCAACCCGGAGGCTGCAAGACCCCTGCAGGCACCTTTGCTGATGGGTTGGACTGGGGTGGTGGGAACAGCCAGCCAAGCATCGTTACCTTCACAGTGGTGCTCCTCTCGAACCTGAACGCCTTCGTCTGTCCGTTCTCCAGGTACACCTTGAGAACGTTGGGCATGCACAGGAGGGAGCTCCCCTGCAGAACAAACGCAGCAGCTGGACCCTCGGGCACCAGCTGCTCTGCCTGGCACAGCAAGTCCTGGCATCCGGGAAAACCCTTCTCAGCCTTGGCAACACTCTTCCATGGCATTACTTTTATTCCTGATTACCCTTCTGGCATGGAATGAGGGAAAGAGAGCACAACAAATGCCTTAACCGTAACACTCCAGCCCATGCCACAGCTGCACACGGCCGGGCGTGCCCTGTGGTTCCCACAGGGCACGGGAGGATCCAGCAGACACTGAAAGGGGACAGTCATCCTCCCTGCTCATTATTGAAAAGCAGTGGTGCCTGATAGAAAAGGCACCTTCCCATCTCCCAGCACTGCGCAGCACAGACCCCACACTGACCACCATCCCCACCAGTCACAGCTTCACCCTGGACAATGCCCACACCCTCCACTCTCCCACAGCCAAGAGAAGGCTGTGTGACTCAGACAAACACACAGTGCCACTTTCATTGAGTATCCCCCTGAGATTTGTGACCCTCGGCTTCCTAAACAGCAGATGATGTCACCAATATGTCCTGAGGTAGGTCCCAAAGCGTGGGACAAGGCAAGGACACCCACAGCAAGAGCTCCTCTGTTGGGTTCTCTGGGAAGGGTCTGGGGACTTGGCCTCTATCCTCCTGGGGCTGTCTGGGACTTCACCTTTCAGCCCTCCACCTCACTCTTCTGCACCTTTCTCCCTGTTTCCAGCATTGTTCCTGTTGTTGTTCAGTGCTGAGGAGTTTTACTTCTCTGCCTTTGGACTTCCTATTCAGCATGTCTTTCTCACGTCCTTGGACCAGCATGTTCCTCCAGTCTTAAAGGGTTCATTGACTTGTTGTAATAGTCTCAAGGTTAAGAATGGTGTTTCTAAGACAATCTCTCTTGTGTTTCTTTTGCTGTGCCACATGTTACAAATCTCACAGCCTCAGTCCCTCTCAGCAGAGAGCCCACACACCCTGGATGTGCTGCCAGAGCAAAGATAAACACTTCTGAATCTTCTTCCTTATTCTCCCCTTCTCATTTTGTGGGGTTCAAGTCTCTACAGTCACCACTGAAAAAAAAAGAGAGAACACTGCTGGTATTGCCAACCCCAAGATCCAACTCCTCTGTGCTAAACAGCATGAGCACATCTTTGACAGGCTTTGGGTCCTCCATCAGTTCCAGGAGACTGATGCCATGTTACACCAGCTGTGCCTTTCCTCTGGAGCTCCCATGGCCACAGTTATCATGTGAGTGGGGCCTTGCACATCCAGCACACAGCAAAACTTACACCTACTCAGAGATTCATATACAAATTATCAGCACTCTCCCAATTATCCAGCCAGAACAACCAGGTAGGGTTTCTCTCCTTTTGTGCAGGCTGTCAGAAGCTACTATGAATTAACCCTAAAAGCTTCAGCAGCTGTACCCGTCCTGTCTGGGGTACGGGCTGATTTACCCCACGTTACTGCTAATAACACACTGCCTGGTGCTGAACCATGAGCCCTGAGGGACCCGTCCCTTGCATATTGCTCAGTGATATGGAAATACATCATCAGCCGAAGGAAAGTGGGGCCAGACAGCACTGAGGCTCATCAACAATTTATGTTCCCAACCCAGAGTCTCAGGTTTCAGCTGCAGAAGGCAGTCGCTGGGATCCTTCCCGTCACCACAAGGATCACTTAGCCATGCTCCATTAGGATGACAAGAGCAGTATATTTACTGAAACAGGAGGCTGTGCAGTTTTGCAGGGCCATAATACCCATTTTGGCTGCCTTAGTACATCAGCCCACGGAAGGGAGAGCAGCCCTAAAGCACTCAGGGCTGCTGTGGTGGATAGTACTTTTCCAGAAAGAAGTCATAAATATGCAACAAATTTATTTACTCTTCTTTTGTGCTAATACTTTACTACTCAAAACAGGGTACATATCCAACTGGTGAAAAGGAAAGCCAGTGGGACCCCAGCGCCCAAATGAACTTCTCCTACCTTTATGCTCTCAGTAAATGAGCGACAAACTACACACTGATTGTGTCCCTCCTCTGCACTAATACTCCTCTGGTATGATTAGCTCAGCAGATGCTGACTGAGGCATGGGGGTAGAGGGGCACAACGTGCAGCATCCCCTCCAGAAGTGCCTTCTTCGGGCTGCTCAAGACCTTTCTCCAGATCCCTTGAGACCCACCTCGCATTCACTAAGTGACTGGCAGGAATCTGAGACCTCCATGGACTGTGACACCAGTGCCCAGTCTCTGGCTGACACAGCTCCATGGAAGCTCCAGGAGATACTGGTGTGAACTCCCAGCTGCAAGAAAAGCAGGGACTGCTGGCAATTCCAGGCCTGCCTGTATCCCACAACCAGTCCTGTCCAACACTTCTCACTCATCTCTGCCTGGGCCCACTTCCAGAGCATGTCCTCTCCTTTGCCCTTCCCTGCCTGGTGAGCTTGGTGGCCTGTGTCACATCTCCCAGGTACATGAGGGGTCTGGTACCTGGATTCTGTGTCAGAGAGAGTGGCCACACCACCACATCACACAGGCAGGACACCAGACACTTGTCACCAACACCTGTGGGATATGAACACAGCCCTTGGAAGGGCAGGGATGAGCCTGGCAGCAGCACCAGCACACCTGGCAACAGGGTGAAAGAAAGGGAAGAGGAAAAGGGACACGTGGGTGCTTCATCATCACTGCAAATAAGTGAGATTTAGTCAGACCTGGATGACTGAATAGCACTAATGAGCAGGGATGTGAGTGGTGCATTTTGACCACTGAATTTTTTCATTCTGAAGGAAAAAAAGAAAACTCAACAGAACTAATGACTCCTGACTGAGCCCAGTCCACTCCACTGAGTTAATTGAGTTACACAGAAAGAAAAAGGAAACATTCAGGAGCTGTTCACACTTTGGAGAAGCTATAAAGTATTCTCACTTCTGCTACAGGCAGACCTAAACAGGCTGACTCATATCGACCCAGTTTGTCTCCTGCCAGCACCAGGAACCCCATAATGGGTTTTCAGCACCCTCCAGGAAGCTGTGACCTGGCTCACCTTAAAGAGGGTCAGATACAGAGGCAGCTGAGGATGCTCTGAGGAAACCCTCTGCAGGGGTAGGACAACAAGCCTCCACCCTGTCAGCTCGAGAGCACGTGTCACACCTAACAGCAAAGCAAACACCAGCACCAAACCCTCTGATCACAGTGTAACCTGTCCTCAGGAGGGGACACCCCAGCAGGGGACATCCCAGCTACTCCAGCAGCACACAAACCTGGCACACACGTCAGCGTTCACCTGGCATCTTTAGGATCAGCGTTTGTCATGGCCGAAATTCAGTGTGGGTTCACCACAGATGGATTAGCACCTCAAGAGATGACAACTGCCTCCTGCAGCTGTGAAGTGATGGCTTAGGGCATGACGGTGGGACAGGACAGAAATGCATGCAGGTATTTTATATTAGTCCAAGTGAGCAGGTCAAACGCAAACTCCTGCAGAGATGCCAGTGCTCCCCTCTGGTTGCCCCAGGAGCTGTTGGGAGCAGGTGCCTGGATCATGCCCAGGGCGACCAGCACAGTGAGTCCCAGCCACACAACCCCAGCCCGGGACCCACCCACAGAGAGCTCCCCGTCCCCGCCCCGCGGAGCCCTGACCTGTGAGTGCCCGTTCAGCAGCACCTCCTCCGCAAACCGCACTTTGACGGGGTTTGTTTTCAGCCTCGCCCTCTTCTCCTCGGTGAGGAACGACGACTTGGGTCCACCCTGAAACAAAAGTGGTGGTGGGTCAGGGCAGCAGCCTCGGGCAGGAGCAGAGCCCCCGACATGGGCATGGCACATGGTCACCCCTGCCCTGGGGCTGCTCCCACTGTGCTGCCTCGAGTCCACAGAGACGTGTCTAGGGAGGCTCTGAGCTCCCAGCCTTGCTCCAGGCCCTTTTGACCTGTCTGGGCAGCTGCTGAGCTCAAGCCTGGCTGCCCAGCAAGGGGACACATGTGCCGCACCCACTCCCAATTTCACTGCATGGGAGCCAGCTGCTGTGCTCAGGCATCTCCACACCTCCTGCAATGAAGCCAGGGCACCCCAGAATGACTGTGAATCTGCCAAGAGTTGGTCTGCAGTGGGGCTACACCTAAACCAACACCTGTAGAGAGCCTAGCAGTGATGGACAGACCCGCGCCAGCACACCACAGCCAAGTGAACAGCGTGTCCTGGCTCCGCTGGGCTTCCCAGAGTGCAGTGTCATACTGCAAACCACTCAGGAAACTGCCCAAGGTCACAAAGCCAACTTTGTTGCACTGCTATCACACAGCCTTGCTCTCATCATGACAGGGTCCTACCAAGCTCACAAGGAACCACATGAGTTGAGGAACCACCAAGTCCCTGTGCACGAATGTGCTGCTCTTGTACAGCACGATGTTCCCCAAGAGCAGAGGCAGAATCCCTCAGCATCCTCCTGCGTGGCTTCCAGGCAGAGTCAATCCTACACCTGCCAGAGGTGCTGGTGCCTCCTGGACTGCCACAGCCCCATGCTGTCCCGAGGACACGCGGCAGGGAGGGAGGATGGGAGTCAGGAGGAGCCCCTGTGCACGTCCGGACCTTCCAGAGCACACCAGGGCACGGAGAGCATGACACCCTGCACGTGGGGTCACAGCCTCCCACATCCCAGCCCTGCAGAGGGTCTGGGACCTGGTGGTGGGAGGTGTTACCTCTTGGCTCTGAGCTGCCTTCAGAGCAGGGCAAGAGTCACTCCCAAACCCTGCATCAGGCGTGGCTGTGTTTGGAGATGTCCTTAAAGTGACCTGAAAATGAAAAAAACTATATGGGCTTGTGCCCCATTTGCTTCTCAGCAATCCCTGAGGGCCTGTGAAGGGCACTCCAAATCCCATGAAGGGTTTTCCAGATGCTTTTTTCTCTCTGAAAAGCCATTGCATTTTGCCTCTTTGGGCAGGCATTCAGGTCTTGCATAACCAACTCCAATTTTTTCCTGATTCCCAGATCAGGGCTGGCCAGACCAACAGCCAATGCACTGGGCAAGGGAGATGAGATGAGATTAACAGAGAGGGAAACCACCCATCAGTGGGTTTGCTTGCAGTTTTTCTGATTACTTTGGCTTTGTGCATGATTGGATGCCTACACCTGGGAAGCTTTGGGCAGGAAAAATATTTGAGATTTTCTCTCTCGTGTACCTTTCCTTAAGAGCCAAGAAATCTCAAGCCTGAGAGCTCCAGTAACTTCTGAAAGAAACATCACTCTTGTTTTAAGAATAAATCAAAATAAAAAACAAAAAACCCTCCAAACAAATGAAAAACACTCCAGAAATATTTTCAGGTGCTGGGGAGGGGAGAAAGGAGGTGGTCTGGATGGAATCCCACTCAGGCCACTTTCATATCTCACAGGAAGCCCACAAACCAAATTTTGTCTTTTCTTTGCAACTCAGCCTTTACACCCAGTAAATTCCATGTGGATAACAATACATCCTGCCAGCATCAAGTGCCTTCTGGGGAATTCTCTGCTACAGAGATCAGCAATCAGCACTAAAACTTCACGGTGCAACTTTGCTTGTGTTCCCAAAGCACAGTCTGCACCCGAGTCCCAGCCCATCACTAGACAGAACCTGAGGAACAAGGGATGAGTTTTTCCAGCAGTCAGAAGGAAAAGCTCATGAGCTTCCAAAGAGCACCAAGGGTGGATGCTGAGCCTGCTGCCACAGCACCTCCCATTGTGCCCAGGGTTCCCACATCCCAGACAGCGCTGGCACACAGGAGTGCTCCAGGCACCCCTCAGTGCTGGCCACAGCTCCCCAGCAGGACCTGCCTGCCTCCCCCAGTGGGGGATCAGGAGGCCCTTGGGGGGGGCGGTATCCCAGCCGCCCCACGGCCATGGCCATGCCAAGGGGTGCCAAGAGAGCCGAGGAAAGGCCACTTACGGACGTGCAGCGCAGCACAGTCAGGAGCAGCTCGTCGCCGGCGTCCCTGCAACAGACACGTGGTCAGCAGGCGTGTCCCCTGCCCCTCTGCCCTGGCCGGGCGCGGGGTGACACCACACCTGATGACGCTGGCAGCTCGTTCCACAGACAGGTCCTCCACCCCCCTGGAGTTGATGCGGAGGATCTGGTCACCCGGCTGCAGCTTCCTCTCGGCAGTGCTGCCTGCAGGGAACCGGCACACTGTCAGTCAGAGGCCTCCTCCCCCAGGGAATCATGCCATCATTTAGGCTGGAAAACTCCTCCGAGATCATGGAGTCCAACTGTTAACAGCAGTGTGGACCACAGCACTGCCAGGTCCACCACTAACAGTGTCCCCAAGCACCACATCTACACTAGGGATGTCCAGAGATGCTCACTGAGCTCCTCTTCCCTCCCAGCACCTGCTTCCCTCAGCAACTCTCTCTGGATGGCAAAATAAAAGGGGTTGGAGGACATTGGGCACTGATGCCAGCCTGTGTGCCCCTGCTTGTGTCTGTGCCTCTCACCTGGACCTTCCTCTGCCCCATGGAAAACCACTCCTGTGTGTGCCTGTGCCCTTGTCACTGCCCACCACACTGTCCAACCAAACACAGGCCTGGTAGCCCTGGGCTCCCACAGCAAGGGAAGGGTTCTTTGTGCCTCAGTTTTAGTAAAATGTTTATTCTTTCTGATTAGGAGAAAAGAAAAGCACAACAGAAAAAAAACTCCTTCCCCACTTTTTATACCCCAAGACTCTGAGATAATTTTGCCATGTTTCACACGGAAAGAGAAACGGGAGGTGACAGAGGGACATCCCCCAGCCCACATAGATGGCCAGCAGAGGAGCTCCAGCCACACCACAGGCAATGGGCACAGTGTCTCTCTGGCTGCCACGCTCACAACAACAGGTAAAAACCAGGTGGTTTTGTGCACCTGTTAAAAAAAATGAAAGGTAAATAAGAAACAGATTCAAAGTTTTTGACTCAAAACCTTCGGGCCACCTTAAAAGCACCTCTCCCTTCTATAGCTGGAGGAGTGGATCTGCACGACTTCAGCACTGCCTGGACCCAGCAGTGAAACTCTCCATGGTACAGGGCTGGAAGCCCAGGATCTGTTCAGCAACAGGTCACTGGGGCCACAGCAGAATAAGATGAAATTCTCTAAGATTAGATGAAATTCTTCCTCTGCAACTCAGAGAAAACACCAGGAAGGACGTTGCTCCCTGCACCACGAAGGTCAGCAGCGAGCGAGCGCAGGTGAGGAACCCGTGGAGACCCTGCTGTGGACTCTGCACCCTCAGAGCTGGGAGATGCCTGAGCAGTCTGTCTGCCACGGGCACCCAGGCTTCTGTCTGCAGTGTCCAAGGGTCACATGCCAAACAGGTACCTCAGAAACCACACGCATCTGGCAGGAGTCCATCACCAAGGCCCCCGGGGGACTGGGGGCTCTCAGAGCCATGCCCACGGGAGGAGCCCAGCGCTCACCCTCCTCCCGGCGCTTACCCGCGGTGACAGAGGCGATGGTCAGGGGCAGGCTGGGGCAAATCTCAAAGCCGTAGTGCTGCAGGACCAGGTCCTTGTACACGGTGACGGTGAGCTTGGCCTGGCTGGCAGGGGGGACGACGCTGTCCCCGGCGCTGTCCATCGCCGACATGCTGCCCCTGCAGGATCAGAATCCACACTTACACAGGATACAGCCAGAGACACCCTGTCCAAGGGGCCTGGACCCACACGCATCCCCACTCTCTGTGGGACACGGCGCTGCACAGCAAGGACAGCACTCCCTGGGTCCTCAGCTCTCTCCCCCACAGCCAACAGCAACTCCCCAGAGTCCAGAGAAAGCTGAGGACACCCGAGGGGCTGCAACCAAAACTTCTCAGTCATCCCAGCCCATGGTCACACGGAGAGAGAGCTCCACTGTCTCCATCCACAGGCAACAGCAGCACCTTCTCCCAGCAAGGCAGCGAGAGAATGTCCAGCCCTCAGCCTCTGCTGAGATCAGCTTAATGCTGATTCTCAGACCCCAGGGAAGGAAAGCAGTCATGGACCAGGATCCCTGGTCAGTGCAATCCAGTCTTGCCCAAAAATGTGGGCCCTTGGTAAGAGACAAAGACAAGCAGGACCCCACCTCCAAGAACAGCAAGTTTTGCATGGAGCAGTGCTGTGTTTCTCCCTCACAAAACCACAATGGAGGAAAGCAGGAACATCTGTCCCTGGAAACCAATGGATTGCTTAAAACCACTGTTGTTTTCCTTTTTCTAGGGACTACTGCACGAATATTTCCCAAGAACAACAGAAGCAACGAGTATGACCTGCAGCCTGTGCCAGCCCCTGTTCATTGCGAACAGCCCTGTGCTGCCTCTGATGGAAGGTGATCACAGAGACTCCTTTCACAAAGCCCACACTTACCTGGGTGCGCTGTCTCGAGAGCGATGAAGCCATTTTGCTACCATTTGCTCTATTCTACATGCTTTTCGTGTCTGGATTAGGTTAGTCTCCAAATCTTCCATTTACCTGAAAGTGACAGAAACCACAGGAAAACAGAAAAATAAAAGACTGAGGGAATCTTCTGGACACCAGTTCAGAGTTACCAACACCAATTCACAACTCTTTTATAATAAAAAACCTTGTGAAGACCATGAGCTATAACAGGGGATAACATCTGTTGTGACACTCGCTGTGATCCCCCTGCCCACCCAGCCTCCCCTGCCTGGTGCTTTTGGTTGTCTGTGAGTAGTGAGTAACCCATAGTGAGTTACTCTCCCAGGGCAGACAGTGACCCAGCAACCTCTGTTATCCTTTTCCACAGATTTCATGGATCCAGGATCTTCTCTGGGAGATGCAAAGGCTAGGTCGGCTTTCAGCCCCCAAACCAAACCTGCCAGACCACGAGTCTTCTGTCAAATCAGAAAATTGGTTTGACATTTGCAAATGCAAACTGCAGTGGTAACTGCACACTCCAATACTGCGTCTTCCAAGGCACAGGAAGCCTCTGTAGCCACGCACCACTGTTGTTACTCTGAGCTCAGACCCTGGGAAAAACCGTGGGCTGTGAGTGAACCAAACACAAAATGAAACAAAATATGTCTGCATCCGCCAGAAGTCATGAAGATTATCAGCTCTTTGTGTTTCTCTGTTATATGCACCTTTCACACTGTGTCTTCTGCTCAGCCTGAGAGATCTGTACGTCCTGAGCTCCTCCCTCGAGTCTTCTCCTGGCACTGGAAGTTCTGCACCTCAGGGACATGCTCAGTCACACTGGCACAGCAGGCTGCTGGTCCATGGCAGAGCCTCTGCTGTAGCAGAAATATCAGTAAGTTAATTTCTGAACCACAAAGATAGCTGCAAGCTCGGATAAATGAGGAAAAAACATTTTGTCTCCACAGAAACTGGACCTGTTCCCTCAGCACTCTCTCAGGGCACAGTGCTCCCCCAGGTCACCTTTCCTAACAAGGAAGGGAGGGCAGGACCCATGTTTGCCAACTTTTCTCTCCCTCCCAAGGAGCCACTCAGGCCCATTTTGCTCCCTGCCTGTGCAGCCATGGGCAGAAAACACAGAGGAAATTCAGCCCTTCAGCAGTTCTTGCACTGGGCACTCTCTGGGCTTTCTTTCTTACATAATTCAAACTGCTCCTTCAGCCACACTGCTCCTGTATCTGCCCCTGAGAAGCATCTCCAAATCCAGAACAGTGACCCTTGTGATCCAGCTGTGTTTTCAGAGGAAGTTAGAGCTTGTAGGGTGGGAAATCTGACCCCTTTCCAGAGGGTGACTGGGAAGTGACCACAGAAGGAGCAGAAGCACAGCAGTTCTGCAGCTTGGAACACACACACGGGATGTGTCCTGAGCAGACACGGTCCCTGCTCGGTGTGTCCCCTCTCAGCCGGGGGCTGTCACCATCCATAACACCCGTGCAGCAGCAGCAGCATCTGCTGGCTTGGACCTCACCTCTCTCCTCAGCAGCACAAGGTGGCTTTCCCACTCCCCCCAGACACCTGATGTTCCCTCTGAGCCATGGGGAAGGTCGTGCCCGCAGCAGCTCCTTCCTCCCAGAGCTCCCTGCCGGGATGCCTGGAAGCCTCACACTCCAGCTGCTGATGTGCTGATTGAGACAACAATCCTCCTCCTCCACTTCCTCACCACCTCCATCAGCAGCTCCATCTCCCACCCCTTCCCCCTCCCTCTGCTGCTCTGCAGAAAGGACAGACTTCTCTATCTGGGCTTCACAAAACAGAATTTCCAGAGAAAGTCTCTTAACCTGCAGGACAAGGAGGAAAAGCCTAAAAGACAAATGGAATACTGAGGAAAAAAACCCACATCGTGCTTTCAGTAAACGGGAATGTTTGAGCCAAACAACAGGTGCCTTAGAAGAGGCAGTTTGAACAGGCACTATTTCCACAAAACAGTGCACAACACCAGGAGCAGCTTTGTTTCCTGTGCTGTTCTGACACCACAGCTGGTACCTCTCCCCATTCCAGGATGTCCCATGGCAGCTCCAACCCAGGTCCTACTCCCAGCTGCCCTTGTGCAGCTATTTCTGAGCCAAGCCCCTGAGCACGTCACTAAGCAGCTTGGGCTGAGATCCTGATGCACAGATCCTTCAGGTCTGCCAGAGAGAACTGTGACTCGACAGGTGTTTATTTTCACAACCAACCGACCCTTTCAGAGAGCTTGTGAGGGAACCCGGGCTGGTGGTTCTGGCTTTTCAGGAGCAACACAGACCTGAAGGCCAGGGCCTACCTCTGGGTGTGCAGCCACAGAGCAGCACAACCAGCAGGTGTGTCGGGACATGCACAGCACAGACCTGGCCAGCAGGAAAAAAAACAAACCCACTTTCAAGGAGAACACTTCAAATTTTCACGGAAAAGTATTAATTCATCAAACTGAAATTTTCAGAGGGGCAAAGTTTTACCGGTACTTTTGACGCTACATCTTTGGTTTAAAGTGTTGGCTACCACCAGAACATGGCAGCAGGAGCAGCAGTGGGGACCAGCAGATTTCCTGCATCTGCTGTCATAGAACTATGTGATCAGAAGTGGCCATAAGCTGCTGTCCACCTGTAAGTGAAGTTATCTTCACTCCTCTGGGCTCCTGGAAGCATCTGTCCAAGTGCTTCCTGCCATGGAAGCCCATCAGCAGCGAGTTCAACAAAGGCACTGAGAGCAGCCTTGGGGAGAAGGACTTGGGGGTGCTGGACATGGCCCAGCCCAGAAACCCCCTGTGCCCTGGGCTGATCCCACAGCGGGGGCAGCAGGGCAGGGGGGATTCTGCCCCTCTGCCCCCTCAGGTGAGACCCCCCTGCAGAGCTGCCTCCAGCCCTGGGGAACAACAACAGAAGGATATGGAGCTGTGGAAGCAGGTCCAGAGGAGGGTCACAAAGACAACCACAGGGCTGGAGCACCTCTGCTACAAGGAAAGGCTGAGAGAGTTGGGGTTGTTGAGCCTGGAGAAGAGAACATGCCAGGGAGACCTTAGAGCCCCTTCCAGTGCCTCAAGGGGCTCATAAGAAAGATGGAGACAGATTTTTTTAGCATGGCCTGTAGTGACAGAACAAGGGATGATTGTTTTAAACTAAAAGAGGGCAGATTCAGACAAGATACAAGCAAAAAACATTTCACAATGAGGGTGGGGAGGCCCTGGCACAGGTTGTCCAGAAAAGCTGTGGCTGCCCCATCCCTGGAAGTGTTCAAGGTCAGGATGAATGGGGCCTGGAGCAAGCTGGGATAGTGGAAGGTGTCCCTGCCCGTGACAGGGGTTGGATTAGATGACCTTTAAAGGTCCTTTCCAACCCAAACTACGCTGTGGTTCTATGATTACATCTCTTGTGTACCTGGTGATACATCCTCACACTGCACAGCTGAGAGATGAAGCAGGGCTGGCCCCTGCCCGGGCCACCCCAGCTCACCAGCTGTGGCTGTCTCTGGAGCCACCTGCCAGGTAGGTGCAGGTTCAGGAGAACAGCAGGTTCTCGCACAGCCAGCTCAGGGATCACGTCACAGCCAGCTTAGGGCAGGGAGGTGAGGCTGCGAGGGGTGGTGTCTGCTCCTCCAGCTGCTGCTTCTGCCAGGACACTACCACAGGGTGAGCACGTCCCTGGCTACCCAGGCAGGCAGAAGAAAACCAAGCTTGTGGCTCTGAGCTGCACCAGAAGACACTTCTGGCACAACCGGGCACCTCTGCAGCAAAGATTTTGAAGGTCAGCCAGCTCCGACAAGACATGAGGACAGAACAGTAACTCACCCATTTTCCACACAGCACCCTCTAAAGATGTTCTTGGAGACACAGCCAGGGAGACAGCTGAGCCTGAGAACCAGGGTTAAAGCTCCTGTGGCACTCTGCACTCTCACCACGTTGGCTGTGCACATACAAATAACACAGTCCTTGCAAAAACAAAAATTAAGAAAGGAAAATGCAAAAAGCCACTGTGGCTGTCCCATCTCATAAGCCTGCAGTGTTTGGCTGGTTTTTGAGGAGAGGAGTTGCTCTCACATGGCTGCCACACATACACTGCTGCTGTAGGAGGGTCCCAGGCCCAGCTGGGGCTCATCCTGCTGCCCAGGAGGGTCCGGAGCAGGGCCCTCCCCACGGCCACAGGCACCCCTGCGTCACAGTCCCCATGCCCCTCACGGCCACGCAGGGAGCACCCCCACGGCACCGTGTGACACTGTCTGACATTGTGTGACACTGCCAGACGTCACTAATGGGATTGAGATCTGTGCAGCCCAGTTTATCCCCCAGGCTCTCGTGTCAGCTGCTGTCTGGTCACCCCCAGAGCCCCAGGAGGAACCACTTCAGCACCAAAGGGTGTGTGATCAGGTCCTCTGACCTTCCCTGGCTCAGAAAGAGAACCTGTGCTGTGCCAGAAGCCTGTGATGTTCAGCACTTCTACGTAATACCAGGCAAAGAGTATCCACCAGTGCCACAACTCAGAAAAAAAAAAAAAAAAAAAAAAAAAAAAAAAAAAAAAAAAAAAAAAAAAAAAAAAAAAAAAAAAAAAAAAAAAAAAAAAAAAAAAAAAAAAGCACCGTTGCTTTTTAATACTGTGGGAAATCCAGGCTTTCACCTACAGACAGATACTGTCAAGGAAAAAAGATAAGATGAAAGAAAAGAAAACAAACAAGAAAACAAAACCAAAACAGAACTCAAACAAACAAAAAAACCCCCCACCAATCAAAAAACTTTCCAGCTGCTCTAAGTCAAAAACAACCTGCAGGAGAATTTAGCACTTGTCAACCCAGAGAAGGCAGCAGAGATTCTGTTCTGTACCTGCACATCCCCATCTTCCTCTCTCAGCTGGCAATGGCAAGGTTTTACACAGACACAGTCCGGCTCCAAAAGAGCAGGATTAGTTTTAAAATGTGAAATTCTGGGCAGAGCATGTAAAGACTTCAGGCGCCAAATAAAAATGGTTTCAGCAAAGGCCATACATCCTTGACGGGCTCAGGGCATGAGGGGAGAAGCAAGAATAGCTCTGTGCATGGTGCATTACACACAAATCAAAGGAAATGATAAACAGAACGTTCAAGGTGGAAAGGAGGAAAATCAATATTTCCCTCCTGAATAGCTTTCACTCCTAAAAATAGACTCCTGTGGAAGTGCATGAAGACTTTCCTCCCTTCAGCTCTGTCTCCCAGGACAAGAACTGCCAGCAGAGAAGGAATGTTTCCCTCTGCTTTCCTGACTTGCAACTCCTTTTCACAGTGAAGAAAAGATCTGCCTGCGAGCCCGTGGCTGGATCCTGCTCCCCAGCCCCTGTTTGCACAACACCACGGAACCAAGCAGCTCACCTTCTAAGAAACATTTGCATGCCACTGGCAAATTGCACAGCAGGGCAAAAAAAGAAAAAAAAAGCTTCTGTGCAGACCTTCACACATTGTCCCTGATCTCTGTGTCCTGGTGCAGGTCTGGAACCAACCAATGTGCCTGTGGAGTTCAGCACTCTGGAGTATTGCCAGTGCCTTCCTGGGACTGTTTGCACAGCAGAAAACTCAAGACCAGGGCTGGCACCACAACAGGTTCCTCCACACCTGTCTGTACAGGTGATCTCTATGCGTGTCTTGGATTTTACTGAGCACAGGGGCTGGGAAACAGCTTCGGTTTGGCCTTTTGGCAAATGTCAAGAAAGGAAGAATAAAACAAAAAGGAAAATATATGCACTTAAAAAATACTGTTTCAAGAATGTCATGCCACATACAGAGACATTTCACAAGAGCCCCAGAGGTTCTCTCCAGCTTTAAAAACATCTGCTTTCCACAAGGATAGAGCCCGGAGCACTGAACAGCATCAAGGAACTGTTTGCCAGCACACTGCTCAGCAAAAATTCAGAGGACAATTTACTAAACCTTAGAGGAGTGAAATTCAGGATCAGTAAAAGGCAGGATGGCAGCACATGTGGAAAGGTGCCATTTGCCTGCTCCCGATGGCTGAACCAGGGAGGCAGAGAGGCCACAGGGCTGGGCACAGTTTGCTTTGCTATGTCCTGCCATCACTCACATGTGTCTTTGCCTTGGTCCGGTCCCAGAGGCTTCTCATCAGTCTTGCCAGAGCTGCATGGACCAATTCACTGACAGGGGAACGGGATAAGGGTGGGGTGCCTCTCTAGGCAATGTCAGCTGGAGTTTACGCAGGGAAAATCAAATGCTGCCAGCAGACACCCAGAATTCTTTTCTTTTCCAGCTTAGATTTTTCTCAGATTGTACAACAGCTCTCTGAACATCTGCCTCTCTGCCTTGCTATAGAGAACCCTGGATGGGAGCGGGAACAGCACCACTAAAAGGGCTAAAGTGAAGGAAATGGTTCACTGGGAGCTTCCTATCCAGCATTACTGTCATTTCCACCTCTAATTCTGCAGATTCTCCTGGGCCAGCAAGCCTGCTCTTCTGAGACAAGACTTCTATGACTAATGGGGTTCCTAACGTTTCCCATCTTACAGTCTTATCTCACACATCCCACTAGCAAATTAAGTCTCCCCCAAATCTGGCTAGAAGCAAATACTTAGGTATTTTCCTACAGCTGTGGCAAACCCCCGTGCAACAAGGAGCCACAGACAGGCTGTGAGAATGCCAGAAAAACGCTCGGGAGGTGGAGATCAGCAAGCACACCCGGAGTAGGTTACCTGGGCGGGAGGAGGAAGGTGTGTTTGCAGAGGTTGGAGAGCCACGCGAGCACAGATGGGGCAAACCCGGGCGCTTTGGGAAGCGGTACAGATCCCTACCGCCCCCGAGGTGAGGTGCTGCCCTGCCCTGTCCGCTGTCCTTCGGAGCTCCCCCACTGCCCCGCGGGGACGGAGGTGCTCACAGCGGTACCCTTGACACCCGCACGTCAAAGTGACTCTGCCTCCCGCCCGCTCCAGCTCGGACCAAGTCTCTCACACAACATTTTCGCCATTAAGAAGCCAAAATCACTGGCTGTGAATCCCACAGCTGAGCGCTCAGGGGGGTTTTGCTCGCTTGTTTTGTTGTTGTTGGGAGCGGCGTACACGCGTATGGCTTCCTCGCACCAAAGAGGAAAGTCGCCCACGCGTTTGGTGCAAAATCGGGCAGAAACCGCTGAACCATCACCCCAGCGCGAAGAGAGGCGCACGGACCCCGTGGCCCCGCGCCAGAGACACCCGGTGGGAGCGGGATGGGCGGCGGCACCTCCCGCAGCCCGGACCGACGGCGCGGACCGGGCCGGCCCCGCTCCGCGAACCGGCGGCACCTGACCCCCTGGAAAAGCCCCGCGACCACCCCGCTCCTCGGAGGGCGGGGGGACCCCGCGCTGCCCCCCCAGCGATCCCGTTACCTGCTGCCGGGAGCGGAGCGCGGCCACCACCGGGGCAGCAGCGGCATCTCATCGGCAACCGCCCCGGGACCCCGCCCCGGGACCCGCCCCCGGACCCCGCCCCCGGGACCCTGCACCCTGGGTGGTCCCGCCCCTGGAGACCCTCACCCGCACCTTCCTGGATCGTCTGGATCGTCCGGATGGTCCGGCTGGACTAGCACCGGGGGTCGGTCCGGGTGCTGCCCCACGGACCTCGCTGAACAGACAGACTGCCCCTCGAGACAGCACTGGAAGTGGGGCTGGAGGAGGGGCAGGACGGACGGCCCTGACTCAGCGCCGGGCACTGCCGGACGAGCATCCCAACAGGAATGCTGACCCTGTGCCCCGGCCCTTCCACTGCCTCCCCTCTCGCTCTCCCCACGTTTGCTCTCCCTAAACCCCATCGATGCCCACATTTCCCCGCATTCAGTTCCTCCCCCAGGCGTCCTGCGACAACCCTTGTGCAATCCCGAAATGCTCTTTCCCCGCGCCCCGCAGTGTGTCCCGCGTTGATGGTCCCAAGGGTGAGCAAGTGTTGACCCCTTTTCGACAGGTTTCACACCTGGATTGCTGGGCTGAGTCTCTCCTGGGACAGCCCTGGAAGGGATATAACTTCTTCTGAGTCCCTAGTTTGTGCTCCCAATCGACTCTGTTCCCCTGAGCTCCCCTGGGGCCGGGGCAGTGCGCCTGGGACAGGATGGTGGGAGCGGGCAGGGCAGGTGTTATTTGAGTTTCCCATTCTGTGTCCCCCCGGGGGTGCAGAGCCGCGTCCACCACGAAAGACAGCGCAGGGGGCTCGGTGGTGCCAAGGACACCGACGGCGGGATCCTGCCCAGCACTGCGTGACCGGCACTGGGGACACGGGAACCCACATCCTCCGCGTCAGCTCCCCCTCCTCCTCCGGCCCCTGCCCTTGCTGTGAAGGTGCCCTGCCTGGTGTCTGACCTGCTCCTCGGCCGCCGCAGCGCTGCTTTTAGCACAGGGCTGGGCAGGACACGCGGACTCGCCCACGGAAAGGCATCGATCCGCTCTGGTTTGTGCCTCCCCGGCTTCGCCCCTCCAGTCCCTCGCAGCATTTCTGCACTGCGGGTTCTCCACTGCCTGGGCTGCTCTCTGTGACCCTTTTCCAGGACTATTCCTCTCCCCAGAACAGCTCACCCATAGAAAACAGGGTTATTTTTCTTCCCTTCTGATCTAGGAGCCACACTTGTCTGGCACTGTTCAGCACTACCCTGTGGTCACTGACACTGACAAAATAATGAGGTTTAGGCCTGACGTCTGAAATTAATATAACATTAAACAGTGCCCAGAAAAAGAGTTTGCATCAGTTGCTGACTCATGCGTCTTCCCTGGGCAACTTGTGTCGCATCTCCCTTCCCCCGTTGCCCCTGGATGACGTTTTCAAAGCAATCCACACAGGAAGCAGAAGCTTAATTAAAAAAGAAATAAAGCTCTAGTTCTCCTTCCTGAGGATGAAGAGTGGTAGCCAGTAACAAGACACATCAGAGCTCCACGCTGACCTACCAAACGTGAGATTTGGACCCATGTGAGGGGGAACCAAGCAAGTAGTTTTCTTATCTTTGATTATTCTCAGTTCCAGAAGCCTGGGAAACAATTCTCCAGGAAGCTACGGGACATTTTGTCTCTGAACAGCATTTGTCATTGCTCACATTTGGATCATGTCACAGATGACTTGTGAAAGCCTCCTGTCCCGGGAAACATTTTGGAGCTACTTGGAAGCTCGCAGCTTGTGGCTGTTTGCATGCCAAGCTGTGATTGTGGAGGATGAAACCTCTGGGAGCTTGTCCCAGTTGTGAGCTGACCCTGTGAACCCACCTACCTCCATGTCCTGTGATCCAGATAACGGCTCTGGGATGGCTGGGATTAAGGACCCAGAAAATCTTTGAAGAGATATGGAAAGATCTCATACAGGATGAAACCCCTTCACGTTTCACAGCAGAAAAACTAAACTTAGAGGATCAGTCAGCCCCTCTCTGCTCTGCACCACACAAGGCTTTGGGGAAGCTGAGTCTACAGCTGCCAGGGCTGGGCAGCCACAGCCCCGGGCACCAGAGCTCAGCAGAGAGTGACTCAGGGTCTGTGCTGTGCCCGGGAGCGACAGCACTGCCCAGGCACTGCCGGGGAGCCAGGAGGCACCAGCCAGCCAGGAACCCCCTCCTGGTGCCATGTGAGGGGCCCCGACCTCGGCACAGCCCGTCCGGCTCCATGGGGACTGCAAGAGGACAGGCTGGAGCTCCTCGGGCAGGCTCTGAGACAGCCTCTGTGCACAGAGCCCAGTGCTGCCATCAGTGGGGGATCAGTACTGACCCCTGGGAGGGGGTGAGAAGGCCAGTGTGGCACGTGCCACCAAGGCTCCAGCAATACCTACCTGGCCTCTCCCTAGCATTTCTGCGAGGCTTTCCCAGGGCCTCCAGAATGCCTTGGCTGTACATCCGTGAGAAACATCCTGATCCATTTCCAGGAGTGGACATTCCTGGTGCTCCTCCAGACCTCACCGGTGGATGCAGAGGGGGCCAGGCCAGGCTGATGCTGCCTTTCCCAGGGGGAGGCATTCTGTCTGCCCAGCTGGTGGATGAGCCATCTCCACAATGCGGAAGCAGCCCTGGAGAAACGCCACAGGGCAGTGTGTGAAGGGCCACTCCACAGAACGTTTTTGTTGAGGAGGATCAATCCACTGTGGTGAGTTCCTTTCCCTTAGAAACATGCCTGAGGTCTCAGAAAGGGTGATTAGGGCAGTTGTAATTTCTAAGTGCTATTTCCTGCCTGCCCTCTGCACCAGCTGTGTCTTACTCCGGTGCCAGACCTTCATGGAGCGGGAGAACCTGTGGGGACAGAATTTGAGTTTCCACCCACATGTCCCAGTTCAGGTGCCAGGGCAGCCCTGCCCACCAGCCCCTGCTCTGCACTCCCACCCCACACACAGCCCTGCCTCTGGCACCTGCAGGCTCCGTCCCAGCGACGGTGGAGCTCATTTGCACCCAAATCCTGCAGTTTTCCAGAAAGATTCCACCCACCCATAGCAATGGCAAGAAGCAGACAGAACCAAAGTTTCATGGTGGTTTTGTCCTTGGGGTGAGGAGGCAGCCAGGCCGTGCCTGCCCTTGGTCCCTGAAATGCACCTTGGACCTGAACTGGCCAGTATGTGGAGCGAACTTGGAGGTTGGTATGGACACCAAAGCAAGTCCTTATTCTCTGTCACCTTACCAATCTTTTCTCAGGCAGAAAAAGCTGAAACTGCTTTTGAACAATGCCAGGTGACAGGGAGCTGCCAAAGGCATCACACCCAGAAGATACACCCACACCTCCCCCATACTGGGGAATTCAGCCCATTCACCTGGGTGACCTGAGGCCTGTCAGGGGTGATGTGACCCCGTGGCCAAAACAGCTGTGGGTTAATATTCCAGCAGTGATCTCACACAGGGCTGTTTGGCTGCTTCCTCCCCCAGCACTGGCCACAGCATTCGTGTACCGTGGCAATCCCTTCTCCCATCCCTAGACCCTTCCCCCAGTCTTTGCACTTCCTTTGTCCATCCCTCCCAAAGGAACAACAGACTTAGAACTACTTTTTTCCTATTGCTTTGTGCTTGGTGTTTTTCTCAGTCTGTGTCCAGTTCGCTGTTTCTGACACTTTTACATTGGTTTTATCTGGGCATTATATGCTACAGACAAGAGAAACTCCTGGCCTTGCCCCAGGAGGTCCCACTGCTTCTCTCCAGCTACCCATGGAGTTTGGCCTCTCCTCACACCACTGTTCCATAACCACTTGGCAGATCCAGGTGTCCCTTTAGACAACCTCTGCACTTTTTGTCAGCTTTTCATGCTGTTACCTGCCACACACAGGTGTTTCCCACACAATGTTGTGCCAAGTTCTGCTGAGACACCTCGAGGAAGTGCCTGGCCAGTGGCTCATGATCTGCCTGTAGCTCCAAGGAATGGAAAGTAAAATGCTCCTGTAATTATAGCACTGAATGGAACTAAAGACCTGCTATGAACTGTCCAAGCTTTGCACTTTGGAGGTTTGAGGGAATTCTGGAAAACTGACACAAACATTCCAAGGACAGCTCAGGACATTGTCAAAACCCCAAGTCAAAGCCTTCTGTCCCTCAACAATCACTCCACACCTGAAGTCCCCACCTCTCCAATAGTAACATCTCTCATGGGAAATGTTTCTCATCCCCTCATCTCAAACAGGGACAAGGACAACGGGCTGGCTCCAATTGTTGTGGCAACAACTTCCCAGTCTGTGTCCCGGCAGAGCCCTCACCTGTGCTGCTCCCCGACCTGTTGTCTCCCCCCTGCTCCAGTGTCTTCTCAACATTTGGTCGTGTTTGACTCGGCTTTGCTGGACATGCCCACGTTCCTTCACCTCCCCCCGAGCAGTGCCTGGGGAAACAGCCTTGCTGCTGCTTCTGCAGGACCGGGAGGACCAGCAGTCATGGGATGTAGGAAGGAACTCCTTGTTTCTCTGCCAAGACGGAATCAGGACCTGCCAATCTGTTCCTGCCAGCCAAGGCCGGAGAGAGCTGCTCTGCAGAATGAAACCTCGAGTGACTAATGAGGTTTCCTGGACCTGGCAGAGGCAGGAGTTTATGTCAGCAGGGGATTCGGGCAGCTGTGCTTGTTTTCCCCCGGGACTCGCTGGAAAGCTCTCAGGAGGGCAGCCCCACACCTTCTGAGAGCAGGACAGGCTCCCTTTGTTTGCAGCAGGGACGGGGATTGAACGTTCTGTGACTCTGCCGGGTGTGGGAGGTTTGGGAACCCTTCTCCTTGGCCACCCGGCTCTAAGTCAGGGAGGGCCCCGAGCCAGGAGCGCTCAATTAGCCCTGTAATCACGAGCACAATGAGAGCAGCTGCTCTGTAATTGCCTCTGCCTCAGGCCATGGGCAGCTTAGCTGGGAGAAATTCCTTTTATTATCTGGGAGGGCTCTGAAGCCCAGGCGTGCTGTGGGTGGTGGTGGGAGTTACAAGGCTCTGTCTGCTCCCCTGCCCCTCTCCAGGCACCTCGGGCAGCATTCCTGGTGCTCTGAGCACTGCAAGATGTGGAGTGTGTAAAAATTCACTTAAGAAAGGATGGTTTTTAACGTTTGATCTTTGTAAATTTCATGCCTCCAGAAAGGACTTTTAATCTATGGATCAGAGAGCAGCCCATGAGCTCTGAGTGATGTCCAGGTGTAGGAAACATGGATTCCTGGTCGGTGGAATTGCCTTGTTAAGGGTTCAGGGCTGAACACATCTCAATGATCTCAGCCCTGGGGGAGGGTATCACAGCTTGGGAGGAAGGATTTCCACTGGCAGTGGGCACAGGGAACACAGAGTTTATGGGCCACACGGACATCTGGCAGAACCCCAAAGATGAGGAGGAAACTAATAATGACAACTCAGCAACTGGGCTGAATCAGCTCCCACTGGGTACAAGGTGACTCCAGCAGGGGCAGATCGTGACCCACAACATCAAACACCCCCCCCGACCCAAAAAGAGAAGCACAGAACGCACCGAGCACCCAGGGCTTGCTCAGTGCTGAAATAAACACCCAGTGTCTCTCGAATGTGTAATTGTTGGCTTGTTGCACAGCAGGTTATGAATCCCGTTTTTGTGGACAGCAGGGGGGCTGGTGTGTGCAGTTCCCTGGGGAGCTGCTGGCCTGGACCAGCTCCAACTCCCAAAAAGGGGCACAATTAACATCAGCATTTGCCCATCTGATGATGAGGGGTCTGGAGCATCTCCCCGGTGAGCAAAGATGGTGGGAGCTGGGCCTGGTTAGTCTGGAGAGGAGAAGGCTGAGAGGGGATCCCCCCAGTCCACACCAATATCTCCAGGGGCTGTCAGAGGATGGTCCCACACTTTTTTTGGTGGTGCCCACTGACAGGACGAGGAGCAATGGCCATAAACTCAAACACAACAAGTCCCCTCACCACGAGGGGACAGGACTTCTTTCCATGGAGGTGGCAGAGCCCGGAACAGCTGCTCAGGGAGGGTGTGGAGTCTCCCTGTCTGGAGACACTCCAGACCCACCTGGACACGTTCCTATGTCACCTGCTCCAGCCTTTCCCCAGGCTTGAAGGTTACAAAGATCAACCACCGAAGCAGCTCCTTTCCTAAGGAGACGTTTCCATAGTCCAGGTTTCCCAGCCCCGGGCGCTCCGGGATCCCCCCGGGGTCGGGATCCCCCCCGGGGTCGGGATCCCCCCCGCCCGGCTCCACGTGGTGCGGGCCGGGCGGAAGCGGCGTCACCACTCTCCGTGCGCACGCGCGGCCGCCCCGGTCACGTGTTGCCGGGGCGCGTGGCCGTGCCGGGATTTGGGATCGGGATGTTCCGCATCGAGGGGCTCGGGCCCAAAATGGACCCGGAGGAGCTGCGGCGGAAGATGCGCCGGGACGTGCTCTCCTCCGTCCGCAACTTCCTCATCTATGTCGCGCTGCTGCGGATCAGTGAGTGACCCGGATGGGACCGGGATGTCCCCGCGCCCCCGGGGTGTCCCGGCTCCGGGATGTCCCCGCGCCCCCTCCTGATCCGGGCTGTGTCCCGTCTGTTTCCCTCCCCAGCGCCGTTCATCCTGAAGAAGCTGGACAGTATCTGATCCCGCGGACCCGGCCCCGCAGCTGCTCCCCCCGGGCCAGAGGCGGTGCCGGAGGGACACGGACAGCCCGGAATTCCCAGGATGTCCCGTCCAGCACGCGCAGCCGCGCAGTCCGAGGAGGGGAAGGTGCCTGTTGTCCCTGCGGGTGAATCCCGGGCGCAGAGGGGGCCCTCCTGTGATCCAGCAGCGCTTCGTGCCGAACGTTCCCCGTGCAGTGCGAGCAAAGCCCGTCCCCATCCCGCGGGACGTGTCCCGTGCTGGCAGGGACACAGCTCCGGGACCGGCTGTGCTGTGTCTGCCCCCCGCACCCCGTCCTGTGTCACACCCAGTCCCCGCCGAGTCCAGCCCAGAGCACTTTGTTTCAAATAAACGGGAGAGCAGTTGTGTCACGGGCCCTGGTCACGCTGGGTTTACAATAACCATCAGGCACTGAAATACCGCGGGGGGTGGTGTGGGATTATATCCCTGGCTGCGCCTGGAGTTCACCCACTCCTCCTTTGATCCACCCTGTGCGGAGGGAGGGCAGAGGAGGAGCAAGAGTGTCCAGGTGGGTCCAGGTGGGGCAGAGCAATCCAAGGGGGAAGGGCAGCCTGGCCTGTGACAGCTCCCCCTGGCACCAGAACCTCGGGGGTCTGTCCCTCGGGTCACAGTCCTCAGTGCCTGTCCCCAGTGGGTGTTGGAAGGGCAGTTCAGGCTTGGAAACAGGGTGTCCATTTGGGAGTGTAACCAAGTCACTTGGTCACTTCCCACCTGGAGCCTTGAGTGCCCACTGCACCCAGGGGAGTAGCCACCCGTGAGTGGCTCTGGATTCCAGTGGGAATGAAATCAGGGGTGTTCTTGAGCTCAGGTTGTGCTGTAGGTGCCTATTCTGGGGTGACCTGATGGCTGCTGAACCCAGGAGGAAGAGGCTTTTCTCTCTCTTGGCTCTTAGTAGTGGAATTTTCTGTCTGCTCTGGCCCAGGGACCTCTATCCCATGGTCCAGGTCCTGGTGCTGGGGACAGTCCTGACTCTATCAGACTCTGCTGGACTTGGTGTGAGCCTATTCCAGGCTGGCTCCAGGGAGAAGATGGAGAACAAAGGTGTTCCCACATCCAGCATGTGACCCTGTCCACATGGGATCTCCAGGCAGTCTCAGAGCAGCTGCTGCCGTGCCTTGGCATTTTCTGAAATTATGTTGCCATCACAATTCCTGTGCTCCCAGCACTAGCCAGACATCTCTTCACTAATTCTTCCCACTTTCACCTCAAGTTTGGGTGTTCTGCTCCTACAGGCCATTGGGTTTGCTGATGGGGGGCTCTTTCCATGGTGGGCTCTGTCATTCCCAGGGGCTGTCACGTTGTCCCCCCCAGCAACTCTGTGATTCCTCCACTCCTATGCTCAACACAAGGAGCTCCAAGGGAAGGGGTGTGGACCTTCCCAAAACTTAAGGGAACACGGAATGTACAGGGGGAAGGAGCCCCTTGTCCTGCCATTACTGTGTGGTGTCCTGAGTGAGATGTGGTTGGGCCGAGCAGCCTCTGCACCTGGGAAGACACAGAAAGCACAGGAGCAGTGGTTGGACATGAGCCCAGGTGTGCAAGAGGCCAGTGGCCCCTGGACTGTCCCAGCCATGGGGTGTCACAGCCCCAGGACAGTGCCCGTCCCTGTGCTGGCACTGCTGAGGCCCCTCATGTCCCATGTCCAGGTCTGGGCTCCTCAGACAGGAAGGACATTGAGGGGCTGGAGCGTGTCCAGGGAAGGGAACGGAGCTGGGGAAAGGTCTGGAGCAGCAGGAGGGGCTGAGGGAGCTGGGGGGGCTCAGCCTGGAGAAAAGGAGGCTCAGGGAGGACCTTCTCACTCTCTGCAACTCCCTGACAGGAGGGGGGAGCTGGGGGGGGGGTTGGGCTCTGCTCCCAGGGCACAAGGGACAGGAGGAGAGGGAACGGCCTCCAGCTGTGCCAGGGGAGGCTCAGGTTGGACATCAGGAGGAATTTCTCCCTGGAAAGGGTGGTCAGGCTTTGGCAGGGGCTGCCCAGGGAAGTTTGGAGTCCCCAGCCCTGGAGGTGTCCCAGGAAGGCCTGACTGTGGCACTCAGTGCTCTGGGCTGGGGGACAAGGTGGGCATCGGGCAGAGGGGGGACTCAATCTTGGGGGTCTTTTCAACCCAAATGACTCTGTGAGGAGGTGAGGCCATAGGGGAAGGAGCCCCCACCCCACCTCAGGCCCCCCAGCACGGCTGTGGTGTCACAGGGGAGACTGGGATTTACTAGGATTGGACTCTGGGCCCTACAGAATTACCATGGAGTCCTGGATCGTAGTCGCAGCCCGGGAGAGGGCACTGGGCCATACTGGAAGGTCTGGGCTCTACTGGGAGCAATAGTGGAAGAAATTATTGCAAAAATGGGGAAAAATGCATGAAAAAACAAGGGAAAGGGGGGAAAATGGGGCACAAAGGGGTAAGAACCTGGAAGAAAACCAGGGAAATTGGGGCAGAGTAATGTGGTGAAATGGGGTAGAAAACAGCAGTGTGCTGCCCTGGCTCCCCCACCACCATTGCTGTATGGATCCAGTGCTTCCAGTATAGCACCAGTGCTGCCAGTAAAATGCCAGTCTGAACCACAGCTTTTCAGGTAGGATCCCAGCATGGCCTCTACACTCCCAGTGTGGACCCAGCACTGCCAGTACAACACCAGCACAACCTACACTTAAACCAAGATCCTGATATGATCCCCAGTGTCCCCAGTACAGAGCCACCCTCGGGCTGCCATTCTCCCAGTATGATCCCAGTATGGGCTACAAGGCCTCAAGTACACTTCCAGGGTTCCCAGTATGGCCCCAGACATGGGGACATGGGGCTCCAAGTACAGTTCCAGTGCACTCTCAGTACAGTCCCAAGGTTCCCAGGGCACTCTCAGCACAGACTCTAGAGCTCCCTCAATGCATTCATGGTGCTCCCAGTGTGGTCCCCAGCACTGCCATTACAGCCCTGCAAACACTTTTTGCTTTGCCCCATCCCAGTGCCTCATTGGGCACCTCAAACCCTCTGAATTCCCCCCAAAAACAACATCACATCCTGCCATCATCTTTATTGGTGAGTGGGCGTGGGAGGTCACAGGATCAGGCCCCCACCAGTGAACTCCATTCGCTGCCGAGAGAAGGGAGAGAGGAAGGGGGTGAGTGGGGGGACCCCAGAATCCCTGGGGGGCCCAGGACCCCTTTCCCTGGGGGATCCCCAGGACCCCTGCTCTCCCACGGGGACCCCCAGGCCCCCCACCCCCAGGGGACCCCGTGCCCACCTGCGGGGGGGTGACGAAGGCCAGCCAGTCAGAGGGGCGGGTGGGCAGCAGCCCCATGGCCTGGCACTTGTAGAGGGCCAGTGCCAGCCCCAGCCCGTTGCCCACCAGGAACACAAGCCCCTGCAGTGCCCGCCGGCTCGAGCTCTCCAGGGCCTTCAGGGCTGGGGGGACAGAGGGGGTCAGGGGGGGTTTGTCAGGGACCCCCAGGCTGCTGAACTGGCATGGGGGGTTACTGGGGGCTGTGAGGGGTGGGCAGCTGCTGGGGGAGTGCTGGGGGGGTGGGTGGGACTGACATGGGGGTGACTGTGGGGGGGCTGTGGAGGACACTCAGGGGACCATGGGGACACCCAGGGGTCAGGGGGGGCTGTGGGAGACACCTGGGGGGCTGGGGAGGACATCCGAGACTGTGGGTGTCTGTGTGGACACCCAGGGGCACACACCTATGGGGGACACCTGGGGGGCTCTGGGGACACCTGTGGGTGTCAGTGTGAAGCCCCAGGGGTCCATGGTGTCTGTGTGGACCCCCAGGGATGTCTGTGTGGTGGCTTTGGGGACTCCCAGGGGCCAGGGGTGTCTGTGTGCCCCCAACGGCCCCATGGTGTCCATGGGTGTCTGTGTGTCTATCTGTGTGTCCTTCCAGGGCCCGTCACCCCCACCATGAGGGCTGTACTCACTGGCAGACAGGGACATGAGGGCCTGGAGCGGGCGCCAGCCCATCATGCAGACCATCATGGCCGGGAAGATGGAGATGGTGTTCCCAGCCATGTACATGATGAACAGGTTCATGGGGATCTGCTTCAGCGGTGCCAGCGCCACATCCCAGCAGCGCTGCAACGACAGGGAGGAGGGGGAGCTGGGGCACTCACAGTGACACTACCTCGGGGAGTGGGGGGACACCAGGGACCAACCCCCTTGGGTGTGAGGAGACCCAGGGCAGGGACCATCCCCCACGGGGACGTGGGATTTGGGGCACCGAGGGAACCACCCCCATGGAGGGCTGGAGTGTGGAGGGACACAGAGAGACCCCCTCCCACGGGGAAGCCGGGATACTGGGGGAGCTGGGGTAGGGACCACCCTCCATGGGAAATCTGGGGGGGACCCGGGCAGAGACCACTCCCATGGGACAGGGAGCACCCCCCGTGAGGGCCCCGGGGAGTGGGGACACAGAGGGGCCACTCTCCGGGAAGGGCGGGATTGGGGGGGCCCCCGGAGCCGGGACGCCCTGCAGGAGGTCCCAAGGGCTCCCCCCGTCCCACCTTCTCCATGAGGATCTTGTCGCTCTCGTGGACGCCGCCCTCCCCCAGCTGCCGGTCGGCGAACCCGAGCGGGCCGCGGCCCTCGGCGGCGCCGCGGGGCCTGCGGGCACAGGGCGGGGCTGAGTGGGGGTGCCGGCACCCAGACTCCCCCGCGTCCCCCTCGCGTCCCCTCGTCCCTCACCGGCCCCCCGGGGCCGCCCCCAGGTCCAGCGACCACTTGAAGCGGCGCCCCCGCACCGCCGCCGCCGCCGCCGCCATGGCCACAGTCACGTGTGCGGCCACGTGCGGCGTCACGTGTGCGGCCACGTGGGGCACCCCCGGGGGTTCACCCCTCTTTCGTGTTTTTCATCCCAAAGTTCCACCGCAGCTTCTTTGGATCTACTGGGTTTTAATTTTGGTTTCTTTGGGTTTTTTTTTAGTGGGCCTTTCTCATGGGTTTATTTTTTATTATTTTTTTTTCTAAGCGGAGCGTTGGCACGCCCTCATTGCAACGCCGTTTGACATCATTTCCCACTCCACGTTACACCCCGTTATGGGCCCCATTGGTAACACTTACTGCATCCCACATCCCTCACTGTCTCTTCTCACTACCGCCATATCCCCCCACTGATCCTCCACCGTCATACTTATTACGCTCAAAACTCCCCGTTATTGCACCTCCAATCCCCCTACTCCACCCCGTTATCATCCTCACCCCAAAATTCCACATTTCGCCCCCACCCCCCGCGCAGTGAGACGCTCCAGCTCCCCCCGCCCCGCGGCGCGTGATTTCCCAAACACGTGATTCCTCCCGACCGCTCTATTGGCCGCGGCAGCGCAAGCCCCGCCCAGGAAGGATCGATCCGTCCCTCCGCGGCGCCGCCATTATGAGAAGGTCAAGGCCTGGCAACGGACACAACGCACCCAGCGGCACCCCCATGTTGGGTGTCCCGGCTCTGAGCGGTACCGGCGCCGCCTGTTCCTGTCCCAGCACAAGACGTGTCCCAGCCATGTCCCGTGTGGGCCCCATTTTGGGGGCTGTGTCAGGACAGGCGTTCCCAGGCACGTCCCACTCTCGGGGGCTCAGGACATGTGTCCTGGGCACGTCCCTGTGTGCCCCCCACTCTGGGGGGCCCCTGTGGCACAGGATGGAGTCGAGAGGCACAGTAGATACAGAAAGGTCCTTTACTGAGCGTGGGGTCCGGGCCGGCCCGGCCACCCGCAAGGTCCCAGTCAGGACTTGGAGTACCTGCGGCGCAGGGAGTCGCGGTAGAACTGGAAGATGGTGTCTGCGGCGCGCTGGGCTGTGACCAGGCACTGCTGCATCTGAGGGGGAACAGGGGCGGGATGGGGGCCAGGCTCCCCCTGAGGGGCTCCCACGCCCCCAAACCCCCAAGGTCCCTCACCTCCTCCACGGAGCAGCTGCCCTTGGTGGTGGCCATCAGCACCTTCCTCTCCCTGCTGTCGATGGCGAAGGTGAGCACGGCACGGGCCTCCTGTGGGACCAGGGGGTCAGGGGAGCTCAGGGGGCACACACAGGGCCGGGCACCCCCCTCCCGGGGCTCACCTGCTCCTGCCGCGCCGTGGGGTCAAGGGCGATGGTGCCGTCGGGGCCGAGTGCGCAGGTGACGCCACAGAAGAGGGAGGAGAGGGGCAGCCCCGCGTCCAGCAGCCCCATGCAGGCGGCGTTCAGGCAGCACGACAGCAGCTGGGGGTCACAGTCAAGGGACACAGCGCAGCTCCGGCCCCCCAACCCCAAACCCACCACTCTGAGCTGTTCCCCCAAACCCTCCCCGCCAAAGGATACCGATCCAGCATCGCTGAGCACCTGCAGCACCAGGGTGATGGCCGTGCGCGGGTGCAGCACGCCCAGCACCACGGCCTCGCACGTCTGGCGCAGCTGCTGCTCCCGGCTCCGCTCTAGCACCCCTGCAAACCAAAGCATGCACGTGCCCCTGAGAAAGGCTGTTGTCTGATGATCAGTCTGTGCTTTCTAGCCTCCAGAACGGAGATTAAACCCACGGATCAGAGAGCAGCCAACGAGCTCTGAGTGATGTCGAGGTGATGGAAACACAAATTCCTGGTTGGTGGAACTGCCTTGTTAAGGTTTAGAGCTTGACACGTCTCAGTGATCTCAGCCCTGGGGGAGGGTATCACAGCTTGGGAGGAAGGATTTCCACTGGCAGTGGGCACAGGGAATGCAGAATTTATGGCCCGGCATCCGGCAGAACCCCCAAGATAAGAAAGGAACTAATAAAGACAATTTAGCACCTGGGCTGAAGCAGCTCCCACTGGATTCAGGGTGATTCCAGCAGGGGCAGGCTGTGACCACCAACCCAAGAAACACCCCGACCCAAAGGAAGAGAAACACTGAGCATGACCAACTAGCACGAGAAGCGAGAGAGTCATTAACCAACAGAATAGTAATTAACAAGAGAACTATGTAACCTATAGCCGATGAACATTAATGCCTTTGTTTGCTAAAATGTATAACACTGTATAAACAGTAACAAGTTCCAAAGTTCGTAGTGCTATATTTGCGGATTAGCTGCCCAGCAAACTGTAAATAAAGAGCTGTAAATAACTCCAACACCTCGGTTCCCTGTTTTGGGGGAGGGCCGGGGGTCCCACCTGGCAGCCCCACCTTGGGGCGCAGCAGCACCTCCAGCGCCGCCCGGTCCGGCAGCTCCTTGCTGAGCTTCGCCTCAGCGGGGCCGTAGAGCCCGGCCAGGACTGAGGTGTCACCTGCGGACAGGGAGGGTGGGATGGAAGGGAAGGGATGGGGAGAGATGGGATGGGGAGGGGAGTCCCCAAGGAGAGCCGCGGAGGGCTGGGAAGGGCACGTGGGGAAACCCAGGAAGAGGAGCCCCGGGGAGCGGAGTCCCCAGAGCCTGCAGGACGGGCAGCCCCGGGAAAGGGGGGAAGACCCTGCGGGAAGAGCTGGGAAGGGGAAAAGGGGACCCCGGGAATGTGGCCCCACAGATCCCCCAGGAAGGAGAGCCCCGGGAGGGGTAGCCCCGGTGGTTCGGCCCCACAGACCCTGCAGGAAGGCGGCCGAGCCGTCGGGCCGCGAGAGCAGCCCCTGCTCGCAGGAGAAGGGCCGCAGGCGGCACTGCCCACCCGGCTCCGCCACCGTCTCCATCATCTCCTCTTCCCCCTCCTCTTCCTCCGCACCTTCCGCTTCCGGGCCGCGGGCCAGTAGCCAATCAGCGCCTGCTGTCGCGACTGGGCCCCGCCCCCGCGGCATCGCGAGGGCGTTCGGGTCGTGCCTGGAGCCGGGGCTGGGCCGGGCGGGAAGGGCGGGACCGGATCCCTGTCCCCCCTCACACCGGAGCCAGCCCGGACCCGGGGGACGCGGGGGGAGGAACACCCGGCCCGGCCAGAGAGAGCCGCGAGCAGCACCCGAACCGCACCCTGGCGGGGCAAACCACGACGGCGGCGGGTGCTGCTCTGCTGCTCTCCGTCATCTGCGGAAAATCCTCCTGGGAGCCTCGGTCGTGGTCCCACAGACAAGCCGAGGGTCCTGCCGGCTGCCCCGGCCGCGCTGGGACCCTGGGCTGGGGGAGGGGGACTGGGGAGACCCCCCGAGGGCTGCGGGGCAAGAAGGGGCTGGACACGGGGACATCGCTGAGCCCACAGAACGCGGGAATCTGCCACTGGCATCACCTGTTACCCTCCGCTTTTATGTGAACATGTGGCACCCCCCGGGCAATAACAAGGTGATTCCTGGGGATATGGAGCCCACTGGCAGCAGCAGGATCTACCCCCCCCCATCCTCGGTGGCCTGGATGGGCTAAAGGACAGTGCCAAACCTCCCTCTCCCTCCTGCAGCTGCTCCTCTTCAACCCCGTGATCCATCTGGGGATCCAGCCCCCAAGCCCTTCCCAACCCAAACTTTCTCCCACTGTCAGCCTGTGCCTGCCTTTTTCCCTGTCCCAATCCACATCCCACATGTGGGCAGCTGCCCAGACCATCCTTAAACCCCACACCCAGGCAGAGGCTGCTTCATCCTGAGGGGGAGCTGAGGACATCAGCCTTGGGCCTTTGGGTTTCTCTGCCCTCCTGGGGGCTCCTGCACCATTCCCAGGTCCCTGCTTGGAAAGAACTGATGACTTGCCATAGTGGAAATGAAGATATGTCAGCAATGGATTGACTTAAGGGATCTGAAAGGGGATGGGAAGCTCAGCTGGCAAAATGAGACACAAGAATCTTTCTGCCCACGAGAGCTTTGGCATCACCATGGCTCCACTCAGGATTTCCCTGGGAGGTGGTGTCGGGGCACTGGGGGTGTGGGAGCCTCAAAAACAGGAAAAGGACCTCAGGAGAAGGGGGAGGAAGCAGCACTCAGAGACTGTGTCAAGGAAATTTATTTCCTTCTCTTTTTCCTCCTCCTGGGCCGCAGGGAACCGTGGCGGTCACGGGCCCTCCTCTTTCGGGGGTGCCGGTGCTGCCGGTGCTCATGGCCCCTGTCCTGGTCGGGAGTGGAGGGACCTGGAGCCTCTGTGGGCTCCTGGGCCACATCCTGGGGCTGCTCCTGCTCAGCAGGGACGGGCACACATGGGGGGTGGCTGGGACTCCCAGGGGGGGCCTCTGATGTGCTGAGCTGGTCCTCTGGGCCTGACCCCACGGGGTCACAAGTGTCGGCCTGGCTGGGCCTGGGGGTACCCCCTGGGCTGTGGGTGGGGGTGCCCCCCGGGCTGGCAGTGGGGGTCCCCCCTGGTGAGGAGGAGCGGCTGGAGCTGGACACGGAGCTCCCGCCCCGGTCCCTGGCAGGTTGGGAGCAGTGTAGCTGCCAGGCCTCGCCACACTGGCTCAGGGTGACATGGACCAGTCCGTGCACCAGCGGGGCCGTGTATTCCCCCAGGTAGTTCTGCAGTATCTGGGCCAGCGCGTCCCTGTCGGGGCCGTAGATGCAGAGGGCGGAGAGGGCGATGCTCTCCACCTCGCGGGCCTCCCACCAGCGCGGGCCGTGGATCGCCTCCAGGCTGTGCCGCAGCCACGGCCGCACCGGGTCCAGCAGATGCTCCTGCCCGTGCAGCAGCTCCGCCCAGAGCTCGGCCGGGAGCGCCCGCGTGGGGCCGGCCGGGGCCGGGGGGCTCCGGGGGCAGCGGGGCCAGGGGCAGGTCTCGACCAGGCGGAACTGAGCCCTCCGCGCCCCCGGCGAGCGCCCCGGCGGGCTGAGGATGCACTGCAGGAAATCGGCGTCGCCGAGCACGGAGAAGCGGGCGGCGATGACGGGGCTGCGGCAGCGGGGGCAGGCGGGGTCCGCGGCCGTGCCCCGCAGGAGGCAGCCCAGGCAGAACGCGTGTCCGCAGGGCACGGCCAGGCTGTCGCAGCTCACGCGGTGACACACCGGGCAGTTCCACTCGGTCTGCGTGGCCCGGCTCGCCCGCCGCGGCGGGTCGGGCAGCGCCCGGGACGGGGCGGGGCCCATCGCGGGCACCGGGGCCGGGCCGGGCCGGGCCGGGCCGAGCCGGGCGGCTGCACTTAACGGTCCTGAAGGGCTCTTCCGACCCTGGCGATTCTGTGGCGCTTCCCAAGGGTGTCGGGCACTGCACGGTGGAACGGGACCATGGTCAGAGGCTGTCCCGGGGTGGGGAGGACGCAATGCCCAGGCCCCTCCAGGACACCCTCCCCACTCTCCGAGCCCAGCGCACACCCCATGCACAGACACCCGCGAGGAGTTTCCCCACAGCCTCACCTTCCCTGCTGCAAACAGCCGCAGTGCCCGGCTGCCCAAACCAGACAGGGCTGAGCAAACACAGGGAATGGCCCCGGAGGGGTCACCGAGCTGCCAGGGGAGCCCCCGAGGCACCACCAGCCCCGGGAGAAGCCTCGCTCAACCCTCCAGACTTCGCAGTCTCACTCTGGAGTCCAGGCTCAAGCCACAGTGTCCCGGGCTCTGCGGGGCCCAAACACAGTCGGGGAGGGGGGTGACATCACAACACCTCCCCCGGTGGGGTCACGACGGGCCGCTTGGGATGTCACCTTCTGCCAGCAGGTGATGTCACAACGCGACATCCCCCTCCCACCCCGGGCACGTGGAATCGGGAGGAAAAAAAAGGAAATACTGTTTCCTGTGTTTAACTTCTACATTTCTGTGCTGCTCTCCATCACCCACATCCATGTCCGTGTTCCTGTCCCCGCTCTCCCGGGACGCAGAGCTCGGTAGGAGCTGCCAGCACCGAGGGCAGCACATCCTCTGCACCAAACCCCCCCAGCCGCACCCGGACACTGAGTGCGGGGTGGGCTCCAGAGCGAGCCGCAGGGGCTCCCCAAAGGCTGCCATGGCTGTTCAAATGCTCTGACCACACCAAGAGGGCCCACGTATCTGTCCTTTGTGGGATGCTCCTAAATCACCCCTATCCAAAGGACAGACCTTCTTTTCCCTACCACGTAATTGGGACACTGCTGAGGAACCGAAATGGACCCTGGAGAGAGGTAAGAGGGTGGGCTGCAGCACTGACGTTCCCAGCACTGCCCTCTGCCTCACCTGGAGCTGAGGGGATGGTAACTGGGCACTGCTTTGACGGGGCACTCACCAGCACAGCAAGAAATTGGGGCTTCAAAGAGAATAATGCTCTCTTTGTGGGTGTGGTGTTTTCATGTGAAACATGTTTTATGTAATTACTGTGTAGTCACACAGCCCAGTCTCTGCCATTACAGGGTGTAATTTGCTAGGTGAGGACTGAATTTGGCCCTACCAAGGGCAAGGCCAATGGGAAACAGCTGATGTGAAAGTAACTGTTAATACCTGGCACTACAGTAAGGAAAACTGAAAAGACACAACGAAGGAGCTTGGGCTGTGCCTGCAAAACAAAAGACAGTATTTCCTGCCTTATTGTCATTTGCACTGAAGGCACCCAGAAACAGCCCATCCAAAGCACCCTAGAGAGGAAGAAAAGTGCTGATGGGCATCAACAACCAAAGACATTTTGACTTTGCAGCAATAAGCTGCAACAGAATTTTAGAACTAGGAGGGAAATTTCTCTCTTCGAAATTAAACAACAGCTGTAGATGGAAAGACTACACCTGTCCCTTAGGAGATGACAAATCCAGACTCTTTAATAGCATTGACCCAAGGTCTGGGTGGATAAACACGTGTCTTCTCTTACTAAACTCTGGCTGTGAGCTATACAGAAATGCAAACGTGCACCACACAAAGGAATTTGGTTACACTTTTTTCCTCACTCCTGTGGTGGATAGTGATACTCCTGTGGTATCCCTATCCCCAGCACTGTACCATGTGTCACTTACCAAACACAAAATCAAGTGCAACCTAAGGAGAAAAACTGCACTTTATACACTTTAAACTTCCTAGAGAGAACAACTTCAGCTTGATTGTTGCATTTTCCCCTCCATAAGTTATGAAAATATCTTTCAACAAGGAATCCAAAATAAGCTATGGTACAACATATAAACTTACTTATAAAGACATAAAAATCTGAGTCAGAGTACTAAACAGTATTAATACAGTAGGATTTTTCTTTACATTATCCGTATGGGACATCAAACTTTTTCTGTGTACATTTCAGCCTCTTATTTCATGAAGGTACAAACTTCCAAATAGCAGGTTCATTTCAAGGTAAGAATTTGAACAAAACCTTCAAATGCTGACAACTTATGGCACGTGTACTCAGGAAACACAGTGTACAATTGCAAGGTAAATTAAAATGTGCGAAAACTAAAAATAACTTAAGACTGACACTGCTGATCTACAGTCTCTTTCAGATTGATTTCAGTCATTTATTACTCTCTTTTTATAGACGATTTTGTGGCTCAGGAGAGGCAGGAAATTGTGTGTGATTCAGTGTTCAGCTCAGGGCTGATCCTGCACAGCGAGGAGGAAGCTGAAGAGGGCTGTCGCGATGCTGAGACAGTTCAGACCTGGCTCCCAGCCTGGCTCCCAGCCCCGCTCTGTGGCTTAGGCAGCACTTTGGGGCAGACCACGCTCTCTTCAGCCGAGGCCTTTGCAGCACCTCGGCCAGGCAAGGCAGTGGGTGGGGTCTGGAGCTCAGTCACTGTCGAATTCCTCTATTGTCAGCTCCTCCTCCTCCATGATGGCCTGGGCTGCCACGGGTTGGGGCTGGCTGCCAGGCAGGTCACTGCCACTGCACTGGCTGGAGGGCAGCAGGAGTCCTTCGGGATCACTGGGATCACTCTCTCCCGTCCTGCTGTTCCCCGGCTCCGCATCGGTACCATCACCCTCCCCACGGAACAGCTCCGGGGTCCCGGGGTCCTTGTCACTGAGAGCGTCCAGCTTTAACCTGTGAAATCATCAGTGCAGCACTGCATGACCACACACAGACAGCTGCTGTCTCACGGGAGCTCACACAGGAAAGACTGTCTGTCCTCAGATACAACCTTACTCCCACTGAAACTGCTGCACTGAGTTATTTTAAGGGCTGGTTAGTAACACAATTTAAATTATGTTCAATTAGGATTAATGAAGGAAGCAAACACCTGTATTTCTCCATACTCCCTTTCCAGCAGACTGAGCAAATGGGAAAGGATGACAAGTGAAGTTATCCTTCAGATCAGACTTTCAGTGACACACACCCAACTTATTAATGCAGACACAAACAGTCATCAGTATCCAAAGGTACGGTGCAATGACACTAAATGCCATAAGGAAGTTACAATTAATTTAAGAAGTTACACTGTCACTCAGATGAGGGGGATTACAAAGAAATACATTGCTTAGGGACAGTCTCCTTCCTTAATTTTAATACAATTTAATACAATTGTCAGGGAAGAGGGTGGTTCCTGGAAATACAGCTTGGAAACTCATTGTTAAACTCAGCAGCAGCACCAGTGACAAGCAGGAGATGCTTTGTCAGGTGCCTGAACAAACTCTGTCCTGGTAGGAGATGACAGAGTTTGTCTCACTCCAGCTGTGATCTGGATTCTTTACCAGAAACAGACCAATTAAAACTCTTAAATTTCAGAGATGTCAAAGCCATACAAACCTAACTGAGGCTCTACCACAGTAAATGATGTCTATGATTCAGAGGGCTCACGAGAGTCTCAACACAACATCTTGTGCCACATCACCTCACGAGCCCTACACAATCTGTAAGGAGGGCACATTAAATAAATAAACTCATTAAAATATTTTGTATTTCTACTGCTTCAAAGGAAGTTGGAACAATTCCCTGTTGTTCCTTCTTTCTTGCACCTCCAACACAAAGGTGAACACAGAATATTCTACCAAACTTCCAGATTATTGTTCTGTGTCATGACAAACAACAGGCAAGATGCACTGAACTCTTTGCATCAATTCACTTTTATTCTCACATAAATGTTTTTGATAGTAAAGGAAGTATTTTGTTCAGATCATGCACTGGAGAAACAGTGTCTAGGACAGGTCTAATACTTAATACAACAGAAAAGAAAGTTAAACAAGGATTAAAAGCAGGACTTCAGTAAATCACAGATGATTTACTGTGGAAGGGTTCTCTACAAAAGGGTTCTTCCCCTTAATATAGTAAAGTAATGAAGTCTTACTTTCTCTAAGTATAGACAGAATTTAACCTTACCTCCCAAAACGCCTTTTCAGTGGCAGCCTCCCCACGTCTTGGATAAAAGCGATCTGAGCTAAGAACAAAGAACCACCAGTGTCACAGTGGGCAGATCATAATTAACATACAATTAAACATACTGGAAAAGAAACAATTCATGTGTTAGTCAAGTATTCCTGCATACATTTGAAACATTTTAGATACCAAAACACTGCACATGCATATATGTAACTTTTTTCCCAAACTCCTACAGTTTACCACCATACTGACAGACTGCCTACACCCAAGACCTGACATCCATCCATTTCTATTTATGACGTAGAGTTATTATTCCACAGCCTACGAAATTAATTCATCCTGATGGCAAGGCCTTAGTTCATGAAGCTTTTTTTTAGAAACAATTAACGCAGCACAAGTGACCTAGCTGACTAAACAGTAATTTTTGAATTATGTGAATTATTTAAATTTTTCTGCATGAATGGTCTGCTATTGGATTACCTTGGATTTTACATTTTTTTATGCACTATAAACTCGAATTTTGTTTATCTGGGAAAGGCTTTTTAAAGCCTTTTAAGTCTGTTGATGTTACTGGAAAGATATCAGTAAGCAACGAAAATCCAGTTAATTTTGCACACTGGTTTCCAGAAGTCATCTTCTTCTCAATTCCTCCAGCAGATTTAAAATAAGCCCTAAATCTAGAGAGCAACTTAATTAGTAAGGTTTGATAATCCTACCAGAACAGCTTTAATTTTGGCTGTTACTAGAAGCACCTTTGGGTATCACCTCTATATATTTACCATATTTTTTTTTTTCTGAGGCAAAAGCATAGACAGTATTGACATTTTGGCTTACAAAATTTTTCAGTATGTTTCAAGTGCCAAAAAGAGTCTAAGATCAAGTTACACCCATCTTACCCTGGTTTCTCATTGGGTTTGCTAACATAGCAAGATAAGGCAGCAACTCTGTCTGAAGGCACTCAGGTGGTAAACAGAAGCTTGAGAACAGAGATTTGGCAGCAAGGCAATTTTCCTGATACTGTAAAAGTTGGGGAGGGGAGAGAAGAAACACAAGTAAAACCACCTGGTAGAACATGATTACCGTAGATATTCTGTACCAAAATACATAGACTTTCCTCCTGCCTACTAGATGACTACACACAAGCTACTGAAAAATGAGACTAGAAGAAAAGATAAGCAGTTAGAGTTAACATAGACCAATCATAAAAATGGTAAAATCCTTTGGTTTTGCCTTTTGCTGAGTATTAACACTTCCAGAAAATAGCTATCCTTTGATTACAGGATTCCCTGTCCATCCAGGCCAATACTTTTTGACACATAAAGCAAGAGAAGCATGAGTTCAAATATAAAAAATTGCCCAGACCTTTGGTATATCCTGAACAAGCTACTTCTGATAAACACATAAACTGTAAATTGTGAAACCTACATAACAGTTCAATGTGCAAAAAGCTCACACTCAGTCCTAGGAATACTTTTTTAGTATTTGAATGCTGATTGTGTCTCCACTAATGTAGGAAGGACTGAGACTCTCCCAGCAGCATGTCAACTTGGACACAGCAATCCTTTGTCAGAGGCCTCCAATTTATTTTTACATTAAAGGAGTGATACAAATTGCTCTTCAGGCAAGTGCTTTTTAGAAGCAGATGATATCAAAATAGGATATTTGACAAGTTTAGCATTGTGAGCAAATCTCATCTATACCATACTACTCAACAGTCATACCTTAGGTAAAACAAAAAGAAATAATAAAAATCAAGCATTTACCTTTCTATTGATAAAAAACCACTGGGGTTTATGCAAGGGTCGGAATCCCATCCCTCCCTGCTGGTGGGCAAAGGCCCTGGATGTGTTGGAATGGATCACCCCTCGGGTAGCCACAGAGGCACTGTAGTTTTCCATCACAAGACGTGTCTAAGAGAGAAATTGGGCACTGTGTGACCTCGAGGTGCCTCATTTGAACTGAAACACCCTCAGGAACTGCAGTGACACAACCTGCCCAGAATTTTACAGTTTAGATTACTGTGGAACTTTTATTCAAAGCAGCTGAACAAAAGAGCTGGTTCAATTCCTTCAGGGGAAAGGCTTATGGATGCCCACACATTTTTATCATGATTATGTTCTACTTAAAAATACTTTGTAGAACATTCTACAAACACTACAACCCACTATAATAAAATGCTGACAGAAGCTGGACAAAAAATGTGTTGCGTCTCTTCTGCAGCTGATGTATTTCAGCATTCATTAACAACTCACTGTCACCCGCACTAAGCCTGCAGCAAACATTCGTAAATGCAGTGAGATGTCACAAAGCTCAATGTCCAAGTGTTTAAAAACAAGTGTGTGCCTATAGAAAGATGACACTTACACTCCAGTTACTGCAAAGGACATCAGCAGCACTCAGATATTCACTGGCTCTCACCACGTCGTCTATATCAGAAAAAAAGTCCACATAGTTCTGGTGGAGGTATAAATTAAACATGGCTCCTGACATATGTGATTTTTCCACAATATCCTATTAGAAAGAAGAAAAGTTCAGGTTTTAGAGGTAGGTAAGGAAAAGCACCCTAGTTAAAGGTATGATACATGTAGATGTTCAGGGAGCTGGAACACAAGGTCTCAGCAGTGGTGTTCGGACACAAAGGGAGTTGGTTTGCCCCAGGGAAGGGGGACAGTGCTCCCTTCCAGATCAATTATTGTGTAACTTAGACTGAACAGACACACATTTTGATTAAACCATGTGATTGAGAATTTGCTTTGGTGTGTTTCCAACCCAAATGAACTCATGGAGTAACTGCAGGAGTACCTCAGGCTGAATGAGCAATGTGTCCCGATGGAATTCTGACAGGTGGGCAGGAAGCTGAGGGAATTCTGCCTCTGACACTGGTTCTCCTACAAAGGATTTCACAGTCTTTAGTCTTTTAGCATGAGAAACATTGTTAGCACCTGTCAGCTCTACAGCACCTAAATTACAACATTTCCAGCTCCCAAAAGATCCTGAAACAGGCACAGATCCTTAAGTATACAGTCAATGTTAGAGTCATCAACACATAGTTGGTTACATTAAGCTCCACGTATTAGTTTTCCCTCACCCCACTACTTCTCTTCAGTTGATTTTGGAGCTAATATTGTGAATTACTAGGAATTAGGGATCCCCTATTTAGCCGATTTCATGCCACTGTTATTGACCAAACATCCCCATCAGAGGCCACCCTAAGCCTTACTTTAGCAAATCAGGCTATCAGCAGCTGACACGCTTTACCCAGTCAAAGGGAGAATAAGTCAAAGTTTTCATACTTTTGCAATAAATTATTTTCCCCAGAGCATGGAAAAGAAAGATGGATGCATCTTTGCCACCAATGGCTTGTATCTCCTGGTCTTCTGTGGTATCACATTTACTTTTCTTTCTTTCTTTCGATACTGCAGCTTCCTCACATTTTATTGTGGAGCTCCTTTTCTTCCTCGACCAAAACTCCTTCTCCAAAGAGCAGTCTATCAATTAAAGCAAAAATAAAATCAAGAGAAAGTACCTGAATCCATAGAAGTTTTCTATTACACTGGTACTGCTAATGCTTTATATAAACCAATAATAGTAATAAAAAGAACAGAAAAGGTTACATAAATACAGGCATAAGGGAAAACTCCTTTATTAGGAAGACAATCCAGTCACCTAAATTAGCATCATTCATTGGCTTCATTCCACTTCTGTCCCTTAAGCCACAGCTGAGGTACCAACTACTTTTTCTGAATACCAAACAACTGTCTTTAAAAAAAGCATTCAGGTTTATTCCATCTAGTTCTGATGTCCCCCACTTGCCTTTGTTTAGAATTTCACCTTTACAAAGCATAAGTACAAATATATGTAAATTATGTTTCAGTTACATCCTCTTCACTTATTAATTTGTCTTATGTTTGCATTGTCTGTACGACATCCTCACTGAAATACAAGGTGGCAAAGAAAACCTTTCATTTAGGTGATTCTTCCAACAGCCTACTAATGTTTTACAACCTACGCAACGTTTTGAGCTTCTAGAAATAAACCCCTTATTCTACTGTAATTTAAGAAACTTGGAAATTTTCACCCACAATTTGATTTAGTGGCTAGTGAATGCTCCTTAGTGAGCTGAGAGAAATTATCTTTTAAGTATTTGTTTTTCTTTTCTCCCACAATTACCATGGATCCTTTTTACCCATACATCAATTTCTTAACAACTACTGACTCATAAAATGCTTACAGAATAAGCAGGATAAGAAATGTATGAAGGAGTCAATGAAAATATTGCTCTCAAATTAAGGTTGAGTCTTTATGACAGCAAACACAAATAGCAAAGATACCAAGAAGAAAAGAGGGTCTTTCACTAAATTAGGTCAGCACATGCATTGCTGCCGCGGTTTAGCCCCAGCCAGCCACTGAGCCCCACTCACTCACTCGCTCCCTCACACACCCTGGGTCTATTCCTGCTCCAGAAAAGTGTGTCAGAAATGCTGTGCACAGCTCACCCAGCCGTGCTGCAACACCAAACAGAACACATTTTCAGCAAAAATGGCCAAAACATTGTTAATTTAACAAAACCAAACTCTTTTACCTTTCCTTGAGGAAAACTGAAGGCTGTTTATTGCACTTCTTATGTCACCTGAACAACCTCTGCAAAGCAACTCCAGAGAAGCTCTATCAAGGGCATGATTTTTCTCTCTGTTCTACAAGGAAAAGCAACATTAAAAACAACAAAAAAGGCGGGAAAAGGCGTATTTGAATATGACTGCAGACGGACACCACAGACACAGGAGCATCCACCGTGTGCTCAAACCATGGAACGCTGCTCACTTTAAAACATTTAATCCATTGTTACACAGCCATGTTAAAGAGAAAAAGGCACAGAACTCTTTGCAAGGCGTCATTCAATAAGGTACTCAATTGTAATCAAAACAGTTCAGGAATAATACAGGGTTTAAGTTCAAGACCTCTTCTAGCCTTGCTGGATACAACAAACCAATGGAACGAATTCTATTCCTGTTATTTGTTTCATATATATAAATACTGTTATAAATTTTCAGAAGTAACTTTGTAGACTCAGCCCAAGGATCAACTGAAACTAATCTGAAAAACAAGCTTGTTCCTTGTTTTCTGTTGGGGCGAATGGTGAGGGTTTTTTTTTTGGGAGTGTGGGGCTCTATAAAAGATCAAACAAATACAGTAACAAAAATACCATATTTCAGATATAAAAGTGTGAAATCTTTTGGTCCTAACACTGCACAGAATCCAGCAGCTCTGACAACTTACCATCCCAGCTTCTGCTGCAGATATTCGATTGAGAACTTTCATCATATTTGTTGGTGCAACAGGCTTGAAACTGTTGAATGTCATTTAAAAAAAATCAATTAGTTTCTGACTTCTCTCTTATTTTAACCATGTTTTAATGAGAGAAAAGATCTTACCTAATAGTGGATATACAAAGCTCCTCTAGAATTTCTGTTGGGAACAGTAACCTCTGGTTGTTGTCTCCACTGAAGTTGTCAGAGATTATAAATATCAGGGGGCACCTACTTGTACGAACAAATCTCCTGAAGTGAAAAACAAGCAAGTGTTGTGAGGACAAAACCCCAGTTTGCTGCGAGTGGCCAAAGATAATAATTAAAAACTTATTTTGTGCCAACCTGAGAATGCCATGCAGACTGCTGGGGTCCCGGTAGAACAGGTTGGGAATGTCCTGCCCAAAAGAAAAAGCTGGTGACACTACATTCAGATGTGAATATTCCCTCCCACAGACATCAAGATTGTCATGGCACATCACATTGCTGCACATTGGTGATTCCTGGCTAGCTTCCTTGCAACCAAATTTGAATGCAGCCAACGCAGAAAAGAGCCAGAGAGAGGGGAAAGAACCCAAACCCAAAGCACAGTATGTCTTTCATTACAGAAAACAATTATCTAAAAATAAATCCTTTCTTTCTGTCTCTGCTTCCTAAGAAACAGCCCTGGGTGATCATGTTGCCTGCCAGACAGAGATTTACCCAGAGGACAAACACTCCAAACAGCTCTGCTGGGGAAGAGGGCACAATACACCATGTGAGGCGTGACAGGACCTACACAAGAAGGTGACATTATGAAGACAAGTCACACAAAACTCCTAAAATCTACAGTACCCAACTAGAATTTTTGCCGTTTTTGTCTTGGAAGTTTACAGACAACTTGACTATCAATTTCTAAAATTCCTTCCAGAAAAGGAAGAAAAGGTTAGAAATAAATTGTTATTGAAACACATTCCTGAGCAAGTACAAATAAAGTCTTGTCCCGTACCTGCCCAAAACCCCTTAGTCCACACCTCTGACCTAAATAACACCCCGTGAAGATCAGGGACCAAGTGCTAAATTGCAAATGTTTCTCATTGTGTTCATCCTCATCTGTCTCCCACACTCTCCTGCATCCTTAAGGGACAGGAATAATGGGATTTTTTCCCACTCTTCCTTTTTACACACATAGATACTTCTAGACAAATAATCAAACGTGGGAATGACTTTCAATGTTGTGTTGATCTCCTTTATGACACTGTTACTTATTGCTGTACTCAAATCAGACTCCAATTCCTGACTTTTGGTTATATGGTTCATCTACAAGTAGAACGTGATTCTCAACTGCTGTAGAGGCTCAAAGAGCAATAAAGACCTCATTTGCAGTAAAGCTGATGAACTTTGGGAAACACCAGTCCACCAGCTGAAGCTCGTGAGCATGTCAGTATTACAACATCAGGTACTGTTTCAACCCAAGATTTCACAAGTTTTCACTTACTTCAATAAGAATAAGCTTTTTATCACTTTCTGAGGACTCCCCAAGCATCTGAAGTTTGTTATACTTATTTGCTCTTAATAGAAAATCTTGAAAGAGAGCTGCTTGGGCCTGGCTCGGAAACATATGAAAATTGGAGTCTGAAAGAGAAAACTAATTAAAAATATGTATTCTATATTATACCAAGTAGAATAAAATACCCACAAGAACTAACACCCACCCACGCTGTTTTCTGACAGCACCACTGAAGAAGCCCTTTGGCAAACAAATACAAGAGAATTTTTAAAAGGTGTAATTCAAGTGAGGACCCCAATAAAGACATTTACCTGGTTTTATTTAGTTGGTTCAAGTGATATCCATGCTATTACAGAGCTCTCTGTACTGATCTGAATTGTCAGTTATTTTGGAGTTAACACTGTAAAAAACCTAAATCCCTTTCCAGATAAAAGCAACAGAAAAATTTTTATTATACACTAGGGAATGGATTTACACAGATGTGGATCTGATTTCATATGTGACAGACACAAAAGAAACAAAACCACAGCATATGAAAACCACAAAAGTAACTGGAACAGAAAAAATAAGAGAAAAAAACCAAAATACTTACCATGGTCAAACATGTTTCTTAACTCTTCCTTTGTAAAGTCTAAAGATACAGGATTGGTCCATTCTTGCACCTGAAGGCCAAGATCTTTGGCCAGAATTTGCAGAGTTGCAGTTTTTCCACAGCCAGGGGGACCAGTCAGCAACAAAACAGAGCCACCCTGACACAGAGGGACAGAAATAATCCCAAATGTGACTGATAAATAATGACAGTTGGCTGGAAATGAACATTGGTTGAATTTCCCCTGTATTTTCTCTGGCAATGATTCTCTTTCCCAGTGAAACCCAAGTCACATATTTTGTGTTGTTGATTTACCTGCTGAGTGTTCAGACAGAGAGAGCCAGGCCAGGACTCTGAGGGTCCTGTTCTGTTCCCAAAGCCCCTGGTTAGTTAGGCAACACTGGCAATTTATGCCTGTGTACAAGAACAGCTCCCATCCACCCAAACTAAAAACGTCCTAGTACACCAACCCTGTGCAACTGGACATTTGCCAAGAGACCTGAAAATTAACCTGAGGTTTCAAGCACACTGAAGAGTTGTGATTTATGACTGGATGCCAGAAAATAATATTTCTGACCAAAATCAGAGTCCACCTCTTACCAGCACAGGCCCAAAACAAAAGTACAAGCTCTAACCTATGTTCTTAACAGACTTCTTACAATGATACACAATCACCACCTCTCAGCTGAGGTTTTTCTCTGAACTTAGAATTGCATCCAGCTCATTTGTATGGTTGGATACCTCTGGCTGTTCACTTTAGCATGTTTACCTGCTTTGGTTGCCTCTGAAATATGTGCATTTTTAACCAGGCCTCAACTTCTTCAATTTTCTTCTTTTGCACAGCAAGGTCATTCTGAAACAAGGTTAAAATATGTGAAATCCATATATTCACCTCTTGGTTTCTAAAGATGAGATTCAAGGATAAAATACATGCTGACTGAAATATTAACAGACATGCTGGTGTCTGTTCCAGTTACATTTATGCTCTGCAGAGGCAAGTGCTACAGTTAAGGATGATCTGCTCAACCTGTTTCCTCCAACAACCTGTTTTCCATTGTTTGCAGTTGGGAAATAAGGAGCTGTTAATTATTCTCAAAGTAACAACACTACAATCTTGCCTATTGGTGTCATCATGCTTCATAGCTACTGCTGGAGCTGGTACCTTTTGCTCCTTTTACTCTACTATTGCACAGGCTTTTGTAACCTTTGCAAATCCCAGACAGCTGGGTTTTCCCAGTGCTTGGAGCAGATGGATGTGGCTGGAATTCAGTAACAGGTTCAGAAGTGGACAGGAAACAACATCTCATCAGCAGCTTTGCCTCCTCAGGAGGCCTGAGGGAAATTGTCTCCTACAGATAAAGAGCTCCTGGCAGTGAACAAACCAGACCAGCACCTTTTTGCTGTAGCAAAATAGGATATTCTGGGAGCCTGACCAACACAAATTATGGACAGAAGCACAGTATGTTACTATAATGTTACTACTACGTTAGAACTCAGAGTAAGTCCCACCTGAGTCTCAGGTTTGTATCTCTCCACCCATGGCAGCTCATCCTGGGACAGGCTCCAGCTCTGCCTGGACTTGCTACAGGGCAGATCCACCACAGAGGGCTTTGCCCTTTTCCTGGAAGGAGCCCTGGCTTTGCTGTTTTCTGGCACAGAACTTGGGTCCTTCTGCTGCTGCCTCCGGCGTCTCCCAGAGCTGCCTCTCAGGGCCTTCACAGCGACACTGGTGCTTCCAAAGGAATCATCGAAGGGGTGCTCCAGCCAGTCTGCCACCTGCAGAACACAAACACTGTGCCACTGAAGCAGCACCTCCTCCCTTTATCTGGCCACAGCTGTCCCTAGAAAATGGCAGCTTTTTATCCAGTGTACACTTCTCCATCCCTGGAAGTGTCCAAGGCCAGCTTGGACAGGGCTTGGAGCAACCTGGGACAGTGGAAGGTGTCCCTACCCATGGCAGGGGGTGGGACTGGATGGGCTTTAAGGCCCTTCAAACCCAAACCATTCTGGGATTCTGAGATTCTTCAGTATTAAAATAAAGCCTCCTCTCACATGTTGTGCTAAGAGTATTTTGCAGCAAATTGTCAAGAACAGAACAAGTAGAAAACTCCACAAACACACATCCAAACTAAAGAAGTAAAATTAAATCAGAGATAAGAATGAAGAAGCAGCATCAGATTACTCAGACTGTGTTTACATTAAGGTCATGTTCACATTGTCTCTGTGCAGTTTTCAGTATGAGGCACTTTTTTCCCCTCTTCTTTAACACTTACAATGCAGGCATTTGTGATTCAAAGTTGGAAGCAGATGGCAGAGAACAGCTATTGAGGCAGCACAATAAAATCAGAGATTGTTCCCTGTTTGCTGCATAGGGCAGCTTGGGCTGAGTTGTGACTGCACCAGAGCCTGTGACAGCAACGCAGAACCATTCAGCACTGAATTTTGGGTTTGAGGAGCTCCCAGCTGGAATAGGGGTGCAAACTTACGCTCCAAAGCACTTCTCAAAGGCCCCAAATACCATCACAGGGGTCACTGGCAGCCCCTCAGTGCAGGGCTGAGACAGGCTGGATGGCAACAGAGCCCCCAGTGAAAATGTGAGTGACAGAACAGACACAACATTCCCGAAAAGGGCCGGGAAACCACAGTTTACACATCTCATCGACCAACACAGCAGAGTGTCCGAGAGCCAGGGGTGCCAGGATGCTCTTCCTGGAATGGAGTAAAACAACTACAACAAGGCCCCGTTTGCAAAGTCCCCAGTGGGGAATGAAGAAGGGGGGTCACACTGCTTTTGGGTTGAACAAAGCTGAAACCAGCCTGACTCATCAATCCCAAAGGGAAACATCCTGAGAGGGAGGGGAAGATGTGGCAGAGCTGGGAAAATCCCCAGAGAAAGCAACAAACAAGTGACGCCGCTGAGAACTGCTCCAAAGCTGCTGAGCTGCACAGCCTGGACACACCTGACTGACAGTCCAGCACTGCATACGAGAAAAGCCCAGGCCCAAATTTTAAGGGCGGGATCTTGTGACATATCCCTTCTTGTGGGTATGCAGATTCCTCCCCAGAGTGGGGACACACTTCAAGGTCACTCCTCCAGGCTGAGCCAAAGAGATTTGGTCATTGGTCTTGGTGAGTGACATCATCTCTAATTAATAATTGGTTTTGCATTAATACAATTGCTTAAATATTCAGAATCACAGAATCATTAAGGTTGGAAAAGAGCTCTGAGATCATCGAGTCCACCCTTAGCTTCATGCTCACATTTCAACTCTTTATACATTCATATTCCAACTATTGCTTCCAAGTGCACAGTTATTACAGCTCCTATACTGTGTAGTGAATAATTGTGATCAAAATCTCTTTGTCCAATCATACTTATACAAATATATTTGATAATGGTTTGCTGCCCTCAATCCCGCGGGACAGAGTTGTACAGTGACACTTGTACAACACTTTAAACTTGAACCACTGACCGGGTCTGAGGCTGAGACTGGATCCAGCCGCCCCCAGGCTGCTCTGGGAGAAGGGGCTTGGGAAGCCAGGGGGTCTTGGGGCGGTTTGGGGGTCTCTTGGGGGTGTTGGGGGTCCTTTCTGCACCTCGCGACTCCGCGGGAGCTTCTCTGGTGAACTCTGTCTGAAGCTCCCGCCGTGCCCGTGACCCTCAGCACCCGGGAAACAACGTCTGCTGGGGCTACAAGAGGCCGTTATTCGCACAAAAGCCGTTTTTGGTGGAACTTGCATATTTACCCGCGACGCCCCGTGCGTTCCACACACACAGACACCGAACGTTACTCTCGGCACAAAATAACCCCGTGGCAAAGGAGAACCGCCAACGCCGAGCCCGGGCAGGAACCGCCTGAGCGAGAGCCCCGACCCGGACCCACCTCCGCCGGCCTTCCCGGGGCGCTGCCGGACATCCTGGGCCGGGGGGCACCGGGGGGCACCGGGGGGCGCCGGGGGAGCTCCTCCCCCCTGCCGGGCGGCGGCACTCGCGGAGTCTCGGTGCCCTCGGACTCTGGGGATCTCTCGGTGCCCCGGGTGGTTTCTCGGTGTCCCGGGAGGGTTTCTCGGTGCCCCGGGGGGGTCTCTCGGTGTTCTCGGGTGTGTCCGTCCCGTCCCCCCGGTGCCGGTGCCGTCACCCCTTGGCCCCGCGCGGTCCTTCCCCTCCGGCCGTCGCCGGGCTGCCCGCGTCGCGCCTGCCCGCGCGGTGACGCCATCGGCGCGCGCCGGCGGCGGCGGAGGCCCCGCGCACGTGTCTCCAGGGCGACGGCGGCGCCATGAGGCGGCCGAACGTGCTGATCACCGGTGGGCACGGGGGGCTCGGCCCAGTCCCAGCCTGGGCTGATCTGGGGTGTGAGACCGCAGCCCCATCACAGCCTAGAGTCACTGGGGGCTGCGGTCCCATCCCGAGGTGGTTTGGGGTCTGGGGTCCCATCCCGGGGTGGTTTGGGGTTTGGGGTTGCAGTCGGGGTGATCTGGGGTGTGGGGTCCTGGCCTGGGAGGATTTGGGGTGTCACACCTGACCGAGAACTCGGGACGCTCCCATCCCGTCCCGAAGTTTTCTTTGCCCCCCCCCCTCCCCCCCCCCCCTTCTCCCGGTGTGGGTGACGTTCCTGCTCACAGTGAGGGTTCTCTCCCTGGTTTCCCGTTTCCCACTCCAGCGTTGCCCTCCCTGGTTCTCCTTGGGGTGCAGCTCTGGGCCCTTTTCCCTCACGCGAATCCCTCGACATCCACTGGCCAAAGGCCCCAGTTCCCCTGCTGGGAGGGTGTCTGGGGGGACCTGCACCTCCTCCCTCACCCTGTCCTGTGGTTTTGGTCTCCAGGCACTCCGGGCGTTGGGAAAACCACACTGGGAAAGGAACTGGCATCCAGAGCAGGGCTGTGCTACATCAACGTGGGGGACCTGGCCAAGGAAGGTGCTGGAAAACAGAGGAGTCACCAGAGCACGGGGGATTCTTTGCTCTGTGCAGCTCTCTGCTTGTGGTGGGAGAGCTGAGGTTGTGCTGCCTGGAGAAGAGAAGGCTCTAGGAACAACTCGGAGCCCCTTCTAGGGCCTAAAGGGGCTCCAAAAATGCTGGAGAGGGATGTAGGGCAAAGGATGGTATGAAGGATAAAGAAAAATAGCTTCCCGCTCCCAGACAGTGTTCCCTGTGAGGGTGGGGAGGCCCTGGCACAGGTTGCCCAGAGAAGCTGTGGCTGCCCCTGGATCCCTGGAAGTGTCTAAGGCCAGGTTGGATGGGGCTTGGAGCAACCTGGGCTAGTGGAAGGCGTCCCTGCTCATGGCAGGGGGGAGGAACAAGATGAGCTTTGAGGTCCCTCCCAACCCAAACCATTCTGGGATTCTATATATTAAATCAAAAGGCAATTAATTTTCTCTAACAGGACTCTTGGTGGTCAGTAGTAAATGACAAACTTACCCTTACACAGATTTGTAAACCAAGTGTTCCCTTCGCTAAGCTCTGCCTTTGTTTACATCCTCCTGCAATGAACATACCCATGTAGACAGTTGTGGTGGCTCTGCCCCCCCCAACTGCCCTGACCCTGTTTGTGCTGCAGGGGAGCTGTACGAGGGCTTTGATGAGGAGTACGACTGCCCCATTCTGGATGAGGACAGGGTGAGTGCAGCCCCTAAACCACCCACGTGTCTGGGCCTTCTGCAGTGCCAGGGGAGCCTGCCTGTGTCCCTTTGCCCTGCAGGTGATCGACGAGCTGGAGGACAGGATGAGGGAGGGTGGGGTGGTGGTGGATTACCACGGCTGCGACTTCTTCCCCGAGCGCTGGTTCCACATCGTGTTCGTGCTCCGCACAGACAACTCCTTCCTCTACGACAGGCTGGAGAGCAGGTGTGCCAGGGGGCAGACCAGGGCAAAGGGGGGGTATTTGAGGGTGTCAGTCACAGAATCTCCACTGCTTCTGCACATCTCACACTCTCCCTTGGTGCTCTTGTTTTCTAGGGGCTACACAGGGAAAAAGCTGCAAGACAACATTCAGTGTGAGATTTTTCAGACTCTTTATGAAGAAGCTATGGAGTCATACAAAAAGGAAATTGTGCACCAGTTACCCAGCAACACTCCAGAGGACCTGGAGAGAAACTTGGATCAGATTATGCAATGGATTGAGCGATGGATGAAGGACAACAACTGACTCTGGGTGGAACAGTAACTGCTGAATCTCTTCCTGGGAGGGTTCAATGAATGACATTCATTTTGTATCAGTTAACGTGAATTTTACTGTAACTGGATATGGTTGGGGAGTAGAAGGTTTAGAACAGACAAGTTTGTGAATGTTTGGAACAGCCTCTGAAGCACCCTGGGAGAGACACACAGGAGAACCCACACAAGTGAATGGAAGGATGGAAATAGCACCAAATTTCTCAGTAGAGGAGCTGTGTTCAATAATTGAGAACTCTTTGGGCCTCACAATTAAAACCAAACCATGAACTCACCCCAGAAAAACTGTAAAATACTGATAACTGGTGGCACTTTGGATTTCTAGAGGGTGCAACAGTGTCCTGAAAAGGGGTTAATCTAAAGCTGAGTTGTGAGACTGGAAACTGCTGTGCCCCACTGTGTCCTTGGGCGTGAGGCTAATGCAGACGAGGGGTTGGTTCAGGTTAAGGAAGGAAGTGACATGGTAACAGTTATTTTAAAATTCACAGAACTTTGGGAATTCCTTCATGGGTAAGGACGCATGGGCTGTATCTGCACTGGTGTGGAATGCTGAACAATAAAGAGCAATAAGCTTTCTTTTCCCTTTTTCTCTCTGTACTCCCAATCACCTATACCAGTAGTGGAACACAGATCACTGCAGGTTTACCCCGGAAATACATCCCTGGGCAGGAAAACCTGTGGAGCCCCAGAACGTGGCTACAATCAAAACACTGGCTTCTAATTGCTTGTACAGCCTGGACCCCAGCAGGGCAGGGCAGATAAAAACCTTCCTTCACTGAAAAGCCTGCTGTAGGAAGTGCTTGCTAATAAACTCTCAATATACATGATATAGTAAAACCACTTTCTTAAAGATTTCTGTTGTAAAGAGTATTATTGTTAGGTATTTAAGATTATTGCAGATTGGTTATAGGGTTTTTGGGTGGGACTCAAAGGAATACTGCATCAGCAACTTGATATTATAAACCAAAATGATGATAAATCTGGAGTTTCCTGGCACAACCGAGAAAAAACACTGAGGAAACACAGGCAGAGGTGCTTTGATCTTGGACGGCACTAGGGAGCAGGGGGAGGGCGGTCTGTGGGGTGGAGAGGACAGCCCCAATTCTTGGGAGCACCTGGAGTGACCACGTCAGGTCACCTCAGGTCGCGTTTCCGAGAGCTGCCTGACACCTCTCGGGGCTGCGGCGGGGCGGGGGCTGCAGGGGAAACAGGGACCTCTTTTAAAAGGTAAGAATAACCAACCCCACCTTCCGCCGAGCTCCGGATGCCGCTCCCGGTGCCGCTCCGTCCATCCCGCCCCGGGGCGGGACCGGCATCGCTCTGTGCCTGTGGGTGTGCAGGTGGGTGCGGGGGGGATCCAGGGGTGCTCTGGGACGGGAGCGGGGCCGGGGAGGCCCAGGGTGGGTCTCAGCGAGGCGCTGCCCCCGCTGCCGCCCCGGCCCCGGCTCCCACCGAGGGGTGGGAGCGATGTTTTTGGCAGCCCCGACCCGCCGGGGGAGCGGCCACGCGCCGACGGCTCCGTGTGTCTCACTGCAGCGTTGTCCTGCTGCTTTAAATAAACGCTTTTCCTTTTCTTCTAGATAAAACAGTCGCTTTCAGGAGGTGCTGTTGGCATTGGCCGTGGTGAAGGGCCCTCGGTCAGGAAAGGGAAAAAAAAAGAAACAAAAAACAAACGCAAAACCAGGAGAAGATGGAGGGAGAGGAGGATGACATGACATGTGGAGACTTGGGAAACGGCCTTGGGAGAAGACCTGGAGGTGTTTATGAAGGGGAAAACTTACAAAATACCTATTCATTTAGATCCAGGAAAGGATCTGGAAAGGCTTGTAGTTCCCTTTTGTCAGCAAAGGGAGCGGAAGAAAGTGATGCTGCAGCTCTTCCTGGTCCAAAACGAAACAGTTTTTACGATGGATCACTCAGAAAACCTGCTGCAAGTTCCACACGGCAGAACAGCTGTGGTAAGAGTAATTGGGAAGTTAATTATTCACCGGGGAAAAACCTCTGTTAGATAAACTGAGCCGTTCAGCTGATTCACATATTGTCATCAAGTTTAATTTGAACCATTTGCCGAAGTTCGTGAAGGATTCTAGTAAGTGCCTGTGCATCCTGTGCCTGCTGGGAACCTCCACCTTCCACCCGGGACATTAACGGCACAGTTGCTTTTCAGAGATCGAGGCTCTGGCCCTTCTTAGTGTAAAACGCCCGGTTTTAAAGTGTTTGTTTTTGCTTTTTAAAGTGACATTTAGCAAAGAGCATCCTGTGGTGGCTGTCTCTCTACATACATACATAAAATTGAATGGAATTGCTTGGATTCCTGCTTTGTTTAAGTAACTTTAAGTCTTCTCAGGTATCCTATCTAGAGCTTGTGGCTAAATATTCAAAAATCTCATTTGCTATTTAGTTGAAATTTGTGATTTGGCTTCCTTTTGGGCTAAAAAGTTCTTTTCAGAACCTCTGTTGGCATTCATCTTTTTCTTTGTGAAGGAAACGCTGCTGTAAATACCATCAGGTGTAGGCAGTGCTGTTCATTACACTTCAGCTGCTTTCCTTTACATTTTTAGTGTTTTGACTGAGGTATTTCTGCATCATTTGCTTATTTCTCTCCTTCAGAACAATTCCCCACTATCCCAATGCCACAATAAACTGAGCTGTCTTAAAACTGCCCTTACTTCTACATAGTGCCAGCCACTGTTGTGTTGACTGTGGTTGTTGAAAAGTTACAATCTTAAAACAATCTAAAAAAATTAAATTATTTTTTAAATCAAGAGGGATTTTTCCATTTTTTTTCCAAAGGAAAGTATAAAATATTTGTCCTTATTTTCTGTCTTTACAACTGATCTTTTTCCTGTATTTCACTTCTTTAACTGTGAGCACTGTGTTTGAAATTAATATTTATGTATTTCTTAAATCTGTTTATTAGCTCCAGAAAAAAGGTAAAACAAACTACAAAGATGAAAATTCACCTCTGCATTTTACTTGTGTTCAGGTTAAAG